ACCTTTTAAACATTTATACAACTTAGCCACTTGCTATTATCATGCTCGGGTCCGTTTAATCTTCTTTGTTACAAGGGTGACCAACATCCATTTTCTCCTAAAAATTACAAGCTGTTGGGGCATCCTATTGTCGGCTCCATTCGAAACATCTTTTTACAATAACTGGATGACTTCACGCGCATTGATTGGTCGAGAGCTATGTTCGATAATGGTGTTCGATAATACAATGTGTTGAATATACGCAAGCTCTGATTGGTCGTTGCCATGATCTATTTGGGGACAGATACTTGGATGACGTCACCGAAAACTTGTTTTTCTTTGTTAGTGTTTAACATGGCGCGCGGTTTTGAAAACGTTCGTGAGTCTATGTTTTGTGATGTGAAAGCCTCCAAAAAAGGAACAGGAGCTATTTACAAAGAGACAACAAGATGGAAAGAGTTCTTGGGGACTTGAAAATCTCTCTTGTTGAAAATGCCTAAACTGGAGGAAATCTTCACAACAGTTGCCATCGTGTGTCATTGCACGACGAGAGACTCGCGGTTTTAAAATTGTTTTCGCGATTATTTTGCTTTGAGCAAAATTTCGGAGAAACTGTTTATACAGATAACCACTTCTTTGTTTTTACCACAATTTGACGTCATCTGTGATCTATTACTGAACAGACGCAACATGGAATCTATAGTGAAAGGTTTGAATCCAGGAATCATTTCAAAAGTAGGGTGAGTTTGATCGTGCGGGTGAACGTAGTCCTGTGTAGGACTGTTGTTGTGAACAGTGACTGACGTTTCGACAACCAGTGCAGGGGCGGATCCAGCATTTTTTTTAGGAGGGGGTGCACTCGTCTCTTGCTCTACTTTAGCAACAATAAACCACATAGGTTTTTTTTTTTGCAGAATACCAGTTGTATTAGAAAACCGCAGGTCATCCCGGGGGGGGGGAGTGCGCACCCCCTGCACCCCCCCGTACGAATTGTATCTTGCTTTTTCTTTAACGAGAAATTTTGGCACACATACGTAAAGTAAAGCATATGTGAGGTCATTCAACGTCTTTGGATCGATCCGCCGAGACCCTTGCAATCCTTTGACGAACCTAAGGATGCTCGATCACGCTGACGTCACCTAATGATGTTAATTTGCCAGCCAGAAGCGCATTGGTTCTTAAAAGAAAAGATCCTTTTGTTTCACTCGATGCAAATTTCAATAACAAAAACAATGATTGTTAACACTGATGCCTCCTAGCTATAGTTTTGGGGACTCTGTCCTGGGCTAAACAGATAATTTGGGGACGGTTGAAAATGTGACAACATTTTCGAGTTCACAAAGAAGTCTTTGGACAGAAAAAAGAAAAAATGTGGCCAAGCTCTGCTTAATATTAACGTTCCCGTTGTGTTAGCCTTTTGCCCTGGTCCGTTAGCTTAAGGCCAGTGAAACGGGCAACTTGCAACTTATTTTGCAACGTTGCTGCAAAACGAGTTGAAGAGCAATGTTGCGGTGTTTATCACAAACGTTCAAACTTGTCTTGAAACAAATTAGGTTGTCGCAGGTTGCATGAAGTTGTTGCAGAAAGTAGAGATTTCAAACTTCATCGATCTTACTTAATTTCATTTATTTTTTCAAATGTTGGCGAAATTTTCTGGCTTTAATCCGGAAGGACCGTATCTGAGTTTAGGAAAGAAATATAAACTTTTTGTGTTGTGTTCACCAATTCCGTAAAGTGAACCAAAAGTTAGGAAGTTTCATGTCGCAGTCGTGCAACAACGGCTAAGAAATGTACAAAAAAGCGTGATGCTCGTGCAAAGTTGTTTTCTTGCTAATCTAAACATATCGGGTTTTTTTGCCGTTCTTGTTACTGTCGCCGTCGTCGTTGATTTATCTCGGCCCTACTGTTGTCAACCAGAAATTTGGCTACCATGGTAACTTGACGTCCCACTTCTCCTGCAAGACAAGTTGCACGTTTTTGATACCCGTTCAGTTACCGTAGCTTAACAAGATCAGTTGTTCGACGACTAGATTGTAAATAATACGCTCAATACATGATGACACTATTTTATCCGAATTTTATTCATGCAACTGACGTCAGAAGTAAGTGACGCAATCTGAATAATCGTTGTCTTCCTGAGGTGGGGCAAGAACGCGTGACGAACCCCTAAGAACGTCTGCGTGGTAGGCTAGAAGAAGCAAGAACAAAGAACACATCCGTCACCAAGGCAACTTGTTATGTAAATTTTACTCACCACGTTACACTAACAATTGCTGAAAACATTTGTTGAGGAAAGTTTCTCGAAATTGTGTTTGGCGTTTCCCAGAAATTTTGAACGAAGTCCACACACCCCTTTCAGACCGCTTTCGCGATTAGTACATTCATTTAAATACAAACACTAGTATACAAAAACAATTGCCAATCATTCATGGTGATCAATTTTTTTTCAAGAGCTTTTCACGTTTCTTGATCATTTTGTACAAAATCCACACAGCATCATCTAAACCCACTCCGTCAACGGCGGTAAAATGAAACGTTACTTGCCAGCCGTGAGGTTTGTACTGTTCGAGTGATAGCCCATCGCTAACCTCATGAGCTGTGAGAGCTCCAGCAAGGTCCTGTTTGTTTGCAATAACTAACACAGGAAGAACGGGTCGGCGATGATCTTTAGCAAGCTGTTGATGAAGCTCGGAATAAAGTTTTTTTGCTTCTGTTATTCTTTCCAAATCAGAGCTGTCTACGACGAAAATAACACCACATATGGTCGCCCAATTGAGGAACGCGTCGTTTTGTTTGAAATTGCGCCACATATACCGAGAGTGTTTACTGCCTCCAACATCACATATTGAAAAGGTATATTCCTTGAATCCGAACGCGTTCAAGCTGAAGGTGCACCCTCTAGTCGGCTCCGTTCGAAATATCATTTCGCGTTTAAGCATGTTTGCTATAGTTGTCTTCCCAGCGCCATCTAAACCCACCATGAGAATTGTACCATGTTTGTCTTGTCTTCCTCGAGAAATTTTGGCGCCCATACTTAACAGTACATTTAGGATTTAACTTGCCTTATAAGCAAAATTTTGATATTCCTGCAAATTCATTCTTAGTTTTTAAATCTCTTTTACGTTGTATAAAAAAAGCCACAGAACCAATATCCACGTCTTGGATTTTCCGCTTTTATAAGTGCGTCTATCTCGTCACAAACCCACAGGCACGTGCGGCATGACTGAGCGTGAAAACACAGAAAATCAAAAGGCTGTGAACGACGTTGGAATTTTTTACATACCTCACTTTTGTAACGTTTGGCCTTATCCTTTATTTTTACAAAACGTTTTAAATACGAAAAAATATTTACCCAAACTTGATAGGGATAAATATTTGTCTTATGGCAATTAGCCTGAGAAAACAGCCGACATTTTCGCGACGCCAGCACTGGTTTCACCGCGAAATGGCGTCTGAGAAACGAGTGTAAAAATTCCATACTGATATGGGGTCACAACCCAGATGGGTATAGTGACCCGTCATTAGTATGGAATTTTGTGCACTCGTTTCTCAGACGTCATTTCGCGGGGAAACCAGTGCTAGCGTCGCGAAATGTCGGTTGTTTCTGGTTGTTTTCTCAGGCTAGACAAATATAAATGATGTTAAAACGTGCTCATTAAATAATTCGGTCAAGGGCCTTGTAAAGTCTGTGACAAATAATACAACGCTGCATGTACATATTAAAACGCTTTTGGTACATTACTTTGACATCATTGCAAGACTACGACGTGAGATTGCAAAGTGTGACGAGGAACAGGAAACGGGAAAATGAAAAATGGAAACAAAACCGAACTTGAACCCTAGCCCTATCAGTAACTTCATTTTTAATTCTCTGTCTTGTTCCCATTTTTCACGTTTCCGTTCTCCGTGACTCATTCCCCGTTTCAGATCTTTCAGTAACATCAAGACAGATTTTTCTCCTCCCTTTTAGAAACTGGATGCAGTCCTTGGGAATTCAACTCCACGAAAATTCATTTAAGTTTCAGAAATTAAGCGAAGCTCAAATGCACGATAAAGTTTGAAAGAACGCATACGGTATGCATTTTTTCAGCGATGTTCTCACTGCCACCGACACCGTCGTCGTTGCTTAAGCTACTTGGTATAAGCTGAACCGTACTTTTAAGCTGTATTATGAATACATTACGGTATACCTGCCAACTCTCACGCCTGCGGGCCAATTTCTCACGCCTGATTGAAAAATGTGAGTTGTTGCCGTCCTGCTCGACACAATTTCCAAAAATATGTTAACTCAGACCCATGTAAGGAACGAAAACCATGTGTAAAATGAATAAATGGCAATACCTTCCTCGCGATCTCTGATTTTTGAAGTGAAAAGCACTGGGAGCGAGCTCGCCTTTGGCAGACTTCGGACGTCTTCGGAAGAATCTTCGGAAATGATCGTGTCGTCTTCAAAAATCCCAGCACTCCCAGGATAAAAATCTCACGCTTATATCTCAGAAAAAGTTGGCAGGTATATTACGGCACAAAATTTCGTGAGTGTTTTACACACGGGTCAGCTGAAAGGTCAGCTTGTGTCAGAAAGTAATGAATGCATAACCGTATTTATAAATTTAAGACTTCTACTTTTAGGATTTCGGTTAGAAAATTGAGGTTGACCGCCTCACACAGGTTCGCTGAAACGTTTAGCTACGTCACAGGGGGCTCTCACATCCCATTACATCTTTAAAAAATGAATAAAGATTACTCACCTTATCGATGCGAGTGATGTTGTCGTAAGCCGCCATATTGAATTTTGAGTTCAGCTGCTGGTACGAGGCCTGGAACCAAGATTTCTCGGTTCCAGACCTCCCACCGGCTGAGCGCAAAATTCAAAATGGCCACCAAGAAGAAACATCATATCGATAACGGAAGTAATCTTTATATTCATCATTTATTTTACCTAATTGGGAACGAGAACTCCCAGGAGGTTTGAATTTTACTTGCAGTCAAGACAAACGAGAACGATTCTAGCAATAATCTTTCCTTCAAACTTCTACTGTATTTTATTTCCAGATTTCTCATCAAATTATTTTTGAGAACTTAAAATAAGGATGATCCATAAGCAATCGAGCTGTAGTTACATAAGACTCTCTATTAAAAATTACTTTGAGATTAATACAGTGACTACCGTGATCATGGGATAAATATTAATCTAACCATTTACCAGTTTATACCAATCAAATTCTAATACCCCTTTATAAAAACCACAGAACACCAAAGTACTACATCAGAATAAACTATACCATCAACACAGAATGTACTGATTCACCGCTATATTTTTACAATTCTAATCGTTATGAAAAATGTTCTCTTAGTAAATGCTGTTATTAACTGACAGGGTTCGTACTCTTTTGGGCTCTTTCAATTCCATGACTTTCCATGATTTTTTCCATGGCCTTTTCAAGTTCCAGGCTATCACTTTCGAAAATTGTCAAAACCTTTTTTTTTTTTAGGGTATTTTTTTTTTAACTTACTCCGTTTAACAGACACAAACGCTGGCTTCCACCAAAAATCGTGCCGTCATCCTTGCTTTGGCACCTGCAGTAGTCATTCTGACAAACGAAACTTTCATGACTGCCTGCAAAATGAAATTATTAAACATTCATGATTCTCCAGGTATTTCATGATCTGTACGAACCCTGACGGAGAATACGGTTACTCTCATAACTCACCGCCGCGCGATGCACATCTCTCTCATAAAAAGCGCCACGCGAAGGAGCCGCTTTTTATTTTTGACTTTCAAAGAGAACAGTTCCAACTTTTAATAGAACAGAATGTTACAAAGCTGTATTTTGCTTGATAACAGTTTCACCCGCGCACAATCTTCCACGTTTTCACTTTTAAAAGTCACGAAACGTCACGATTGAAATCTCCCAACCACGTTAAACAGCTCCTGAGAAAATGCCAACAGTTCTGCAGTGGCATGCAGACCTGGTGGCAAAGGCGGAGGAATGAATGGCTGGGGGGCTGCACTGACTCTTGGGACGGGGCGCACACGCGGCATTGGGCCATGATGAGTAGGGGTTGGGGTGTGAGTGAGCGTTGCAGTGGCCTGGGGAGGGACCGGCTGTGGAGTGGTGGACACTGGAGCGCCTCTTTTAACTTCTTCAGAAGTTCCCTCATCTCCAGAATCGGACGCTGAAACATCAAAACTTTCATCATTTTCATCCTCTGATGGCAGCTCCGGCGATGACAGCTCACTTTCAGCTTCCTCGTCGGTCGAAGATCCTCCTTGCCCGGCTTTAGCTGGGGCATTAGCTTGTGCGGGTGCCGGCCTCTCTCTGCGAGCGGCAGTGAGAGCTGGGCTGCTCTCATCCAAAGGAACCATGGTTGGAGGGGGCGGGCGTGTCTGCACTTGATCAGGATCAACATGCTTATGGGCAGACCTCATGTGTTTTTTCAGCTTATGGGGACCAAGGAAACCTTTCTCGCAAATCCGGCAAACGTGACTGTAGATTCCAGTGTGGATGCGCATGTGATCGTTTAAGTTATCCCGGCGTGCATACCCCTTGTTGCACTGTTCACACTTAAAAGGCTTGTCCTTTGAGTGTGTGAACAGGTGACGCTTAAGCTTGTCTTCACGGTAGAATGTCTTCATGCAGCCCGTGTGGCTACGAAACGGACAGGTGAAAGTGGGTCTTGTATCAGGATAGTGAATCAACGAATGCCTTTTCATTTTATCTTTGCGCGCAAATGCTTTGCCACACTCAGGACACTTATGATTCTTTTCTGTAGCATGTACTGTTCTCTTGTGAGACCTAAGATTTGCCGGAGAGCAGAAAGCTTTTTCACATTGGTCGCAGCCATATGGCCTGTTTGTTGAGTGCGACGTCTTGTGCTTCTTTAACTGCACTACACTGGTAAAAACCTTTCCACAATGATCACACGGATGGGAGTGTGATTCGTTCAACCGATGCTGCTCATATCCAGTCGCGGTGAAGAAACTCTTGGAGCACAAATTGCATTTAAACTCCTTCTTGTGCATCTTATTGTGTTCTTCTTTCTCATCCAGAGTCTTGAATACGGCGGGACATCGCTGACATCTGTAAACTTTGGAAGGAGAATTGAGGTAAATAGGCACAAAGACACTAGTCGCACCTTGTTTGCGCACAACAACCCCAGGTGGAGAGGAAGAGGAAGAAGAAGTTGAACCTGAATTAAGATGGACAAGCTGGGATTCTGGAATGTGAACAGTGATGGTATCATCCTTTGGTTTGGAAGATTTCTTGTTCCGTGGTTCTTTTGTTTTTTCGTGACTGGATCCTGGTGTAGATGAAGAAGATTTGCGTTTTCTTGTCGTTTTAGGATGCGAATTTTTCCTCTTGTGCCGTTTGGTTGGTTTACCTGTGAGAGTAAAGGTGCTTTTTAAAAACAAGGATAAACTGAACTTATACAAAAAAATACCCCCTACTCTCCTCATGATCTCAACACTTTCACTCTTCACTCCCAGATGGAAAGATGAAGTCTTGTTAGGCGGCTCTAACTTTTCAGTCTGTGGGCAAAATCCTACGGTGTGACCATTCAAACGAAACTTCTTTGGCAGTTCTTGCACATCACAGGTCAAGGTGTGGACACAAAGGATACCGTACAGTATTTCCTCAAACAATCGGCCATACATGTACTCTAATAAGCGCCCTCTCCCAAATAAGCACCCATCCCCAATTGCAAGGCCATAATATCAAATAAGTGCCCCCTCACTCATAGTTATGGTGCATCCTGAGACTCATCTGGTGAAAAATCATGAGTCCCTGTTCAGAACCAGAACCAACGAGTCCCAGATAAAAAAAAAAAAAACGCGTCCAAAATTGAAAAAGCTTGGGCCTTTACGTAACCAGACAGTTACTCCAAAATGCTGTATAACAGTATACTGAAACTAAAATATAGTCTTTCTACACGTATTTTAAAGCACAACAAAGGCTAAAAGAAATATGCATCGTTAAACAACAGCCATAATAACTACCACAGAAATTACACAAACAGGGTACTCTACAAAAACTCATGTTCAGATAGATCAATAAATCTTTGCGTCCTACGAGACGCGTGCCATGAATTATTTGCATTTTTGGGAAATTTTATGCATCAGGAAGGTAGGATGCAGAGGTAAAAAGAAAACACTGCTCCCCTTCCCACCACCTCCTTAAATAGAAGGGATGCAAGGAAAACCAGTTTCTATTGCCACTTTAATTTCACTTTTCAGGCTTCGACTACAGTGGAATGAGTAAGGGAGAATACAGTAGAACCTCGAATTCCCTGCTAACTCAAACTAAATTTCCTTCCGATAACTTAAATTCCCCGCTAACTCAAACTAAATTTCCTTCCGATAACTTAAATTCCCTGCTAACTCAAACTAAATTTCCTTCCGATAACTTGAATTCCCCACTAACTCGAACTGTTTTCCATTTCCCTTTAGAGTTTGAGTTACCGGGGTTCTACTTTTGTTGTGTAGTTTCTTCGCTTCATAATTATTTATGTGCTTGCAGAGTCCTTTTATGTGCATCATCTCTTCTCTTTTAATTTTTGTTCTATTGATGTGCTCTTGGTAAATGCCGTAAACTTCCTAGGGACAACTAGATCATTGTCTAGTTGGTTTAGAGGAAAACACAGTAAGTGTCTCCCTTGATTAACAAACCTCCTTTATAAAATATGTGCCCATCCTTTCACGGTTTTCCATACAAATCCTTGTAATTTCGAAATTTTCAAAACTGTCATGAAATATTTCCTTAAGCATTACAGGGCTCAAATCTTCTTTTAATTCATAATGGCAATTTGAGCCCTTAAATGCGTAAAGGAAAGATTTAACGACAGTTTGAAAATTTCAGAATTCACAAGGATTTGTATGGAAAGCCATGCAAGTGTGACTGGGTGGCAAAAGTTGTTTTTCTCATACAAATGCTTCTAACTTTCAGCGACCGTTGCAATCGCTGCTTTTGAGGCATACGGCTGAAAATTCTCAGGTTACCTAATTTTAATATGCTCTTTCAGCTTGTCCTAACAAAATTTTTAAAAAATCAACTGTTTTCGTGTTTACTGAAAGTTGGTCACTTGATCAAGTCATGCAAAGAGCCTATTTGAAATACGCAACCAGGCACTTATTTTGAGGAAATAAAGTATTACAATAATATTTTGGAGTTACATGTACACATTGTTTAGTAAAATAACACTTACTGGGCTTGCTATCATCTTCATCACCAGCTGATCGTCCACTATCACTTCCCCCAGCCACTAGTGGCTCAAGAAACTGGACTTCAACTCTTTTCTCCGATGATGAGTCACTTTTTTCCTCATCTTCCTGTGACTTTTCACCAGCATTTGCAGTAGGACTGCCTGTGGCATTAGTGCTGCTCTTTTGCTTGGATTTCTCAGGGGATGGGCTAGGACTGATAGGCAGCTTGTTTACAACTTCTGTAAGAGTACTCTTGTTGGCATCTCGGCAAACTTTGTTTGCTTTGTGTTTGATGTAATCAGAGAGATCTGTGAATGACAACTTGCATCTACCACAGTAGTGAACATCCTCCTCATCATCTAAAAGAGGAAGAAAAATAATTTTATTCAGTTTTACCAACAGACTTGAGTATACTGGCCACCAATCCCAGGACTCAAAATATTTTTTGGACAGTGGTTGGTCATCTTAACCCACTAAACAAATTAATTTTAAGCACGCTCATGGCTCGTTTATGACCTGTCAAAAATGTTGAAATTATGGCTCTTGTTTCAAAGTAATAGCAAGACCAAAATATCACCTCGTACAAGTATGCTGCAACAACTCGGGGTTTGCAGTGCAACAATAATAAAAACTTGATACATTAATGTTGAAAAAAACTGTTCATCAAACCTAGACTGCTTGCAGTCTGTCTCTTTTCTCTTAAATTCCATCTAGTTCTTATCCCAGCTAGCACGACTGCAAACCGAGACGTTATGTTACAATAAGGGATATGGACCAGCTGAGAAAAGAGAGAATACAGACTCTTTTGTAGTGAACAAAAACTCCATCTTATTTTTTCTTCTCAGGCTTATGCCCTCGTTTATCACAGCTCATGGCTTCGCCGCTTGTGTGCTTGGACCTCTAGTGCACTAACTTTGCAAAGAAAAATAAGAGACTGTTCGAAGTCTACATCAAACCCTAATGACAATGTTACTAAGTGGCATACACAAAGCTGCAGAATAAGGCTACATATAATTATCTCTGCCATTTTCACTGTGTACATGCATTCTCCGAATTTGTGACTGCAAGCAGCTGAAATATTTTTATGATTTAACTGTTTTTGTAATTTCCAGTATTAATGCGAACAAGAAGACTCTTAAAAAAGCATTAGGTTGAGCATGTTGCTTAGAGATTAGATAAGAAATTAGAGGGCGATTAATTCTACAAAAACATTGTACATGAAACAGGATTTCCTTGGCAAAAGTTTTTCACGCCCTACTTTATCAACAGTCAAGTATTCTTCACATATTTACCTTTTTACATCGTATTTGACGATTTGGTTCTGAGTTGGAGTACGCATGTACAAATACACAAAAATAAAGGGCCTTGATTACAAAGAAATTACATCATTGCCAAAGAGCAAAAACGTGATGAATATGGTGAGTCATTAATTCAATCATCGCCGGAAAAAAAACACATGCTCATCACAAGACTCATTTGCACACAATGAAAGTTTACAAAACCCGACAAGTTAGCATCACCATCAGTAGTTTTGCTGAAGTTTCACTCACAAAGATTCACCACTGAAGTATTCACTTGTTCCAAAGTAAACAACACAGTCCAGGGCTGTGCTCTAAGGAAAATTGAAGGCAGCCTAGAGCTCTGAACCTGTAAAATCTAGGGTGCCCAGCATATGATCTGTATGAAGAAAGTAAGATTTTCTAGTCGCCCAAGAGAAAAATATTAGAAATTAGGCACCAGGGGCCACAGGGCTCTGCTAGAGCACAGCCCTGCTTTCAAGCGATAGAATTCATAGACCAACCAGTTCTGGAAAAGCTTGACATCTCTTGAATCTATGTTGTACTGTATGTCACGTCATGATATCTATCCCCAGTTTCCACAGTTTCCGCTAGGGACACCTGGGAACACGACCCCCTTTAGTGTGCACACACGAGAAAAAAAAAGGAAAGAAAGAAACACATGCATTTTTAGAGTCTCCCTGCTACATGTAAAGCAAGCTCAACTAATAAATCTAGTTACTTATTTGAAAGCTATGTACTTGACCAGTCAAAATGACTGGAAAACTGAAAATTTGTCTGCAAAATGGTCATTGTGGCAGCACATAGTCCATTGACTGGCCGTTATTTTGAGTCCTGAATCCACAAGCTGCTGTTTCAAGCAGTAACCTTAAAATAGACAGGTGCCGAAAAGTCAATTTTACAACTTGCCCTTCAAGCTGTAGCTAGCACGCAGTGATTCTGTTACGTCTGCGTCCTGCATCCATGACACATAAAAATCCCCAAAGACGCAAAATAATTCATGGAATGCAGCCCGTAGGACGCAAAGATCAATTGATTGATTGATCTGAACATTTATTAATGGTGATCTGAACATTTATTAACGGAAAGATGTGCCGATATCTCGACGATCTCATGAAAAGATAGGGGACTGTGAACAGTCTAGTAGAAGCCTAAGAGTCATTTTGACAAGCGGGATTGATAGTTAATGTATTAGTTATCAAATAGTTATCTAAATCTAAGTGGCTACCCCAGAATATATTTCAGGGGTTGAAAAAAGTCCAATACGGTCAACTGGGAGAAGTAGATTTTGACGCTGGGCAAGAGCTCCGGCCAGTTATCTTCTAACTAGAGGGAAGGGATGGGGGAGGGGGTGGGAGCCCCTGATATTAGGGGGCAAGAGGGGTACAGGAGGTGGAAGAGGAAAGGGTAGGAAGTGGGAGAAATAGGGGGAAATTTTTGCAACAGGTTAATATTTTGCAAGTCAAAAGGGGTGGGAACCAGGAATGCACAGTACCGGAGGTGAGAGGGTAGGATGCCCGTTTCCTCTCCACTAACTAATCACAGACTAAAAGATAGAAACAATTGCTCTAGGAAGCAAAATTTGAGAGCTGTTTCTCCTAAGGACACCTGGAGAAACCTTTTGTGCACACTGTTCGCATTCGAAAAGTTACAGACCTTTAGGCCTGCTAAACTGTAAAACTGGTGATCAGATTTTAGCTTCATGAAAAACCTGAACAAGTGAACATGATATTATTAAATAACATGAACAAAAACTTTGAGATTTGAGCACAAAATCAATTTTCTAAAATGAAAATAATAATAATAATAATAACAATTTTATTATTACTATGATTATTCTCTGTGGTAATTAAATGAAATATTAACTCTGAAAAATTGAAAAATAAATAGTAAAATTACCTGATGTAGGAGCATTTTGAGATCCTGATTTGTCCTCACTAGGAGTTATGTTAGTCTGATTAGCCTGGGAAGAAATATTTACAACAGTAATAAAAAAAACTATTTTTACAAATTCCAGAGTAAAACTAAGTTCAAAATAGGTCAAAACAATAGCTCACTTCTTTAAGATTGATGACAAATGATACTATGTCGAAGAGATGCTATTGGCAGAGGTGATGACAGATAGGTATCAGGGAAACAGACCACATTACCTTTGTTTTGACAAATTCTTCCGAAAAATTCCACAGATCAGAATTCATTACCGACTGTGACAATTCTCATGTTACTCTGGTTGATTTAAAGAATTTCCCTTGTGTGGAAAAAAAGGCTTGCCTTTTAATCCACATCCTTGAACCCTTCCATCCCGGTCTCATGATCATCATAATTTCCATGTTTTTATAGCTTCAACAAAAACAATAAATCTCTTCAGCACTGACGATTATAACTGTCTTCTCACTTGTTATTTAAAAAAAAAACATTGCTGTAAGAAATTAAAGACGTTATTCTATTAAAGGCATCAATGTTTAGCTTCAACCTCTCTGAAAAGGTAAAACACCCTTCACAACTCCCCTCGGGCGATAATATTAAAAACAGCTGAAACAAGTCATATGGAACACAACTTAAGCGCACCGAGTACATGAATTTGAATTACTTGCTCGGAAGAACACTGTGTATAACGAACAACAGCGCGTCTAATTTTAAAGGACACAGCTGTTTAATTTTGTAGGACATTGGGCCCAGAATTTTTATCAACCGGAAGCTTCATGATCGCGCCATTATATTAATAAGGAGACAGTCGACATCCGACACCGTTGTTTCACTTTGTAGCCGACAACACGATTCGAAAATCGAAAATCCATGTTCAATCTTGGAAACACACTATGTCGTGATCAATATATAAAGATGTAAAGCTACGTACTACCGGATACCTGACCAAAGAAAACAAGTATTTGTAATTAATGCATCAATTTGCCGTACAATACCTCGGTGGTTTCTTGGTTGTCAGCCATGTTGTTTGATGGCGTTCCCTCCTGAACAGAGCAAATTTAAGCAAATTTGTCGCTAAATACACCGTAGTCAGGGCAGAATTCTACGCGATGTTAGCAATATACAATGGTTCACACATAATATTGCCAATTCATGACGATTTTCGGCAAAATAACGCGACAGAGTGAAGAGAAATCTTTCGCCCGGGGTGGCGAAGGAAAGATATGTTTCACACTAGCTACCACCCCTTCCCAGCTATCTTAGTGACCCCTTCAAAATAAGGCCAGGCTGCATAGTATGGAACATGTGATTGAGGATCAAATTTATCGCGCGGAAAATGGGCCTTTAATACACGTATTTTTTTGTTGTTTGAAAGGCGAGGGGTTCTATTAACAGGTAAATTTAGTGATTCATGAGTGTGTTCTTTGTTTTCCTTAACAGTTGACTTTAAATGAAAAAGTTCTAGCACGCATAATTGAAAATTACAATTCATGAGCACGAGGCCCGTGACAGAGCGATGTTATCAATCGAATCACTGCAAGACAAATTCCAGCGATGATTTCCATTAGAACAGAAAATGACGACAAGAAGCCTGGTTTAGATGTAATTATTATGGCTCAATATTATCTTTGGTTTGAATTTTATTTTCCTTTAGTTTTGGCTGTCTAATGTATGATAATAATTTGGAACAAGGGGAACCAGATATAAACCAGGCATAAGTTGATCGACAACTTCAGCATATTACTCGTTTTGAAGCACAACATGTACAGGTCTTGAGTCCCTGATTCAGATCCAGGTATAAAAATTAATTACTACTAGTGAGTACTATGAGAAAAATTCTGCCTTGTTTTTATAGAAAGATGTAGGGGAAGGCATTTTGCAAACTGATGGTGTTTTAGTGAAAATGCCACCAAAGAAGAAACCACTGGAAGATGCGAGGAAACGACTTCAGGAGAAGCTAAGTAATGTTCAGGAGCAGTCTGACTTCATTTGTCAGTTTATCAATGATCTGGCCAACAAGGTACACAGTAAAAATTAAAAACGTATTCTAAATTAAAAAGAGAACTATTAAATCTTGTATTTCAACAGTTTAGTGTCATCATTGTTATTGTTACAGTCAAACCCTGTTAATATGGACACTAAAGGGCCATAGAAAGTGTCCATATATGTGGGGTGTTCATATTAACCCTTTAAGCCCTAAGAGCGATCAGCATCAAATTTCTCCTGGTAATATCAATGCTTTGTAAGACAGAGTGGTGATGAGAATCACGGACATGGTCACACAAGATGATTTTGCTTGATATTATGTCAACTTCTCCCCACTACTTCTGTAGGAAATGAATAGGGGCAACAAATGAGAATTCAAATTTTGGTCTTAGTGTTTAAAGGGTTAAGTGGGTTGAATTTAGAGAAAATGCAAGGGCTTTTCTCCCCAAGGACAAAGAAAACTGTTCGAGTATTGAGGTGTCTGTATTAAGGTGGGTTTGACTTTATTGTTATTGTTCATTTTTTTGTTAAGTTGTCTTGTTTTCCTTTCAACCAAAGGCATCTAGTCCAGCCAAGGAACTTCTTAAAGAGAAAGATCGCAAGAGGTTTTTCCAAAAGTATTCTTCAGTCAGTCAGGAATTGGAAAAATGTCTGGATTGTCTGTTATTGATCAGTGATTCTGTCACAGCTTTTGAAGAGGAAGACATCTTGGGTAATGGATAATTATTATATATTTATTTTTTGTTTATAGGAGTTTTAAACTGCACGTGCAGGGCTGAGGAAGGGCAATAGGGACCGGAGGGTAAGGAAGCAGAGCTCAGGGAATGCAGGGTTGAAGTAGGCTGCAAGGGACTGGAGGGTAGGGATGCTGGGCTGAGGGTGGGCATGAGTGACCGGACAGCAGGGATGTATACCTGAAGAAAGGCATGAAGGACTGGAGGTTAGGGATGCTGGGATTGTGGAGAGGGCATGAGGGGCCGGAAGGTAGGGATGCTGGGCTGAAGGATAGCATGTGAGACTGAAGGGTAGGGATGTTGGGCTGAGATAGGTCACGAGGGACCAGACAACAGGGATGTATGGCTGAAGAAAGGCATGAAGGACTGGAGGTTTGGGATGCTGGGGTTGTGGAGGGCATGAGGGGCTGGAGGGTAGAGATGCCGGGCTGAAGGATAGCATGTGAGACTGGAGGGTAGGGATGCTGGGCTGAGATAGGTCATGAGGGACCAGAGGGTAGGGATGCCATTGGACTAAGGGAGGGTATGAGGGACCAGATAGCCTGCAAGTAAGCTGTCCATTTAGGAATATCATGAAAAGTCACACGCAAGTAGCATGTGAACACAGATGCAAAAGCAAGTGGTGGGAAAAGAGAGGGAGAGCTTGCAATGACAATCTGCCACTGAACTTTGATCCGCAAAGATTTGCTCACTGAAGCAGTGATCGCAACGATCGCTAGCAAGCAAGGCTGTACGTAGTTTGCCCCTGCGAACTCCAAAGGGGCGCCCCCACGGATCATGTGCAAACTGGGCGAGACCGCTGGCAGCATTAGCTCGAGATTAACCTTGCCTAAATTACATTTAGCCACATGAAAAAAAGTAAAGTTTACTTTTGTTATGGAAGGTACTGGTGAGGACATTGGTAGTTCAGCATCTGAATCAAGTGATCATCCTGATCATGAGCCCGCTGCATCAAAGGACAGCAGCCTTGAAGCAAAATCAGTTCAGGCATCTGATGATACAAGCAAAGACAAACAAACTGTTCCAGGTAAGCAAAAATAATTTCTTAATCAGTCTATGTATATGTTTGTGTACTGTATTTGTGGCCTTGCATTTGTGAATGGGTAGTCATTGAAGATAACATCATTACATTTAAAATTGCCATTTAAAGACATAATTGAAAGATTAAGCCTGGGACTTAATTAAGAAACAGTCCAATTCGTGGGCGGAGTGGAGCTTGAAAGTCAATACTTACACATGAACTCCAGCCCAACATGCAAATGCTCAACCTGTTAAGCCCCAGTACTACAGTCACACAAATCTTCCAGACTGAGCTCCATGCATTTCCTTAAAGAACTAGTTGAGAGAACTAGTTGGTGATCATTTTATTAATTCCCACAGTCATTTCTTGTGATAATTCCTTGTTTGCCCCTCCCAAATTTTGCTTAACTAAAAACAATGGTTATACAATTTTGGGGTGATGCAGGGAGGGGGGGGGGAGGTTGGGGGGGGTAAACAAGCTGTATTATGGGAGATGTGTAAATGGCTAATTAGTGCATGTGTTGATATTGTGGAGAGATGATTGGTGTCGGTCACTTTTGGGGCTTTTAAAAAGGGTTTATACCACTCATGTATGCTGCCTACTTAGTACAAGTTATGCATATTTTATGTTTTATTCTTAAATGCCAGTACACTTTGATTATTTGATTTTGAAGAAGTGCCTGCAGTCTAACTAGCTCTGTAAATTCATTGAATAATACGTGTAAAGTTGCATCTGGAAGTGTACCCAAAACAGAAAAGGAAAAACAGACAGCTAAGTTAAAGGAAAGTGAGCATGAAAAAGAAGAGAGTATCTTGAAAAGAGTGCATCAGCAGCAACGGGATAAAGATGGTGAGTTGTGTAAGTAGAGATGGATTGAAATCAGCCGTCATTTAAGTCAGCACGGCTACACTTTATGTCCTATCTTTAAAGGGGCTATGGTTGTCATATTATTTTCTAACTTTCTAAAAAGCTAAAACTGTTTTTGCATCAATTGGATTATTCCAAAAATTGTGGTCCAGATAGTTATGTTATTCAAGACTATATTTAGTCATTGAAACTGTTTCTTGTCATCTGTTGCAACGGATGGCAGGGATGGACATGGATGAAAGCTTAAAAAAATTTGAGCCAGCGTTTTCAAGTTTTAATGCTACAATGTATGCCTGCAAAAAATATCAAAAATATTATTATGGTCAGTGCTTCCTGAAGAAATTTGTTTAATAATCTTCTTCATAGCTCTACAGGAGCATTTTGTGTATGGTTAAAGGGAGAATTATTATGATGTCAGCACAAAATTGACCTAAAACAGTAAATTATCTTTGTGACATAGACCTTTCAAGCAGGGCTGTCAGTAACGTTTCAAGTTGCTGGATATTTATTATCAATTTGCTGGGTAATTGTGCAGCTATAGGACATTTCTTTTTTACTTTTGTTTCCAAATGAATGAAAGTACATGTAGCTAGAGATCATGCTTATGGCAGCCATGGGAAATCCCTGATCCCCACCCGTAAAGTCAGCTCTGCTTGAAGTGGTACGTTACATGTACATAAGACAGGTATCATCACAACCTTGTGGCACCAACAGCAATCAGACTCCCTGTGTTTTTATTACCTATACATGAAGATGGTAATAAGCATTTCACAGAAATGCTTGAATGGAAAATCCCCTATACTCTAAAACTTACTCATTTTTCACGTGATTGTATGATGATCTTTTAGGTCATGAGGAGTTGAGGAGGAATGCTAAAGAGGGTGTCACAGTACCTGACAAGTTGCAGCCTTCAGTTTCACAGAGTTCTTTGCCCATCTCCGACGCAACTGAACCTGAACAAAAATATGCGATTGCGACCCAAGCAACTCAGCCCAGCCTGGTTTCCAACCCGCAAAAGAGCCAGTCAGAACAGACTCAATTGGGTGGAGCAGGGCTTAATGATCTCAGCAAACCATCTCAACAATCTCCCTCATTGTCCATCACAAGTGAAGCTTCAAAGAGTGGAGAAGGCCTCAATTTAATATCTTTGCTTGTGGATGCTGAGTCGGCAAAAGCCCAAAGTACCCAAACCTTTAGTGAGGATGCTTTAGCTTCCAGGTCGCACAAGAACTCTAAGAGAAGGGGCTCTTGCTCTTCAACAAGCACTCTGTCTGATATTATTCAGGATATCAAGATTTCTCCACGAGAAGCTATGGTGGCAGCTGGTGGTATGTCAACAGAGGGTAAGTGTAAAGTGTAAGTCATAAATCCTCTATGATTTGAGAACTGTAATTAAGTTTTTGAGGCTACTGATTACTAACTTGTAGTTTCATTTTGTCATAGTACAACTAGCATCATACCCATTCAAGAATGGTCAGCAGCTTAACGTTATTGTCACTGAAGTGCTTAGTCCATGGGAATTCTGGATCCAACCAGTAGGAACTCAGTTAGATATGCTTATGGAGGAAATGTGGTAAGTTCAGAGGCCTGATTAGGGAGGATTTCCACTGTTGCATAATATTTTTACGTGCTTACGCACTAAATCGAGGCAATGTATGAAGTAAAAGTTGAACAAGGCTCAAATTTTGGCTTTGTGTGCCACCTTTCATACATGTACATTGCCTCTATTTTATTTATACAGGTAAATTTTACTCTCACAGGCACACAAAAATTACGCGACAATGGAAATCCACCCTTACTGGTGATATCTATAGTAGGAGATTATAACAATGTTACTATGTGCTAAGGAAAGGGTAGGGAGTAGTACTTAATTTTTAGTTGTTTGACTGTTTGATACAACTGTACCTTTTTGCTACAGAATCCCAATTGCACCTTTTCTTCCATTTCCTTCCATTCCTTTCTTGTCTGTCCCTTTCTTTCTTCTCTTCCCATCTATTTCCTTCCATCCGTTTTCCTTCCCCTACACATTCCATCCCTTACACTCCTTACATTAAACCCCCTCCCTTCTCTTCCATTAATTTCCTTGCATCCCTTTACCATGTTTCTTTCCATCTGTCCTATCCACTCCCTTCTATTCTTATCCATTTCCTTGCATCCCTTTTCCCTGTTCCTAACCTTTCTACGCAAATTCCATACTTTGATGCCTTTCTTCTCTCTTCCTTTCCCTCTCTCTTCCTTTCCCTTCCAACCCTTTACTTTTTTTCCTTTCCCTACATATTCCACCCCTTTGGACCTTGACTCCTTTTCCTTCGCTTCTCTTTGTTTCCTTCCATCCACCACATTCACCTCCTTCTCTTCTGCTCCATTTCTTTCTATTCCTTTACCCTTTACCTTTCCAAGTCTATTACATGCATCCCCTTCACTCCCTTCCCTTTTCTTCCATTCCCTCATTCCTCTACTGTTTCTTCCCTCCTTATGCCTCCCGTCTCTCTTCCATTTTTAAGATCTCTTCTCTTCCACATCCCCTTTCCTTTCTTTTACCAATTTCCTCCTCTTTAATCATTTTAGAGTTTTGATTTATCATTGCAGTATGCACTATGCTAAACTGGCAGCTGCTGGTTACAAGGGAGGCCTTAGCCTGCCACCTTCCGTCGGAGACTTCTGCTGTGCTAAGTTTACTCAGGATGATACTTGGTACAGGGTCTTAGTAACAGCCATAGAGGAATCTGACAAAGGTTTGAACATTCTTTCAGGCTAGGAACAACTTCTAAAAACAATTAAACACATGAGGATGGTGTAGAAACCCTATTAACTGTCATATATACATTTACTAAAATGTACAATGTACATGTATTGGTCACTGGATATTCTGTAGATAACTGTACAATATTGGTCTGTCATGGCGGCCACATTGATATTCCCAAACAATGAAACAGCTGTCCTGTTAGTGTACCAAGCCAAGCCTGTGGGACATGAAGTCTTTTCGTTTGTAAACGCTCTCTTTTGTCTAAAAAAAGTTGAGTACAACCTGTAGGTGCTGGCCATGCAAGTGAAAAAGCTCTGTATTACACGAAACACTTCTCGGAAAAAATCCAAGCACCAGATGGGATTTGAACCCACGACCCTCCGTGATCTAGTCGGATGCTCTAACCTTTGAGCTACTGGAGGTCGATGGCGAGCAAGGGTGAAAGGAGGGCCTTTGACTGGAACTGCATCACGTAGTTACATAGTCAAACCAGGACAAGCAAATATAATAAAAAGGGAATTAATTTTTTTGACTGGAAAGAACGTTAAATAGCCTCAGCCCTTCAGGTGATATTAAATCCAGTCATATACAGAGAATGATACTGAAGTTTTAAATCATCAGGTCCTATAGTTGCAGTGCTCTCTGTAGACGATGGAAATCGTGAAAAGCTTGATCTTTCCCGCCTTCGACCGCTTGAAGAGAAATTTGCCAAGCTGCCTTGTCAAGCATTGTGCTGCGCGCTGTCAGGCGTTAGACCTGTAAACCCATCACAACCAAATGCACCAGGTACATATACGTGTATAAGATTGATTTAAAGTGATACTCATCATTTTCATAGACTACAGCTTTACTTAGCAGGCGGAGAAGTATGGAGGCCCTCACCTTGGCTTGCGAGCAGAGCCTCTGCCTGAATCGCGGCAATCCTTTGAAGTCGCCGCAGCCAATCTCGACTCGTCAATTTTGTTTTCTCTCGTCAAACTGGTTTTTTCGAGTGCGAGCATCCGTTTACTGATAAGCCGATGGTCATAAACCAAGCCCGCTGTAGCAAGGGCACGGCTATTGGGCCATAAAATATGCGTTTTAACTCTGGCGTGAATATTTAACTGCTGCAAATAACCCGCATAACCCCGCTGAGCGTTCGCCTTAGTAAAGGTAATTACATGTAGGGTACTGCACTGTGCAAAGGCAAAATCTTTTTACTTCGGTTGGATTTGAACCCACGACCTCCGGATATATTTACCGTTGCTCTACTGAGTAAGCTATGAGGCCTGACGAGGCAAGTCGTGGGTAATTAACGTGGTGAATCGCCATAGGGAAAGAAAGTGATGGGTACATACGAAGTGATGCTGTGCCGCGTAGCACTATGAGGAAAATGATGGAACAGAGAATTAATTCTAGAACGAAAATTTTGCAAGAGATAGTTAAGCAGACGAAACACGATATTACGTTCCCACCTCTCCCTGTGCACCGCATCTCTGCCCATTTTTTTCTCCTTACGTTGTCATTGCTCTAGAATGTAAACCTTATGAAAATACAGGGAATATTGACCAAAGAGATCATTGGTTTTTCTTTAATTTACAAATTCAAGTTGGGGCTACTTAAATTAGGGGATTTAATATATTTAGACAATGCGAAGGGCTCTTTGTGTGCATGATTACTATTCATATAGTCTTCCAAGTACTTTCAATAATTTCGTTAAAAGCATTAATAAAGTACATCAATATGCAACCAGGCTGGCCTCTAAGAAGTCTTATTATTTACCGAAGGTTAGGGCGAATTATGGAAAGTTTAATATCCGTTTTAGTGGGGCTAAACTGTGGAATGCTATTAAAGAAGATCTAAAATCAGTGAGTCGTTTTCGCTTTAAAAAGCTTTTAAAAGAATCTGTCATCTCCAAGTATTGATTGGTGTACTTTATATGCAGGTAATTGTGTGCACAGCCGTTGTTTTCGTCTTGCTTCTTTGTTTATTTGTTTGTGTATTTGTTTATTTATTACAGCTTATATATTTCTTCTTTGTGTGTCTTTGTGTGCATTTGTTTATTTATAACAACTTCGATATTTAGTTACTTTTTCCGCATGGCCCAGCCACTCAGTGCGATTAGCTCTTGCTATTTCTGAGTGGCTGTGCTCTCTTTTTTTTCACAATTATTTCGTTATAATGTCTTAACACTTTTTGTATCAAGAGCACGGTAAAGATTGTTGTTGTTGTTGTCAAGTTGGGATTCTTTCCGAATTTCAGGTTTCAAATCATCAATTTGGAGCGAAGAATCTATTGCTTGGTTGAAAAGTAGAGTTTCCGGAGTGAAATTATCAGCATTCCCGACCAGAGTGAAAGTTGGCAAGCTCGTAATCGTCGATCTGTTTGTGTCGCCTCCAAAAAATAGGAACGCTAGGAGCTTTGTTTCGTCTCAGAGCGAATCTGAAGGCCTCCCTCAACTGCAGTACAGCATTGCAGAAATGATGATACATATTGGCTTGGCTCAAAGAATCGCACCGTCAGTTTCTGATAAGGATAGCAGCAGTCGATCCGCCAGTTCAAGTCCGTTATCTGCGGCAAGTTGCGATTCTTTACCTCGCAGCGTAAGCAGTGTTAGTATTGAAAGCAGTGTTCATGATGGTGCTGTGGCTATTGGCCAGAATTGCGACGCTCCAAATGAAAAATGTGAGAAGAAATGGACAGACGAGAGTGCGAATACGGACACGTCAACTTGTTCTACTTCGTCCAAAGACACAGTTTTGCACAGAGCTGTTCATGTTGCGAAGAAAGTAGCGGATGATAGCTTAGAGGTTCAAGATAAATCTATGGAAGACAAAGGAAATTCTAAAGATGATTACATAAAAAAGGAAAGCCCATTGGAACAAGGAACTGATGATTGTTCAGGCTCTGAACCTAATTTGGAAGGAGAAAATCACGAGAAGTCCATTGATGACAATGACATCGTGCGGAACGGTAAGATACTTGCTATCGTTATTCGTTAACAAAAACCACCAGCGGAAAAACGAAACTATAGTTGTCGATATTTCAAATCATGAAAAGGTCTAAAGAAAGAGAAGTACAGAGAAACTTGTGAGAAATCGATAAAAAACGATGACATTGCGCAGAAACGCAAGAAGTTATAAACCTTTAATACTTATCTTGTGCTAATTTTTAAGCCTACACCTGGAAAACGAAATGGTCACTGCTGAGATTTTTCATATTCGTATGATTTTGTCTTTTTGAATAGCGATTTTGAAATAGAAAGTGTTCCGTAAAGGACTTTTTTGTTACTGCACTTGTTGCTCGTATAGATGGTGCTTAAGTATTCTATCCTTGTTTAGGTGAGCCGATTTTCTTCGAGGGCTAAGAAAAGTATACGTCCGTTGTAACCACTTTTTATAGGCCTTTTCTTCTCTGTCGCTTAGACGTCACAGTGCTCCCAGAGCTCCTGCCTGCATCGGGTCCTGAAGAGTCGTTCATCACAGAGCTCCCACCCATGGATGGCCCAGTGTGCCTTCAGATGCTTATGTCCCATGTGGTGAGCCCCAGCGAGTTCTATGTACATCTTGTCACGCCAGATGCGGGACTCCTTGATGTTATGATGGATGAACTTAACAAGTTCTATGACGGTAAGTTGGTAGTTACATGTAACTATTTTTCACAGGAAATGTTGAAGTAGCACTTCTGGAGGTCATCCACAGACTCAAAAGTAAGAACCACTTTGTACAGCGTAATAACCCAAAAACATAGGAAAGTACTGCCCAGTAGCTTTCACCGAAACGGTTTGAATTGTAACACTTAAGTTTTTTTTCACCAATCACAGACTCAAAAGTCAGAACCATCTTGCACAGCATAATAAACAGTATAACAGGAAAGTACTGCTCAATGGCTTTCATTTGAATGCTCACACTTTAGGATTTTATCCACGGACTCAAAAGTCAGAACCACTATGTACAGCATAGTAAACAGAACCACAGGATTTTATTCAATGGCAAAACTTAGAATCCCCTCGTACAGCGTAGTTAACAGTACCACAGGAAAGTACTGCTCAGTAGCTTTTGTGTGATTGGTCACATTTCGAAATTTAGATTGACAGTTGCCACTTTCCTGTCACAACAGGGGACCCGTTTCCAGACAGCTGCGCGCCAAGGAATGGTTACCAGCCCAAGGTAGGCGAATACTGCTGTGCGCGGTTCAGCGAGGACGGGAGATGGTACCGTGGCCTGGTAACAAGTTCACGTCATACAGTAGACGAGAAGAAAGGACCAGTGTCTGCTCTTTGGGATGTACGAGTGTTTCACGTTGACTTTGGGAGTTCCGAGTGGGTCTCTGTCAAAGATGTCAAGCCGCTTGTGACCAAATTTCTGTCGCAGCCTAGACAAGTTGTGAAATGTCGGCTTGCAAATCTCAAACCTGAACGTCTTGAAGGTCAGTCGTGATAGTTTCTTGCAGTACTTTTCTCTTGTTTGGGAAAGATGTTAATACAAACTGCCATGTTTTTAACGGGTTGTTGAATTAACCAATCGAAGCTCACGACAGAGCTCTACAAGCGGGAAAAATGTATTCAATGTTTATCGCGGGAAAAAATGCAACCTGTTCGAAGCGCGTGAAATTATTATGCTTTACTTATCACATGCGTGATTAAACCGTCGAAGTCAAATCACGGTTGATGAATTGTTTACAAATCTCTAAGTTTGTTCTGAGGATGCATGACTTGAGCTATTCCATTTAACTCATTATAGATTGCTTTAAAAACTTTTAAGTTTTCTTTTGCTCATAACTACTATAATGAACAAATTTCTGTGCAACATTGTCACTTCATTGCTATAAATTGCTCGAAGACTGTTCAAACACTACTTACAATTTTGGCCTTTAAACTGCTAAATTTTCGTTTAAACTTTAAAGATACAGCCTTAGACCGTTCATCGTGAACGTAGGGTTCTTGCTTGATTTTCAAGGACTAAATGCAGTGATAGCCACAGATTAACAATGTTGTCTTCTTTATCATGCCACTGGCCCAGAATTTGCCGCAAACGTTGCCGACAAAGTTATTGACGATCTGCAGTGAGCGTGCCAGATTTTCCGGACAAGCGACCTCATTTTCACGCTCTATGGACAACAAACATAGTTTTCTGAAAAATTCGGGTTTTGGTTGAGAAGTAAGAGTTTTCTCTTGCAAAAATGAGGTCAATGAAGGCGGGGAGGGGCGTACCGAAGTACTAATGAGGGATAACCCTCCCCTGAGTTCCGGACCTCGATATATGTTAAGGTCAAACTACATATATATAATGATCGCACTGAGCACAGCTGCCCATGTGGGAAGAAATGTGTAACCCTTTCTTGAGCGCATGCGCAGTTTGTTAAGTTGTCGACTGGGAGCTTGAATGAACTTGCTAGAGTTAGGAGACTTGATTTGCGTGTAACTTTTCGTAAGTTTTGAATGGCTTGAATTTCCTCTTACTGCATTTTATTTTAGAACGTGTCTCTTTTAAAAGCCGGTGAACGATTCAGTCCCCTCTAATTTTCTTCCCATTCGATTTTCTACTAAAGTTCACCGGTGCAGACACCATAAGAAATGGTAAAGGCATTTTGGTTTGGTCGTAATTTTAAATCCAATTCATCGTGTACATCTTTTGCGGCATTGCTATTTGTATTGATTCCTAGTGTTCAATCGATACCACGATTTTTTCTCGAAACAACGTAACCGAATTCATGGGCACATTGTATTTTATTCAACCATGAAAAGGTGTCGAATGTACTCCTGATGTATCTGATGCGACAGTCTACATCTTTCAAAGCCGATAAAGCGAACGGAGAAAAGTTAACATTTTATTCCTCCCGCTAACTTTTTTAGTCTTCACTTTTACTGTAAAAAATAATAGGCCAGTATATAAGAGCGCTTTTCTGTTGGCAAATAGACTTAAAGGCCAAGTAAACAAAGCAGTCTTTCTTCGTAACTTGTCGCGCAACCGTGTGAAAGTGAAAAACTGCATTCCGATTTTGGTAGCGTATTAATATACGCGGACTGAAAAAGAAGGCGTCGCTTCTAGTCTTTCTACAACATATGGAAGTTTGTTGCGAACGTAGATTATCAGATATAAGATGGCTTTAGTCGGTAGTTTTTATTGCGAAAGTAACACAGTTGGCGTTCATGACAACGGCTGAACTACAAAAATGAAAAGATATGATTCCGTCAATGGACTAAGAAATGCGGGGAAAAAGAGTAAGGCCACTTTGAAGTTGTCATTAGGGCTGCCGGTAAAATAGCGCGGCTTTCTCTCTCTCTGTGATTCAGGAGAAGAGAGATGTTCGTAGTTAAGAATCGCTAAAGCTTTTTAATGTTAGTATAGTACAGCACTAGATCGCAATGTGAAGCACTACGTTCTAACTGATATATTCCCAAGGATAACACCTCTGGAAAAACTTTGAGTAGTAAGCACATAAAAAAGCGAGAATGTTTTCAGCAAGAGAAGAATCCTATCCTCTTTGACGAAGAAATACAATAAATAATTGAAAAATGGGTGAAACAGGTAGCGTGATTCTATGTGTCTGGCGGAGAAGATAATTGTCATATTGTCATAAGAAACGAAATATGTAAAATAATCTGAATCTTCTGAAAAAGGGAAAAACCCCTATTCTACAATCGGTAATGACGTCATTTATGCACAGCATACATTTATAATGAGTCAGGTGGTCCGGCAATTGGTGTCAGGTGGTCCGTTCAATTAGTTTTCTTTTTCTCTCGTAAGATATTAGTTCTTTTTAAAGAAAACCTCGGACGCGTGCTTTTTTCAAAACTGTCCATTTCTGAGGCCAGAGTGGCTCGACTGTGAAACTGATTTTTTTTTCTCCTAAACATTATAATATGTAGGCAAAAGAGATAGTGAGCTGTGTTTAAAAAACAAAAATCTCGGATTAATGTAAAACTTTGACGCAGGGGTTATGTAAAGTTGAGATTTTACACATGCTTCTCCAGTTTTGAATGTAGATAATGATTGAAAATAAGCAAAATTTTAAATTTTGACAAGTTAACAGTCGCCGTGCCAGTAGTCCAAAAACAAAATGAAATCTTGGGAGACATCGGCCTGAAGCGAGCGGATTTGAGCTGTTTGCACCCAGAACCAACAGCTAAATATCTCCTGTCTAAACATGAAGCAAGGCTGATAAACTTTTTAGTTGAACATTGGTGAGTTAAGGCCAAAACCACGGTTTTGGAAGCCATTTTGTCGGGTAGGAAACCGCGTGAGAAGTAACAGTGTTTGTACGAGAATCTAATGTCGAATAATTTTCGCAAAGCGGCTGTTCTGAAGAAAGTAGCAGTTGTAAACTTAAGCTACATAGCAAAGGGTTCTACTGACAAATTCTAGGGGCCGTACCTGTGCTAAAATTTCTCCAGTAGCTTGCTTTAGTTTTTGCATAAATCTGTCCGTACTTTTTCCAAGGAAATTTAGTCGGCAGGTCAAAAAAATTACAGACAAGTGTATAGAAAATTTTAAAAAGTGTTTCTAGCGCAGGTAAAGCCCTCAACTGCCTAATATGGCTTCTAAAACAGTGTAAAGGTCTATTCTTCAAGCTAGGGATCTAGACATTTGGCTCCAACCTTTTAAATTATGTTATGTTAATTTGAAGTTGTTTGTAATCACGCAAGAAACAGCGATGTAAAGTGATTCCAACTCATAACATTATATCATACAGAGCAAATTTGGCGGCGGTTTTTCAAGTGAACCTTAGGAAAACTATTTTAAAACTTAGTTTGCGATTGGAGAGAAGGAGCCAGAAGCGGCAATTTCCATAAAGGAGATCGTTTAATCAATTTATTTACAGGACAAATCTCTAGTCCTAAGGCTTCGCCCAGGGTTCGCAAATACGCCAAATTTGGCGTATTTTACGCCAAAATTGTTCAGATGACTCCACAGAGGTTACGGAGGGAGTCACTTTGACTTCAGAAATTTTCGGTTACAAACAGGGAGCCACTTCGACTCCAGAAATTTTCGGTAACACACACAGTTTTGTCCCTACCTTTTTCGCAACAAATGCAATTTACGTTAATTGTAAACGTTGCAAACCTTAATTAAATCATCAAAATTAAAGAATGATACTGCACGACAAAACAGGAAGAGGGTAAATTACGATCAAAGTTTACTCGATGACCGCCATCATGGATTTGAGCTTTCTAGGTCAGTGGACCCCCACAGCTACACCGTTAATCCATCACGATAGTTATTCATGCCAGGACCACGTGCTGTAAAGTCTGAAAAGGGCTTTTTTCGTTGTGATACTTGACTCCAAATTTTCCAAAATGACTCCAAAATTTGTGAAGCGGAAGTCACAGTGACTGCACTCATCAATAAAATTTGCAATCCCTGTTCGCTTTTGCTAAAGAAGAGGACTTTCATAGATGAAATGAAGCACTAAACCTGCAAAATCACACAGGCAAGTTACCTGTGGAGTTTAACCAAAAATATATAAATAAAGTTATAAAAGAACACAACCGTTGAATTTCTGATGTCGGTATATTCAATAACAGACAAACTGGTGGCCGCAGTGAGCAGGTAAAATTCGCACGAGAGCTGGTTGTTTTAGTATTCTCACTTTTAACCGTAAAATAGAATTTTTTTTTAGTTATTAAAAGCAAAAGATGAGGTCAATGAGCGGGGAGGGGGGAGATCAACTGATTTGTAAGTAGTAGATAACCCTCCCCAAGTCCGGACCTCGATAGAGTACATGTTTATCCTAACTATATATATTGCTCGCAGTTAGACGGGTTTTCCATGTGGTATAGGTTTCCGAACCATTGACTTCTTCGCTCGCGCGCGCATGTGCGTTCACTGTAGTGGTGTTAAGTTTGTTTTACTTCTGTCGTTAATGATTGGAAGTAAACAGATTCAAAGGTTTTTTTATTATTATTATTATTACGGCAATATGGACACACATGGAGTTACCGAAAATATGTTGAATGTATGTTGGATGAGTAATATAAAAGCAACAATTATGAAATAAGCCACGGGGCGAGTATCGTTGATGCTTGTGTGTTTTGGCGAGTAGAATTTGTCGTGTCATCAGTCAGGCGGCTGAACAGACGTTTTTCATTTTAATGCAGCTTGTCATGCATTTTTTTTTTAGTAATCTCTCATAAGCGACCGTGTCTCGTCAACAGAACGCCGGTAAATGGTGCAACCTAATGTGCGATGTATAGTAATTAGTTGATATCACGCAGTCCTGAAAATTTTGGGTAAATACAGTACAACCTTGTCAACTCCAAATCGGACAACTCGAAAACCCCGCTGACTCGAACTATATTTCATTTCCCTTGATCAAAACTTCACTGAAATTTACCCCGATAACTCGAATTCCCCGCTAACTCGAACTGTTCTTCGTTTTCCTTGAGAGTTCGAGTTCCTGAGTTTCTACTGTACATATACGGAACATACTACAATTGTAATTATCCATATGGTTTTTCTCTTTGTATCACACTTCAGTTGCCTTTTTTAATTCAAAAAGCGAAAAGCCTGCTGACAAAAGCGACAGTTCAATCAGCGGGAAAGGCGACTGGATATTACTACGTTAAATACAATAATCTTAAGTTTATATCAAAGAAAATATAAAAGAAAAATAATAATAAAAAAATATAACAGAAAGTAGGTAGCTACAATGTAGTAATCAGTACAGAATTGTTATTGCAAACTTTATGTAAATTTATCACGAATTGCTCTTAAGAAAGGGAAAAACCCCCACTCGACATTCAAAGTGACGTCATCTATTTTTGGATGCATTTTGGATGCATCGAATAACGGCGTCGCTAACATGTACATAATTCAAGGTGGCCTTTGCGTTTAAGTCGTCCCAACTTTCTCTAAAATGTTTTTAGCCTGTAAGGTGTTATAGTTTAGGAGAGGGATAAAAAGCTTTTCCTTGCTATTTTTTTTTTCTTTGCTCTAACGTGGGCAAAATGCGATGTTTATATGTTTATATGTTTATATATTTAAGCGGAAAGGCTATTTTTCTGTCACGCTCCGCAGTAGTTTTGGCTATAGCTTATGCAGGCTTTTTCGTTTTGTTGGCTAGTTTTTTTTTTCGTTTAGAGATATATCCTTTTCAAAATCTCAGCCCCGGGCTTATTCTTAAAATATTCTAAACGTTTTCGCAGATTTCAAGCTCGATAGTCTAATAAAATAATATACACCTTGATGAAGGCCAGTATAATCGGTCGAAATTTAGGTGACTTGAAAATCACACTCTTTATTTGTGCTGAGTAAATTTTTACTATGAAAACGTCTATTTATTATGAATGCCTATGATAGACTACTTATTAAAAAACGAAGAATGTGTTCTCTTTACTGCTTTGAGGCTAAGGACGAAATCCTTCGAAATCATTCAAACAGAACGCTTTAGCAGTACTTTTACATTGTATGTTATCTTTTTCTGTACAACAAAATCGTTCTTTTCGTTACTGTTAATTTCGGGGTCTTAGAAGGGTCACTCGTTCATATCTTTTGCCAGTCAGAGAAACCGCGTGGTAATATTTTCTTCTTCTTCTTTTTCTTTTTTAAATTATCACCCTGTAAAAGCGATTTTACCGTAGGCTTAAGAAATCATATCGATGTTATCGATATCTTGAATTGAAGGATTTATGAAATTTCTGTTTCTCCACACAGATTACTCTCAAACTACAGAACAAAATCCTTCTCCACAAACAAATTCTGAGGTGAAAGTTGTTTCCAGTGCCGAGGAGAAGGGACAACTGTCGCAAGAAGAGAAGCCATCCTCATTCCCCGAGCCGTCGTCGAAGACAGAGCCTTCACCCTCGTCAAAGTCTCGCAAAAGAGATCGCCGAAAAAGAAAACGGCCTCCGAAGATCAATTTGAAAGATCAAATTATAAGAGCCGCTGGTGACGAGTCGTACGACAGTAGTGAGTTGAGCGAGTTGGAGTTCTTTAAGAGCAGAGAGGAAGAGCGAAGAGGAGTAAAGCCAAAAGAAAGAAATGTTTCCTCTGATAAAAGTGATAAATCAGCTTTCCCGGTAGGTAGCTTTTTATTGAACACTGCATTAACGTAGATAACGAAATAATGGTTAACGTCCGAGCCTTAGATGGCGCGTTTGGCTTCCATTCGGTCCAGGATTCCAAACTTGGCCAAAACATACTGCTAATCTAGATCACCTTTTCCACTCTACTAAAAAAAATTAAGGGGAAATGGTGTGCTTTGGCCTTCGCGTGGCTTCATCTTTGATTTCAGGAGGAAGCGAGGGTGGGAGGCTATTCCATTATAGTAAAATCCAACTAGTGGTCTATTATCAATGCTGCATTCTGATTGTTTGAGCTACCACTAGGCTATATGTTATAGCCCCTAGTAGCGAAAACCGGGCGCTTTTTGGCGGCAAAAAAGGCTTAAAGTCTAGGTTTTAACTGGCTAAATTTTTTTTTATTCTCTATATTTTTGACCAACTAGTTGGATTTTACTAAAACAATTATTCCTCTCGCCCTCGTGGCCTCTGAGTCTAGCCTATTCGGCCTTCAGCCTCATGGGCTATTGACTCAGAACCCATTCGGGCTCGAGGAATAATTGTTAATTATTCTGTTTAACATTGTAGGTGTATGATGGATTGCGAGCAGTCTCTTCAGTATTTTCTTCAAAGTCACTCCCTTTTTGGCTAAAAGCGTGTTTAGTGCCTACGCGCTTACTCCGCCTGAGGACTCGACGGATCTAAGAGAAAAAGCGGACTGCAAGCAGTCTAGGTGTATAAATGATTACATTATTACTACTGTTCCACGCGGTCTCAATTGACCCAGCTGTTTCAGTGGGTACATCGTCCCGCTGAAATTTTCGTGAACCATAAACTTTGCGTGATATGTGGTCCCTTCACCCTGTTGCATGAATGGGTCGTGGCGATACTGCTAGTTATAGCGTCCACACGTCCCCCCACCCCCCGGAAAAAATAGACTAGCATCTCATCCGGGGGAGAGAGAGTAATTATATTCCTCCTCTGGGCGGGTGGGTGGAGGCTGCGAATCGTCATACTTTGGGTTACTTAATTGTACAATTTTAAGTGCTTCTACGTCCATTTTACTTCACCATATATGTTTCTTTGTTACAGGAAAAATATTTACTGCCTAGCCCGGATGTAAGTCCGGACAAATCCTTTCCACTTCCTGTTTCTACTCAAGCCCCTGCTGTTGACGACGATCAATGGGCCAGCGGTGCGGCGGAGCTGTTAAGTGGTCTGACTGACGAGAACCGGAAGTTAGTTGGCTACATGGTTCCCTGGGATCCCTGGGTATACCAGCAGCTGTTTAACCCTTCCGCTGGAGGAGCGATGGTAAGGAACTTCCTCGCGCTGTAAAATAATCGAAAATTTGATTTTGTCTTATACTGGAAAACATTTTACCATGTAAAAATACTGCTAAAGAGGTTTCATATGAATGGTCAGATCATAGAACTTCGTCTACAGACTTTGAAGTTAGAATGATGTTGCTCATATTTCAAGGGTATGAGCGGTGATCTTTTTGTCGGTCCCTAGGGCCTGTCTCTCAAAAAAGAAACCCCGCTTTACGAACACCCGCTTGATACAGACACGCCATTATTACGGACTTGCTTTGTCCGTCGGGAAAGAAAGCCCTTATATTTTCTTTGAATTTAACCCGCCGCTTGATACGGATGCCCCGTTATTACGGACAATTTTTATGGCCCTCTCAGTATCCGTATTAACGGGGTTTCACTGTGAAATAGTACCAAACAGGTTTAAGAGGCGGTCCGTGTAAGAACCGACCACTCGAATTTCCGCGGAAAACAGAATTCCTTCATTTTTTTTCTGCAACATAATTAGCCCATTCCATTAACAAATATCGAATTTGTTTGGCTCATAGTGCTTTTTAAAAAAAATTTGGGCGGCGATTTGCCTGGACGGTCCAAAGCTGTCATGATCGTCTTTTTGAAGGTCAAATTTAAGCGTGTTGTTCAAAGCTCGCAAAAATTTCGCATTTATCCAAATAGCATAAAACAAAAGTGTGATTTTAATTCATGCTTCCTTTATTCAAAAAGGCAAAATATTTAAATTCTGACTTAAAAAAACGAGTTATGATGTTTTGAAAATATCACGTAAAGCGTCCTTGAAAAAAAATGCGCGGTTATCCTAGTTTTAAAATAAGCTTTTTTCAAAAGTCTGACGTTATCTGGAGTCTTGGTCACCCTCCTGTTCAGTAATAGGGCTAGTGTATCGAAATCAAGAAAAACATTTTTGGGCACTGTTGATTCCGAAGCACAAGAGTTCGATAAAGTTGGGTAATATTTTACTGTAATTGTGCGTATGACGTAATTTACGCATTTTGGTGATTCCGAACTTTCCCACTGAAAATCAAACCGAGAGAGCAAATGTATTTAAAAGTGGCCTTTATTGTTCGAGATAAACTGTGAACAGCTAACAACTTACCAAATGCTACACGAAACTAGGAATTGCGAAGTTTAATAGTCGAAATTATCGATTCCGGGGTAAGTTGTCAGTCGTCTAAGTTTACTTCTAAAAGCCGTTTACAAAATTTCATTCAATTAAATTGGTCGTAGGTTTTCCTGATCAACAAAAAAAGAAAAAGCTTTTCATTCAGGTTAAGCATATAATTACTTGACGAAAGTGAGTCCTGTTTAAAAGAATTACACATTTTATTAAAAACACCCAGTACATTACAGCCGAAATTCAAATCATCTGAACAGTGTTAATTTCCCGTCACGCTGGCTACGCGTGAATGTCAGTCTTTTAGCTTGTCACGCGTATGTACCTTTTTAGTACGGTTGACAAAAAAACATGTTCTTTTCTAATTCGACTTTTCAAAAAGTATAAAGGTCTTAAAACGTCTTTTCAAGTTTTCGAAAAATAACTGCCTCCACGATCTTTTTGAACTCGAGGTCGAAAAACCCTGTTGGTTACTATATTAAATAGCGGTTTGTGCCTTAATGCGGCTGGTTACAGTTACAGCCTTCAAGAAATTCGGATAGGTTCGCTACAAGAATTTTTTTTTCTATCGCGAGAACTAAAAGGAATTTCAAAAAGTATAAAGGTCTTAAAACGTCTTTTCAAGTGTTTGAAAAATAACTGCCTCCACGATCTTCTTGAACTCGAGGTTGAAAAACCTGTTGGTTACTATAATAGCGGTTTGTGCCTTAACGTGGCTGGTTACAGTCACAGCCTTCAAGAAATTCCGATAGGTTCCTACAAGAATTTTTTTTTTCTATCGCGAGAACTAAAAGGAATTTCAAAGTATTTCAACATGTCCTTGAGCATAGCAACGCTAAATCTTTCAAGTTTCTTCTCGTGTGAAAGGTCACATAAACAATATGAATCATAGCAGATCGGATGCTTAGGACCAAGGTGGGTGGCTACCTCTTCCAGGGTGGCTCGTCTTTCCTGCTCTTCCTGTTCCGCCTCTACGTCTTCATTGAGCGCTTCCCGATGTGCTTTGCTTCTTCGCGAGGCCGCTAGCCTCGAAAAAAATCCCTGTACTTGACCCTTTGTGAGCCAATGTTTCCTCTCAAACATCCGAGAACTGTCTGGGTTTCTTGCAGTTCGCACATCTGCTGCCACTTTTGCGGGATCTGACTTGATGCCAGTTCTTTCTTCAAGATCAAATTTCGTTGTTAGGTTCTGTTTAACCTCGGTAGGAAAACGCACAGCTTCGTTTCGGGGCTTGTGTAGAACCCATCCAGTCTGCAAGTCACTGCACTCGGGAAAGCGGCCAGTTTTATTCTTTTCGTGATGCTCCTCTACAACTGCTTCAGGCACGCTTCTGATTTCTTCGTCCTTATCAACAGTACGAAATTTCTCCGCCCAGTCTCTTCTGAGCTTGTCATACACCGTATCAGAGTTTCCGCGAACTTGGCTGTGCTCTCCAACATCAAGGTGATTTTCGAGTTCACTGAATTTCTTGAAAACCATGTTGCACCCGGGCTCAGAACAAGAGAAAAGACCGTTGCATTGTTCATTTTCACTGTTTGTCTCTCTCTTATACACTCGAGCTTCTTTGAGAGGAAAGAAGTTTTCATGCACAATGAGACCAGTAGGACCTTGAGGTTCAGTTATGACCTCTCGGTAAGGAATAAACTTGCCTAGTCCAACACCATAAGCTTTCCATGCTCTAATTCCTTTCACTTCAAACTTGAAATTGTGATACTTGCTGAAACCTTCTATCTTATGTAGTTCGAGTGTCTTTTGAGTCTCATTCATTGCGCACACGGAGGCAGTTGTACCTTGAACAGGACGTTCTGAAAGCGCTACACGCATGTCTTTCGCAGAAACGACATCGTGTCCTTCATTGCAATATCGTCGGATGGATGATTTCATTGGACAAAGGATTCTATCACAGATATCTTTTCCATACTGCGGCTCGGAAAAGTCATACAGTGCTACTTCAATGCCTACTCGTCTTCCGGCATCTCTAACGGCGGCTAAGAGAAAGTTATTGTGGTAACAGCCTGCTTCGTCACTCCTTAGGTTCACTTGGGTAATCTGGGGATGTTCTTTCTTTACAACCTCAAGTGTGTTTTCGATGATCGAGCATACTGCGTACCAGTCTTGCTGGCAAGAGTCGAAGATATGAGCATAAGATTGCAGCTCAATTTTTCCAGAGTCAACATTCTTAGTTATAAAGGTGGAAATATGCCAGCTGAGCCCCCGTTTGCCGAACCATTCAGACTGTTTCTCACGAAATTTTATTTGGAGGAACTTCATGGCCCAGTCCATGATCAGAATGGCTGACTGTGGGTCTTCTGATTTCAGTGCATCTTGTTTCGCCTCCTCCTGATTTATTGAGCGTACAATGTGCGCTTTCCACAGCAAGATGTCTGACTGTGCACGGTCAAAGTCGTAAAGGACATCTTCTCGTTGTTCGCAACTGTAAGGCTTCCATGACGACCCTTCAATCGCTAGTCTCACTTCCTTTAGAACATCCTTCAGCCCTTGGCATTGCTCGCAAGTCGATTGATGCTGATGCGGACAAGGATGCTGGAGCTCGGGATCAACAGGATCACTAAGCGCAAACTTTCTACAGTGGTCAGCACAAGTAGAGTAATGCTGTTGACAGTGTACACGGTAGTCAGTTTTGAGATAGCGTTTAGCATCGCGTAGGTTTTGGCAAATACGTAAACACCACTGTTTCTCCATTCCTCCCTTCTCAAGAGTTTCAACCAGCGTCTCAATAGTCTGAAAGCCCGCAGCACCATCTGCAGCCGTATTGTCCAATCCCTGGAGCGATTTACGCTGAGACGCTTCTCGAACCTCCAATATTTTAAACAGAGAAGACCTACTAAGTGGCTCGTGACATTGCTCTTTGCAATACTCCAAGTATTGCTCAATCATTGTAGACCTGGTCAGGATCCTTACAACGTTAGGCATCTCAATTCTGTCACCATTATCTAGGGTGAGTACCTTGTTACCATATGAAACATCCTGATAAAAGTACGGTCTATTAATGAACTCTACAAAGTGGTCGACCTTCCCCATATCAAGGCGTACGCGATGCTTCGTCTTGATTTCAGGCATGGTCCCAGGACCGTGCATTTTAGCATGAGAACGTGCTTGCTTTATTTCCCATGTAGAGAGACTTCCGTAAGGTTGGTGAATTTTCTTCAGTTTGGTCATAGGGTATCTTTGAGCGTAAAGGCTCAGAATCTGTTTCTTTAAATTCCTGGTCTTTGCGTTCTTATAAGCAGTCATGAGTACCACAAGATCATCGGGGACTGCGCCATCAAATAATTCTCTTTGTACAGACATCATTGACTCGAAGAGCTCCTCTCCGTTACCTGGGGCAATTACATTACATACGTGCAAGCAGTCCTCTTTAGCCTTTTTTACAAATTTCAGCTGTTCCCCATCGCTTAAGTTTTGGAATGGAGTTTTAAGCTGATATTTAAGAGGTTCGCGTTCTACTTGTTCTTGTGTAGTAAGACTCGCAATTGTATCCATCGCCTCGTTATACCTGCCGACTGCATCGGTTACCACGGGTGAAGTTAAAGAGGCCTCCTCTGACCCTGGAGTCCAGCATGGTGTTATCGGATTCCAGGAAGCTGGCGTTGATTGGTCTTCAAGAAATGGAGTGGAAGTGACCATGCGACCGATGGCTCCCACAGCAGCCTCTTTAGCAGGTCTGCGGAGAATAAAAATGGAAAGGTTGCTACTTAGTTGCCTTGCGATAGGATAACCTGACAGGACAACCGTGTGTGTGTTTTTTATAAAACAACAACCAAACGACTACCCTCCCGACAGTACCTTTGAAGGAGCACATCTCCCTCAGTTTCCTCAGGGTATAGCCAGTCTGATTTCCGATCTACTTCTTCACTGTGTTTCTTTCTGCACGTTGTGCAAATAGCTATAGTAACAAAAAGAAACAAAAAAAGTTTTCCAACCTGGAAAGACTTGTTAAAAAAATACTGAATTTACTACTAAGTTGATAATAGAAGCTATATGTTTATATCCCATCTTGGAAATTATGTTATATAGGCTATAAATTAGCGACCGAATTTATGGATGATGCACAGCAAAGAACTATTGCTGTAATGAACTACAAAAACCAAATTATGATCATTTGATATGTTATTTTTTTGGAAATGATTTTCTGGCTCCAAAATACTATCAAATACGGATCGATCGTTTATCGTTCAGAAAATATATAGAATGGGACTTCCCTCAATCTACAGCTCGCTTTTAAGTAATTACGAACGAAAGTATTTAGTTGAAATGTTAAGGAAGACAAAACCCTTTAATTCTGATATGTTAATTATAAAATGAAAGCATAAAACAGTTATAGTTGCTAGTCTGATAGTACTTACGCGAGCCAACGGGAACGGCTTCTTCAAAGATATTTTTATTTCCCTTGCAGTCTTGAAATTAATAACATGTGTTCCGGCTATTGCCATTTTCTTCCCGTGATGTTTTGGATACTGGCAGGTCTTTGGAGCTTGCCAGTATTTTCCCAAAGTGTAACGATGGACTGGACAAACCGTCATATTCTTGATCTGATCATCAGTGAGTTCTAACAGACCTACCCTTGCCAGTATCAGATCCATTTCACAAACATTTTCCCTTGACAGGTGGTGATTCATTAGGTGTGAACTAATGTCAGCGTTGCAACTATTCAAGCACACAAAATCGACACATCCTCGATTACTTCCGCATTTTCCGCCTGTTAATGCGGAAAAAGAACAAAATGCAGCCATTCTATCTGCGAAGGTTATCTCGGCGCACTGTAAATACGCTCTACGTTTTGTGTTGCAAATTTGCATACGATATTAAATTAAGTGAACGACGCCAGAAAAATTAACTTAAATTGAATTAAAAACTTGAAGAAATTTTTAGTAAACCAGCAAAACATTTTTATTCTTAAAAGTAGCCAGTTTTTTTGTACCTTGTTTATTGTACCTCGTTAAGCCTGATAAGTAGTTTCAGCTTCGATAAAATAACATCCAACATGTTTTGCACTGCAAAGTGAAATCTGAAATTGACATCCTCAGACACAATATAAATGATGTCGTCTGCACGCAACAACTTGTGGCTAGAAAATTTGGTACATTTTGGTAAACTATTTCTTTGCTGGATCGTGTCATAACTTTTGAGGTGGTAATTACACGGTAAATCTATTCACAGTGTGTTTTAAATTTTTTTACCGTTCTAGCTCCTTTATTTCAACGAAATTTCTTAACTGTTTAGCCACCACTTGACATAGCAACATTCACCGGAGCTGCTACGTTTTTTTGGAACATCCCAATTTTAATTTAGGACAATATGTAGTGGATTTTAAGATATTCACTGTTTGTCCCCAGCATTAAGTTAGTTTTGAAAATAGTTGCTCCCTGACAGTAATGATTTTTAGTTTTATAGTAGGAAAGTTCGGAATCAAGAAAATGCGTAAATTACGTCATACGCACAATTACAGTAGATTGTTACCCAACTTTATCGAACTCTTGTGCTTCGGAATCAACAGTGCCCAAAAATGTTTTTCTTGATTTCGATACACGAGCCCTATTACTGAACAGGGATAGTGACCAAGACTCCAGAGAACGTCAGACTTTTAAAAAGAGCTCATTTCAAAACTAGGATAACCGCGCATTTTTTTCAAGGACGCTTTACGTGGTATTTTCAAAACATCATAATTCCTTTTTTGGGGGGTCAGAATTTAAATATTTTACCTTGTTTGAATAAAGGAAGCATGAATCAAAATCATACTTTTGTTTTATGCTATTTGGATAAATGCGAAATTTTTGCGAGCCTTGAACAAAACGCTTAAATTTGACCTTAAAAAAGACGATCATGACAGCCTTGGACCGTCCAGGCGAATCGCCCCTCAATTTTTTTTTAAAAAAGCACTATGAGCCAAACAAATTCGATATTTGTTAATGGAATGGGCTAATTATGTCGCAGAAAAAAAATGAAGGAATTCTGTTTCCCACGGAAATTCGAGTGGTCGGTTCTTACACGGACCGCCTCTTAATCAGTATAAATGGTCACATCATTAGCGTGATATTTCAAGGGTATTACAGGGTTTTCCACAGTTTTTTAAAGTAGCAGACATATATTTGAAACGCCGAAGGTGCGAGCTACCTAGGGGGCGGGGGGTCTGGAGGACACGCTCGCCCAGGAAATATTTGAAATAAAACACTCAGAAACGCTGGTTCCAGCGTTTCCCAGGCAAGTCTGGAGTTCGCTTAAATTTTTGTTTTTAAGGGAAATTTTTAATGAAATTGGACAGTTGGACAGGGGAAATTGTACTGGGGATCCAGAGTGGGGAATGGCAGTAAGTCCTTGAGTTGGTTAAGTGATAATTAAAAAAAATACCCCCCCACCCCTCAAATATTGGCATCAAAGTACTGGACATAGAATGGCAAGCGACCGGACGAACCGTCCGGCCTCTGGCTTCAAACGAAAACCTTGGGTATAAGCGGTGATCGTGATCTTTTTGTCGGGGGATGGGGTGGGAAAAATCATCGGGGAGCTGTTGTACAGTTTTGAGCCCGGAGCCTGTCCATGAAAAAGAAAACTGAACCAAGCTACTAATCCTTATATACTGTCAAACCTCGCTTTACGAACACCCGCTTAATACGGACACATCATTATTTCTGACGTACAGTTTGTTTTCTCCGTGGGGAAAGAAAACCCTTTCGTTTTCTCTAACTTCAACCCAGGTAATACGCCGACACCCCGTTAATATGGACACTTTCTATGGCCCCCTCGGTGGCCGTATTAACGGGGTTTGACTGTATACGTTTTGGATTATATGAACCCTTTCACTCTTTACAATTGGTTTCCATTGTTTCTTCACTGTATAGGTTGACATAACCTACAGGAAGCCGGTCTTAAATCTGGATTTGTTCGACACAACGGGTGATGAGGACATTTTTGTTAATCAAGTTCTTATAGACACGGGGATAGCTGTTTTCAGTGAAAATTCACAGCTGCAAACAGGTGAAATTCTTTACACTCGATTAGTTCATGTTCTAAAATACCAGTCTATTTTATTGCCGGGCGTTTGTTAACGTGTCTACCTCTCTCATCATGAGGAGGGAGCTTAAGCAACCATGAAGTCGACGGCAACAAAAACTTCGCTTATCACGTGAATTTCAGGGCTCGAAAAAAAACTTGACTCAACAGGGTTCGTACAGAGTTTTGAATTCTTGAAAAAGTCTTGAAATTTACCCAGCAATTTTCCAGACCCGGAAAAATAGAGGTAAAGTCTTGAAAAAAATGGTAAAGCGTCTTGAGTTTTCTTTGAAAGCTACAACAAGTGCGTCACAAATAAAATTTTTTTCGTGTTGGTCAAATCTTATTCAATCTCGCCTACACGTCATGGAAAACGCTTTGTTCCTGCGTTTTTTTAGGTCTCTGTTTATCACCTATTTGATAACCTTGAGTCTAGAAAAAGGAATTATTATTTTGGAAAAAGTGTAGAAAAAGTCTGGAATTTTGGATAAAGAATCTGTACGAACCCTGATTCAAGCCTATCCTTTGAGCAATTAGCTCTCGCATTTTGCTTGCCCGGGGTCATTTCTTGCTCATCTTTGTTAATGATTTTGTTAGGGGATCACCTGCCTGGACACTTGCCTGTTGGTTCAGGAGGCTTTAAAAGTTACTTGCTCAGCAAAAAGATCTGGACTATCGGACAGGTCTTTTTACGAGCCCTGCAATTTGTGTTCTGGGTGGGAGTCGGGGTCTATTTTGGTTTTTATATTTCCTTTAACCAGTAAACGAAAGGAAAAAGCAATCCTTTTCATTCGTTTTGTCTTTTTTTGAAGCAGTAACAGACATTATAAAAATGAAAGTCTCTCAAGAGGATTTGGAAAACACTGCCTTAAGTATGGAGCAAAAAGGTATTCCTATATTCTTTTTCATTGTCCCTTTTTTTTTCAGTATTCATTAAGAGACAACAGTGTGGATGGCATTCAGAGATCATATTGTTATTTGACATAATACAAGAGTCGAACCTCCATGTTCGACCATTTCTCGTAAGCGACCACCTCCCATATGCGACTACTCGATGAAAATTTTTCCAGTCAAAGCCCTATAATGAGAGCCTCTTATAAGCGACCACGACCACCTCTTGGCCTGACAGTTTTATAGATTTCCATTGTAAGCTACCACTTGACCCATGATACGGTCTCTTTGCTCGCTATTTGTACCACACTACTCAGAGTATACAAAACTTCCAGTGACAACTTGGAACTACACGTATGGGTAAACAAATTTCAAGTAATAATTTTCTGCCGAAGTAATGTGTCGAGACCTCTTCTCGAAGAAGACATCTTCAGTTTGATTCTCGTAAACGATCACTAAATCTTCGCCTTTTTGGTGGTCGCTTACGTGAGGTTTGACTGTATTCTAACTCATTTTCAGGTTCATCTCCCGAGGAGCCAATCAACATTGATGGCTTTGTGTCTCCAACAAGCCCCACAAGTCCGCTGCATGGCTGGGATCCAATGAAGGAAGATTTTCTTTCTTCTAAAAATACCTATGCTGTAAACCCAGATGATCTGGACATTGCATTTCAAGGATACCGTATGTATGAAAGAAAAGAGCGCGAAGCACCATTTTTTGCGTGGCGAGTGAAGTCCTCCACGCTTCCGGTTTTCGTCTGGTCACGTAACACTTCTTCCCAAGGATCCTTTGGAGAGAAGTGTTGCGTGGCGAGACGAAGAACGGCTCTCCTCACGCAACGGTTTTCCCAGAATTCCTTCCGGGAGGAGCGTTGCGTGACTAACCCAGGAACTGCTGTGAGGAGTGACTATGTCAGCTGGGAATATGGGGCCAGGGCTCGTGCAGAGTCTTGAATTCTTGAAAAAGTCTTCAAATTTGCCCAGCAATTTTCCAGACATGGAAATAAATAGAGATAAAGTCTGGAGTTTCCTGTGTTTTCCAAGGTCTCTATTGATCACCTATTTGTTAACCCTGAGTCTGGAAAAATATAGTGTTGTTTTGGAAAAAGTCTTGTACGAACCTTGTAGGGGCTCAGTTAGACTTAGACTGTAGTCACATTATCTGTTAGATTCCAATGTTGTATAAAAAACGATTACTCCAACTAGAATTGAAGCATTTATTTATTTATTTATTTATTTATTTATTTATTCATTCATTCATTCCATTTGTTTTGTTTGTTTATTTGTTTGTCTTTTGCCAACACACTCACCGATTCTCCGAGTATCTTTTTGATGGGAGTGAGGGATTAAATTTTCTTACCAATTAGCTGCTATAAATCCCTGCTGTTATGAAGTACTTGTGGTCTCCAATATTAATTTAGGTACTTATGGATCGTTTCTTATTTGTTTTCACTTTAGAGGATTTAAGCAGAAGAGTATGCCGTTACTTTCGCACTCGCTCGGGTTGTTGGCGAGGCGACCAGTGCCCTAATCTACATGTGAAGAAAGGTAGACCAGCTACTGAGACTATAATTCTTTTATTACAATTCACTGATAAAAGCGTATGAGATAAATTCGCCGTTTGGAATGGTCACTGGCAACAAAAATCAACCTTGGATGGGTTGGGTGTGTGTGTGTGTGGGTGGGTGCTGGGGGGAGTTACGAAGACCTCTTAAGATACGGTATGCGTATACATGTCCTAAGTATTGCCCCTTAACAATAGACTATTGTTATTAAACAATAGTTGAGCTTTATGTTTTACCTTACCCTGGGTATCCCGTCGAAGATTTTTTTTTTCTCGCATTCGGCGGGACGCTTCGGGTCTGACACATCTTAATTTGATGGACGAAGGTACGAGCGGCGACGCTGCGAGGAAAAAAAAGTGACTACGGAATTGTAAGATAATTAAGAGCTTAGTGTGGCTGATTTCCAGTGATAACACCTATCGTTTAAAAGTAATGGCGTCGATCGTTAAGGAAATAAGCTAGAGTCGCTTGCGTGTTGTCGGCTATCCATTCCAAGTCTTCTTACGCTTTCTTCTTACTCATGAAACCTCCTGTGAGCGTCACGTTCTTAATAATTCACGCTGAATCGTTTTACCATCTGTAAATAACTAATAGGAATTATGTACTTTTATTGTATTATACTATTATAGTATGTCCTTTGCGTTTCTAACAGGTGAGGATTTACATGAAATGGTGGAAGTGTTTTGTGACAATATGGACTCGTCTGTCACGCTACCGGATATCGGCACTTGGGTAGCAGTTCGAGTCACGGCAGTCTTCAATCCGGGACATTTTTGGGTACAATTTCCGTATGGTACTGAACCGATAGAAAAGAGTATTATGGCAGGTAAGCCGCTAGACAGACGACTTCTTTCTTATGTGATGTGCTTCTAATTTTTGAGTCTGTAGATATTCTCCTTCAGTCAACTGAAATACACCCCATCAAATAAGCTACTGAATAATGATTTCTACACCCTTCAATATCCACATAACAATTCTCCACACGTATTTCCGTATATTTCCTTAAATAATTAGTTGAGAGAATATGATAAAACATCAAAGCATTTTTCCTATGCAAGGAGAAAATTAATGTTGGTCACTTTTGAGACATCCCAATCGTCCTTCTCCTCCCCTCTCAAAAAAAGTTTAAACGATCCAGACGAATACTATACAAACGGCTTATGAATGAAACTCTTAATCGTGAAAGCTAGAGATTAGTATGCATCTCCCTATAAATGTGTTTGTCTGTTTCTTCTTTCCCCAGTTTTTCTAATCTACCGTAAAAGTCCGAAAATAAGCCCCGGGGCTTATATTTTTGAAAGACCCTTTTTGAGGGGCTTATTTTTGGAGGGGCTTGTATTCGGAGGGGCTTATCGATAGAGGGCAATTTGCGTTTCAAAATCGATTGGGCTAGCCTTATAGTTGGAAGGAAATTTACCGTTTTTGCTTTGTTTTATTTTGTATTTGAGGGCAATTTCCAAGTACAAGCCCCTGGGGGGCTTATATTTGGAGGGGCGATTTAACGGAGGGTTTTTTTGCGTTATAAGTTTGTTGGGTTTATATTTGGAGGGGCTTATACATGGAGGGGCATATTTTCGGAATTTTACGGTACTCTGCATCTATTATGTTTACTTATCTCCTTTTAAGCGAGGACGCGTCACCGACTTAATTCTGATTCAGAGGACGAGCAGGAGAAACCGGAGGAAGACCTCACTACTCTGATGGACAAAATGGGGTACAGAATCTCTAAATGATATAACTTCATGTGCATTTTAGAGGTGACACGGTTTACCGCGCTACACAATTCACTGTGGTATTATTTCATCTCGGTTTGGTGCGGAATTTTTCACTCTTGAAACTTAATGTGTTTCATTTTATTCGATAAGTCATTTTAAAGTTGTATTTGAGACTGAGTGGTGTTTTGTCGAATTGCACTATGGGATTGTTTTGAGATACAAATTTTGACCCAGTATCCTTTGCAACCTCTTAATAGCCAATCAAAGAGGTGGAAGTGTCCCTAAAGCTGCCCTATACAGCAATTCTATACAGCACCGAAGCAAACTCTCGCTTAACCTAAAAGACGACCCATTGTTTTAAGGGAAAAAAATAATTATCAATATATTAGCGAAGAAAGAGTGGCTTTATTATGTCATGATGATATTTAGAGTAAACGAGGTTTCAAATATTTTCTCTGGCTCCAAGATTGAACAGGGACGCCGGTTACCAGGTCTCCGCCATCTACCAGGACATTTTGTCTCTTGATCTCGTGACAAACCGTCCAACTCCATCAATTGAAAAAGATTCCACGATGGAATCGAAAGCTCGTGTATGCCAATATGTTTTTCTATCCTGGGATTTGAATTCTTGTTTACTCTAAACTATTAAATTGTTGTTGTTTTAGCCCATCTTGGACTTCTTCTTTTCGTCCTAACTTTTTATTAGTGTGTTTGGTAAATTCTGATCGCGGCTGGCGCGCTTCTCTACCACTTAGATATGTGAACTGTTCAATTTCCATTCTTTTGGCAGGAAGTTTTATTCTCGTAACGTTTGTCAGGATCCCAGACGCATCCTGCCTGCGGCTGGCGAACTGTGCGCCGCTAAATACTCCAAAGACAACAAATGGTACAGAGCGCGAATCACGAGCGTGCGGGAGGATGAGCTACAGGTAGGACAACAACAACAACAACAACAACAATCTTTATTTGTACTCACTCTTGCTCAAAAATAAATTATGACAATGACAATATTAAAAGTAAAAATTAGAGTACTGGCTGCCTGGAATAACCATGGGGGCTACCGGAGCCAGGCAGCCAGTTGACATCAGCATTAAATAAAATTAAATTACAGGTCAGCAAGAAAAAAATGAATACAAAACACTAATGTAAGAATAACTTGAAAAGGTGACAGAGTTTAACAAAAGACTAATTTGGGAAACAACACAACTGCTAGTAAGAATACAAGTAACTAATAATCTTTGACAAGATCGCTTTTTACTGGGATTAAAAGGCGGGTTAAGGAGGCAGTACTTATTAAGAATGGGGATGGGGGCCTGAATCCACCACTTGTATTAGTCGCGTTGGAAAAGTCACGTGGCTGATTGTCACGTGACTGATAAAGCAAGATCACGCGCTTGAGGAAGACTTCGAAACAACGGTGATATTTTTTGCTTCTCAAATTTTTTTGCTCCAAGTTCGTACTTAAGTTATTTACTTATGTGCTTTCTGACTGTTTACGATATCCTTATTTTCTGCGCGGTCCCTAAGATTGATTGCCGAGTTGGATAGTCCGCCATTTTGAATTTCATGTGACGAGCGAAGACTGGGTAGAATACAAGGACAGCTTGTATTCGTCCAAGAGGGCGGACTCTCGAAGTTAATGATCGCATGGAAATATGGGAGACTGAACAGTCGCTTTGCTTTGTAACCACTCACCGACATCCGGGTATTATTATCCTTGCATCATGGTATTACATTAAACCTTGGTGCCAAGGGTCTATTGTTACATCCCGATAGTACAAACTCTTACCATTTCTTTCGAGCCCAAACTCTTTCTCTTGCACCTCGGTCTACAAAGTAACTACCCTTGATTTTTTTTTTTTTTTTTTAATACCGTTGTTCGCTTAAAATCAGCGCTCAAATTCAAAATTTGAGAACAACTTACAACATCTGCAATCCCAAACTTTGTTCTTAAGTCTGTAAAGTTGCTCACACCTGGCTTAAAAAAATAAACAAAAAGACGAAATTAACTTAGACATAATCCTGGTCTGAATAGCCTTTTCCCACACCAAATAGCGGGTGGTACTATTCTTCGCTGACTTATTAACACAGGTGTTTGATGCCAGCTTTAATAACTTCTGCGAAGGAGAAACACAATCATTGTTGCGATAGGTGATGAATTTTGTTTATTTTCTCGCGTTTTTACTTAATACCTTCAAATACGAAGCATTTGCTGGAAATACTTCTTTGAATCCTTTATCGTGGACTTTTCGACAATTTGCTGCGTGGAACTTTAAAGACATTCTAAATGATTCGTGTGTTGACAGCAGTGATCAATTAAATGAAACAAAGCCCCACAATACAACAATGAAGGAACTGAATGGAAAAAATATGACGGTATTCAGGGAGAGGGGAGATGTTTTGACGCTATTAGAACGATATATTCTCACAAGTAAAACTAGTTCAGGTCTATTTATGGATTCCAGCGATGGTGGTGGACTTCACGAACTTCACCTTATAACAAGTGCGACCTCCAACGGAGCGGTTTGTCTAGATGGTTCCTCCCCTGGAATATACCTTCGCAATGGAACAGGCGTGGACAAATCAAAGTGGATTATATTTTTCGGGGGTGGGGCTTGGTGTCATGATCGCGACACGTGCTACGAACGCTCTAACACAGAGCTTGGCTCGTCTAACTGTTTCCCCCGTTATCTTCGTCTCGAAGGTTTGCTTTCTAATCAGGCCTGTCACAATCCTGATTTCTATACTTGGACGTCTGTGTTTATTCGTTACTGTGACGGAGCTTCTTTCACCGGGGATCGCACCCACCCTCTCGAAGTTAACAACAGAAAGCTCTATTTCCGAGGGCGAAGAATACTTGACGCAGTTCTTGACGAGTTGTTACGAAGAGGAATCAATCACGCTTCCGAGATCATCGTGGGCGGTCGCTCAGCCGGCGCTCTTACGGCGATGATACACTCCGATTACATTCGAAAGCGTTTTCAACGCGCAACAAACGCTTCTTTCCGTGTGCTTTCAGACGCGGGATTCTTCGTGGATGCACCATCTCTTAATGGAAGCGAAATAATTCAGTCCATATTTCGTCAGGCGTTTTCGTTGCATAATTCTTCTATGAGTTTTAACCGCGGTTGTGTACGCGCGCAAAAGTGCAAACAAGAGTGGCGATGCTTTTTCCCGCAGTATTTGATTCCCTTTCTCTCGTCACCGATTTTTCTAGTTAATTCCTTGTACGATTTATGGCAGATCGCCTTCTTGTCTAATGTTCCTTGCGTTTTAAAACTGGACACTTGTAACACCTCGGAGTTATCATACATTATGAGTTTTCGTGATAAAACTTTACAAGCTTTGCGCTCAGTTTTCAACGCAGACACAACAGCAGTTTTTGCTGATGCATGTTTTGTTCACACTCAAACTGTTATGAACGATTTATGGACCAATATTCGGGTACGTAACATTACAATGGCACAAGCATTCGCTGACTGGTATGACGGAGATGTCTCAAATAGATTTGGAATTGACGATCCTTATCCCAGTAATCCTTCGTGTCCCAAAGATTATCACATATAATTATCGACAATAAAACCTGCTTTATAAATTTATAGTGTATACTGTTGCTGTGAAACTTTCCACCCAAACTAGGGGCCCTTTTTTCGAGAGTTAATTAACCTGTCTTTTCAAGATCGAGGTTTCAATAGTGAACAAAACCAGGGGGTAACAAAAATTTAGCGATATTTAGCCCTTAGTTATAAACACGCTCGACAGAGTCAGGGAACAAAGAAATTCCGTTAAAACAACTTCTGCTCTGGAGCCACAAAACAGATTTATTTGGAACAAAAACCTGTGGGTTTTGCTAAAAACAACAATGAAAGCATAAGCCAAACAATAGCTTAGACATGAAAATCAGCTACTTATAATAACACGTACCTAAAAAAAACTAATGGGAATAGCGGCATTCTAGTAAAGCAAATTCATGCACTGACTCTGCATGAATAAAACTAGGAAGCACGAAGACTAAAACAGCGTGGGACAAAATAGGCATATGAAACGACAAAGCTGAAAACCCCGCATGCGCAAGTAAGAAACCAGACATATAAAGCGTGCAGAAGTCTGCACTAAGAATAATTTTTTCCAGATTGCTCTTATGAGTCGGCACTCGTGCGCTGTGGCTTGCCTACACTTTTGTCGCGCCGTGATGAGGCTTGCAGGCGTTTTATATCTAACATCAAGGAGTCCAGTTTCCTTTCACACCTGCTGCCGCAGCCCACGAATGTCGCTCATTGGTACGGGTTGAGGTGGGGATTTTCTCGTTCTGAATTCCGCTTTGTCAGAACGGACCACCTTAGTAATTTTGTTACCCACAGTTACAAGAGGATTTAATTGTTTTTGCCTTCTGTGCCATGTGTAATTATGTGTTCTGCGTATTCTTGACCTCCCTTGTAATTTAGTGTTATACACTACCAAGAGGGTTTAATAAACTGATTATTATTATTATACTGCGAGAACTGAACAACAAGTGACTGCTGTCCGACTAGAGCCCGCTGAATAAGATTGGAGAAAAACTGAAGCCAGCGAATGTACCACTCACGGGATCCAGCAGAAGGAAATGCTGAAACTAGGGAATTGCAACCTGAAAGATAAAGTGGTGCTGTGAGGACAATAGGGACTTTACCATCCGACGACGCAATGGCAGTGAAAACGTCGCTTAAAAATTGAAGTTACGTTCTTCCAGTCTTAATCGTGAATATTCCTACCCATTTACTTTATCAAAAGTAGGCGCACCTTCCCGGAGTTGAATTCTTGGGATCCCTATCCAAGTTCAGAAAGAGAAACAAAATTCGTCGTCGCTTGTTTACGTCCTCCATAAAATGTAAAATTAGGCAATTTCACGTCGTATTCGTGCAAAAACGGCGGAGAAATGTACAAAAAAATGTGATGCACGTGTAAAGTTGTTGTTTTGCCTTCTAAACCTATTGTTTGTTAGACGTTCTGGTTGCCATCGCGTCGTCGGAACATAAAAGACGCGGCTCAAGGGATAGCAGTCTTACCCGCCGGTAATCCGACAGGGAATTAGACTTCCTTGTAAGACTGAAATTCAAGGAGTGGCTGCAGAAAAATAATAACAAGGAAAGAATTGAAAACAAATACAACCAAAGCAAAGGATATAACTAAGAAAATACTGCAAACAAAAAGGCAAAAAGTACCAAAAATAATGACCTTGAAAATGTATCTGACCGGACCGAATGTCGAACACGTGGCAACCTATAAAATATAGGTTGTAAAACGAGATACTTACCGCGAGCATAGCTCAAGAAATTGAGGAAAATGGAAATAAAAACAGGAAGCAGAAAGGAAGCGGCGAACGTCAGTGAAGAAACAAGGGGAAGGGTGAGGAGGGAACGAGTTTGATGTGCACGTTTAATGAGGCTATGATGAGACCTGTGTGTCTATGAATGCATGGTGTATGGGTCTTATATAGTCACTTGGGCGAGACCGCTGTAAATAGTTTGGCGGACAATATAAAACTATCAGTTCACCCAAAAAAAGGCTTATGTTAGCTAGAACCCAAACGTTTATGGTTTAGTTTTTCCCGGAAAAAAAGAAAAAAAACGGGGTCTGGAGATCAAAAGTGATTCTTTCAATGGTTTATGCTTTTAATTAGTACAACGCATTACTTTGTTGTTTGGTGCCATTTTTTTGTTGTTGTTTCTTTGTTTGTTTGTTTTCATTTTTTTTAATCAAAAATATCTTTGTTCATCAGGTTTTTTTCGTGGACTATGGAAATTCAGAGTGGACACGTGAAAGTCACGTGAAGCGTATGCTCCCGCATTTTCTGCATCTTCCATTTCAAGCGCTTGAATGTTTCCTTGGAAACGTGGAACCCGCTTACGATCATCAAAAAAATGGAAAGAAACTCGACTGGTCTGAAGACGCTATGTGAGTGAATGTGCTAGTCTTATAACTACGTTCTTCGTCAAAACTATTAAACTTACTTGTAAAAAAAGCCAACAGTTCACATCCGTACACATAGTATTGCACGGTGCTTGAGTAAAATGGTAAGCGACATTTATATATATAATTAAAGAAAGTGTATGATTCATAAGACTGCCTCTTGGTATATTGTATACTAATTTAATCATTTATTTCTATTATTATTATTTTTCAGGAAAACATTTTCATCTCTCACCGAGGACAAGACGCTCATTGCGCACGTTCTCTCTAAGTAAGTCCGGCTGTCGAACGGCTGGGGTATTTTGCAGAACGCCGAACGGCCACCGAACAACGAATGACTGACGTTTAGTGATTAGGGTCAGGAAACTGAGTGAATAAAGTCTTTAAGTTAGGTCATTTTTGTCCCTAAATGGAACCCTGATTCAATTTCCTAACCCTCATCACTAAACTTCAGAGTCTATGAGCTTTTGGCGGCCATTTGGCGTTCTGCAAAATACCCCTGCTGCCGTGCCAACAGTAAATCTTGAATGTAGTCGGTCTGAAAAGGGTGTAAGAACTAGGAACACAGGGCACCACGAGTGCCTGTCATCTGTAGAGTTCTTCTTTTCTGCAGGCAAGCTCAGTATGTGGGGATCTAAAACAGCTTGCTCAGGTAAAGGCGAAGAATTTGAGGGACGGGGAACGGGGTTATGCAACGAGGATATTGTTGTTTTAGGTCAGTTCTTTGCTAAGTCATTACTGAATACCTTAACCCATGCAGAAAATGCTCCTGTAAAGTTGTAAAGAAGGTATCAAACAAATTTCATCAGGGAATACAGTGTACTAACCAAAATAATTTATTTGGTGATTTTTGCAAGCATAGCAGCCAACTTTTTCAAGTTTCAATCCATGTCTATCCTTGCCATCCGAAGCGACAAACAGCAGGAAACAAATCAATGCTAAATATAGTCTGAAATAACAAAATTGGAACAGTATTTTTGAAATTCAATTGACGTGAAGACAAGTTTTAGCTTTTTAAAATACAGTAAATAGCTTGACATAGCCCATTTAAATTTGCCGATATTTAATAAGCAGTGTGCAAAGAAAGTCGTGTCCCATAGCCCAGGGCTAGTGGATTTTGCTTTCGGGCTAGTGAATTATATTCTTAACTTTCACGACTGGCAAGTGAAGTTTTTTGGGGGAATTCTAATTACAGAGGAGCTTTGATCAATCCCGATCAACAAAATATTTTTTCGAGCTAAAAAATAATCACTTTGAATGTCAGTGTATTTAGCACGAAGGTACTAATTGGGGACACTATTTTTACGGCTCGTACTGGAGACGGGACCGCCATTTTCCGAGGTCATCCGAGCCACGCGATGGTCCAGCCGCTTGCAGTGCAAAGGCAGTACATTCATTTCTCAGTTATTTTAAGACCGTGAGTGTTGGTCCGGTCCCGGAAATCGAACCCGCGACCTCTCGCTCAGCAGTCAAGCGCTCCACTGACTGAGCTAATCCCGCGGCAAATTAAAACGAATCAATTAAAACGATTTTTGGGCTAGCACATGCTAACTACAGCTTGCCCGAATGGCAAGCTGTAAAACTGGCTTTGTATGCACCCTTAATAAGAACATAATTTCATACTGGCCTTGCTCTTCTAGGGCGTGGAATCAGACCGTTTATGTTGATCTTTGGGACACAGAAGGCGATGAAGAAATTCACATCAACAAAGTGTTGATCGAGAAAGGATTCGCTCACGAAACTGACCACACCGTGAGCAATCCCTGGAATATCGAGGCATCCTTTGAAGTCAACCCACACAAGACAGTCGGACTTCCGGGGTGAAATAACTGCTGGGTTTGTTTCTTCGGCCATGGAACCATCCCTGGGGAAATTTCCCATTCCCCAGGGACATGCCTGCGGTGTTTGCCACCATTCCTGTTGCGTCACCTGTACTCGATATTTTTAGCAGACAATGATATTGAGGAATTCTATTGTGAAATATAAATAGTACATACTACGTGACATGGTGTTACACTCACGCACATTGATTAAATTGCGTGACTCATGTGGCAGGACGGTATTCGTTGCACCTACGTTGAAATCTGTTGGTGAAACCATATTGGGGCATAAACTTCTTACATCGTTTTGTTCGTTAAAGTTAAAGTTAAAACTTGCCATACAGGGACTAGGCAAGTAAAACTGCTTTGTGGTCGTTCGTCACGTCGGGAGTTATCCAAAGCCTCACTGGCTTGTTTCGGAAGGGACTGGATGGGTGTCGTATCAAGCTGCTTCATGGGACTGTTTTGGCGACGCTTAACTCTTCGCCACTTTCGAAACGAGAAGGAAACTGGAACGAGTTAAGTTTCGCAAAGAGTTCTGGGACTGTTACTGGGGACAGGGAAAAAATTGGCCAATCGCTGAGTGGCGCGTGCCTAGTAACGATCCCAGAAAGAATTGCGGAACGAATTTCGGCTCCAATTTCCTTCTCGCTCCTAAAGGAGTCGGAAAAAAAAATCAGGAAGAAAGAAAATTTGAGCTACGTAATGCGAAATAAAAATTGGGGCACTCGTACGAACAAAAAATTACCGTATTTATTCGATTAACCGCCCTGGGCACTTATTACATTTTTAGATCTTGAGAGTGGGCGCTAATTCGAGGTGGGCGCTTATTCGAGGCTGGGCGCTTGTTAAATTTTCACCATTTTCAGCAAGTGTAGATTTAACAAAGCAAGTTTCTGTAAAATACTCTGAAAACAAAACTTCGTCTTCGGGACAGTATCTTATTATTTCTGATTGGAGTTTGAGTGGGAGGGGGTGTGGTTGGGTGGGGTGGGCGCTTATTAAATTTCTGCCTTTAGGATGGACACATATTCGAGGTGGGCGCTAATTCGAGGTTGCGCGCTTATTCGAATAAATACGGTAATCAAAATTTAGAAGGATATAAATGGAGATCTTCCCAATCGTGATTGGGTGGTAAAAGTTGTTTTTCCCATACAAATCCTTCTAATTTTTGGCCGTTGCAATCGCCACTTTTGAGATATACGGTTGAATATTTTCTTATTTTATGCGCTTTCGGTTGCTGCTAAAATCCTCTTTCCAAAAAAATAGTTTTCGTGTTTAAAGAACGTTAAATCACTTGACCAACAATTGTCAAAGGTCTATTCGTATCCTTGTCTTAAGCTCGCGCAAACGAAAACAGAAAAAAAGACTAAGTGAACTGCCTCCCTCCCATGCAGCTCTTAAGAAAAGAAAAACCATTACAAGACGTCATTAAGTCTCGCACACAGCATAATAGATACAGGGGCTTGGGGAAAGAGTCGAGAAACCAATTACCGAGAAAAGAGTACTGCTGTCGTGGGAAACTGAAAATGCTTCCCATTTACCTCCGCGCGCTGCGCAAAATCTAGAAAGGCCACCTGCAAATGAGGCTGGTAAACAAATGATGCTTACGGCGAAATAATCTGACATTGGAACATGAAAGTGACAAGAACGGAACAATTTATTGAAACTGTCAACTTTTTTGACAGAAAGACTTAAAAATATACCCGACAGCTATATAATTACTGTGAAACGCATTAACAGTTGTTTAATTGAGGAGTGTAAGAGAAACTTCAACCTGAAAAATGTTTGTAAATAGAAAGTTCTTTCGTATCATCTAAGTTGTCGTTAATGCCCTGAAGTGATTAAATTTCGTTTCTTTAACAAAGACTTCCTCTTACTTGAACTTTAACTCTAGTCTTTAAGTCTGATATAATTATGTCCCTTTGAAAAATAAGCAACATATCTTCTACTAAACAATATATCATCTCATAAAATTTTAAGCAAACTTGTGCTCTTCTTCCTGGAGGTATTTAAACAATACTAAAAATATTGAAGTAGCTCCAGCATAATTATACAATTCCTGGGTCAATTTAGTTTTCTGGGAAACTGCCCACTTTCCCCTCCCCTAAGCTAACATTTTGCCCTAGATAAGAAGCAAGTGTTAATGTTAGCGTAAGGGAGGGGTAGGTGAGTAGTTTCCTAGCAACCTAAATTTACCTCAATTCCTTTCGCAATTCAACTTAAAACCAGTTAATCCGTTACAATAAAACTATGCTTTGCCTTCCTTTCACTTATTCTACTTTCAAGGCTCTAAAATAAGACGACTCGATAAACCGTGCTGAAAAGGAAAAAGAAAGAAAAGGAAAGAGAAATGGGGAAAAAACTTATGGTGGCAGATGTGTCCACCACAGAAATGATTTACGACGCCGCTTTTTAAATCAGCGATAGGAAAGAGTTTGATAGTAATGGCACAGAACTATAAGTTCGACAATCTGTTATAAAAAAAGTGAACGATAGAACGGATCATCCCTTTCCTGCCAAAGATGTCACATACAAAAAGATTTGAACAAGTGTTCATAACATAGCAACAGAAGGAACATCACGCTCGTGACCCTTTTGAAGTCTTTGCGCTGGCCGTAGCTGATGAAGATGATGCCACAGCAGTGGAAGCCGTTTGAACTGAACCAGATGTACTCGACGCTGAAGATGCTACAGTCGTGATGGGCCGAGGTGATGGTGTAGTATTTCTCACTGAGCCAGGTGTAGTTGAAACGTTAGCACCGTGCGTGACGGGCATTCTACTTATTACTACATTTTGAAGAGTGTTATTGCCCGTCAGATTGGCCAGAAAATTTGGAGACAGTCTGATAACTTGCTGAGGCATGGCATTAGGGTTAGCTGTAGGCATCGTTGTATTACCCACCTGTAATAACACTGTTGGTGTTTGCACCTTGTTTCCAGGGTTAGTGCCTGTAGGTGTGGCTATACGGGCTGTACTGGAACGCACTGGGTTTACTCTACTAAGTTGAGCAACAGGTGCATTTTGTCGTGTGGATGCGGCCATGTTCACAGATGTATGGGCAAGATTCACTTGAGCCGATCTACCATTTGAAGTGTTTGGTGTGGCTCCGGCCATGTTAACAGTTTTGGCATTACTATTGCTGGTTGGTGTGGATACATTGTTTCCTTGTTTTGAGGTCGCCTTTCCTCCAGCAGCACATTTACCATTTGAAGTGTTCGGTGTCGATCGGGCCATATTAACAGCTTTACCATTGACATTGGTTGTTGGTGTGGACACGGCAGTGTTACCTTGTTTTGATGTCGCATTGCCATTAGCTTGAGGAGATTTCCCATATGAAGTGTTGCATGGTGTGGACCGAGCAATGTTAACAACTTGAGCTGGTTTAGCACTGGAACTCTTCTTTGGTGAAGCCACAAACGCGGTGTTTAAAGACTCTGTTCGCACCGCACTACCCTGTTTGCCGTTGTAAGTGTTGCTGGGTGTTGACACAACCTTATAACCAGATTGTGTTCGAGCTGCAGTGTGCTGTTGAGCCGGTTTATCACTGGGGTTGTTTGCAGCTGGAGTATTAGCAGCTTGTATTTTCAACAACTGGTGATGGGGAACAGTCCCTGCCATAAGACTATTGCTGTTTTTCAACTGCCTGTGAAACCACGAAACCAAAATCACTTCTTACTGAACTGTAACAGCATAATTTTTTAATACTACTTTTAGGTGCAACGTGTAAAAACATGTCGCAAAGTTATAACACCTAATTACCGAAGTCTCCTTATAGTGTTGCCAGAATCTACTTGAAGTAGCACGTAACCCTCAATCCTACGATTCGGTCTAAGGGCTAACGCTGCAATCTTCGGCTTTTGAACGACGAGTTTGTGTTTCACTCCTTTACCGACTCAACAACCACAGTTTCCTTAAAAAGTAACCGTTCAACAACCCCGCGAGCAGAGGTCCTTCGACCACTTATCTAGGAAGATCAAAGGGCCTCTGCTCGCAGGGCACCGTTCAACAAATCTTAACTAAAGTTATGAGGCAAAATTGTAATCCAACTTGCGTAAAGTATTTCTCCTGCTCCATGATGCTGCACAAAATAAAATTGCAATGATACCTGATGACCGCGGGTTTCCGTTTGAGATGTCCTGTGGTGAGAAAATGAAAGGCCCAGCTCCACTCTGTCAACTGACGCTTGCTACTGTACAAGTTCTGTTGGGTAAACGCGCTAAATAAGAATCTCTGAAACAAGGTGATAACCCCTTGATTTAACTTTAAACAAAACTCAGCTGGAGTGTTGTTCGCGATAATGATGACAACGACGATGGTTATGGTGATAACGATGATGATGATTGATCATCGATGGATGATGATGATTGATGATGACGATGATGATGATGATGATATATGATGAAGATGATGATGATGATGGTGGTAGTGGTGGTGGTGGTGGAAATGGAAAACAGGTCGCGTGGGATAGTAATTAATCCCAGTAAATTCGGTAACTGTTATGATGACCTTATTGCTACAATACCTTGATATCTTTCAACCAGCGCTCAAGATCACTCCGATGTTTTGCTTGAACAGTATTGTTAGAAAATACCTGTAAAATTCAAACAAAAATGAAATTTAAATCAAATAAATATTTCAGTTCCTTGTCGTATCGAATTCCAATTGTACAGTAGTTACTTGGCTTTTGGTTTAACGACACTCGATAAAACAGGTTGAAAACCACTTCCACTGGAACGAATGGGACACTGCTGTGTTGTCATTCAAGATATCATCGCTTCACCTTCTTAAGCGAACAGATTGAGAATAGGGTAGGTCCATTCCTGACCCTATGTTCATTTACTCTTAGTTTGTGAAAATAAGCTCGCATTGGGGTAATTGCCAACCGAATCATCCTGCACTTTCACCCCGGATGATTCAAGTTTGTCTATCGTACACCCCTGGGACCGGTTCCTGAAAAGCCGATTAGCGCTTATCCAGGTTTAAAATTTTGTTCCCGTTGTAGCATTTTATCTTCCTTTGTATTGCTGAGAGTAACAATTTGTGTTACCATCACTGTAACTTGGAGTGAAGGCTAAACAGTATTTTGTAAGCTCGAATTGCATGTTCTTAGAATTTAAAAATTTAGCTTTATCCTGGGTTAAACGTAACCATCTTTCGAGAAATCGGGCCCAGAGCGCCATAGTTGTAACCGCTACAGTCAAACCTATTTCTTGTATATTATGGGGTGAAGTAAAGTGTTGTTGTTGTTGTTGTTGTTGTTGTTGCATTAAGCGGTCACTCCAGAGGAATGGGCAACAGACCACTTAAAGCAGATTGACCGTTCAAGTACAGGTTTGACAAACCTTGTCCGAGTTTATCAAGAAAATGAAAAAGGTGACAAAGCGAAATACCATAACACAAGTTGACGTTCCTATCTCTTCTTGTGCCAAAGACAGGAAATGAAAGGCCACTCAATGCCATGTCAAGTGTATTTATTGCACTTGTATGGTGCATGGTGACCAAGTGACCGTTAAATAGAGGTGGGGACAATAAAAAGTAACTCGTTACAAGAATCACGAAAAAGATGACCGTGACCTCTTGATACAAGTCGGTGTTACACTACTGAAAGTGACCGCTTATATGTAGGTCCGCTTAATGACCTAGGAGGTTTGACTGTATATTGATCACTACCGCAAATTTGGCTTTTTCTAGTCAAAGCCGTTCGTACTAATTTTACGACAACAAGAACAAAACAAAACCAACCAATTTACTCAGCATTAACCTCCATCTGAAAAAATAAAAAGCGCTTTACTTACCTTAGCAACTTCAAGTATTGCGGTTGACAGGATCTTTGTAAACGCCTCCATCTTGACATCAGCTATTGCCTTGAGGCAGGATAACATTGACTCGGGAATCTAATAATTAAATAAACAAGATGCACACAAAGAACCCGACACATTTGACTAACAATAACCCGAAATATATTTAAATCTTCCACTGCCAAAAATAGCCATAGTCAAAATTTAACAAAATATCATTATATAAAATAGAACCATGTAAAAGTACTGTTCTGTAGCTTTCACTTGAATGGTCACACCTAAGGATTCCATCCACTACTCGAAAGTTAGAACCACCTTGCACAACGTAATAAACAGTACCACAGGAAGGTACTGCTCAGTAGCTTTCATTTGAATGGTCACACTTCTCTTCGCTTCTTCTCGTCGTTTTTGGACAGGTAGATTATGACCCCACTATGTCGATAGCGACCGTCACATAAGACGAATCAAAACGTCATCAAGGCTAAACTGAAATACCACCAGCAGAATCTGAACTTACGTAGCTGTAATTACTGTGACGCCATCTTCCAAAAGCCGCCTTGCACAGTGTCTGTCCAAGCCAATCAGAACACACCTCCGCCAATCTGCACCCATCATCTTTCTGTAACTTGGAAAGGGTCTGTTTGATCTGAAAGTGACAGGCTCTCGCTTTCAATATCATAGTTATGAAAGAAATTTAACAGCTAAGGTAGCTTACTACAGTTTTCGTAAGAAAACTATCGACTTTTTCAAACTAGAACATTTTTAGCAACTAAAGGCCTCTTCTGAACTGTTAATCACTGCAATTGATGTAAATTATGCTTAATTTTTCCCTTCTAAAAACAGTTTATTGCGTAGTATAACGCGAAATATAGTGACCGAGTACCCAATTAGGGGACTGGAAACTAGTCCTTTAAGGGCTTTTTTTCTTATTATTCGCCACTGACAAATCACGATATTTTGCTCAACCTCGTCAATAAATTTCTGAGTTCCCAAAAAGCCTAACTTTCAAAATGAAAACCAAGTGTACAACCTTTCTTGTGAAAATAAGTTTTACTTGCATGAGCACTTAACCTCGTTTTGATACAGAGGCCCGAGAGAACTCAGAAATGGCCAATTAGTCGAACATCGCCCGAGGACTTAGTGATATTTGCAGCTTTGCTGTTGAGAATGAAAGAAACGTAGGGCAATACCTTTTCACAGATATTTGGGTAATTGGAAGGGAAGCCAGAAGCATTAAGTGCGAGTTTTACTTCGGTGAACATGAAGCACCGGGCGAAGACATCGATACAATAGAGTGTGTGAGACCTAACGAAAAGAGGAAGAAAGAACAAGGAACTAAGTTAAGGAACAACAGAAAAACATTATCGCTCACGGAAAAATTGAATCAAATCAGGCTTTTTAAAGTGCTATTCAAAATTATGGTAACTTATTATTATAAGGACACAAGGAATCTCAAAACTAGCCATTCTTCCTGTAACACTTAATATTTCACCTCTGTAAGTATCGACTCAAAAACGCAAACAACCAAGAAACGATGTAACATTTACATTAGCAGAAAAAACTCACAACAGAACCTAATGGCCAAAACGAATGCAAACGGTGTTACAGTGTAATAGAAAGAAGGTAATTTTGGGAAGTCAGAATACATTTACAGAATTGTTAGAATCTAAGCAGGTAGACCTGTGACAAATAGATCTTTTTAGCTTGTATGTTTTGTTGTTGCAATGTAAGTCATGAGATAATACTGTAGAGGAGTGTTTCATTCAAACTTTGTCTTATTCTCGTGCATGTAAGCATAATTTATAAAAAGACAAAGGGGCAAATTGCTCTGAAACTTTATTAGGCAAACAAAACATATATCTAAGAGGTCTAAGAGGACTAAGAGATATCTAACACTGACATGAAAGAGTCACTTACGCTCGGCGCTTTTTAAGAAAATCAAGTAAAGAGGTTCGTAGCTGTGGCCACTTTTCTTTCCTGTAAGTAAAATCACACATTACTTTACATTTGGTCCAATATTAATGTTACAGGGTTAAAGGCGACAAGACAATACCACAAAGTCACGTGGGCAGCTGTTAACCCTTTGTAATTCGGTCATAACTTCGCGATTGTCAGTGACATAGAATGGTATGAAAATAGCCACTAATTATAGTTTATCTTTAAGAATTAAATAGTAAATAACGATTTAGAGGTAGCATATCCAATTGCTGGTTCTTCGTCTACCTGATTCCTGGTCGAATTGGAATTTGGAAAAGTTGGTTTTTAGGAGGGGAAAACCTGAGTATCCGGAGAAAAACCTCTCGGAGCAAGGGAGAGAACCAACAACAAACTCAACCCACATATGGCTTCGACGCCAGGATTTGAACCCGGCCCACATTGGTGGAAGGCGAGTGCTCTCGACACTGCGCCATCCCTTGCTCCCCAAATTTCATGACAGAACCATTGTTCATGGTTGAGTTCGCGTACATTTTTGAGAAATTATCCCTATTTCCATGCGCCCTTGCCGCATCGGGATTCCGACAAAGCCGATATGTAATAAACGTTTGACCAAGTATTCAAATCCAACTCTGAAAATTAAGAGAGCGGGACCTAGTTAACATTTTATTTTTGTTAAGTGGTATTTTAATCATGTTATCTGCAAAACAATCGGAACTTTTATCTTAAAGGTACACAACAACAGCTTTCAGACCCGTTGACTATCGAGAATTGGATTCCTGACCTCTTTAAGGTGGTCCCGAACAAGCTCTGACAACAAAGGTCGACAGAATGATAATTAATTTTACTGCCCACAATAACAGTCCTTACTTGCAAGAACTCCTCACACTCTCAAAGTTTTCATACGTTGGTTGATTCTTGAAAGTGAAAGTCGTTAGTTTCCATTCATCATCTTTGATAGCAAATCCAAACTAACAACAACATAAAAATAACGTTACTGTATACTTGTAATCACAAGCTTCATTGAACATAAAAATTAGATTGTACTTAACTTAAGTCCTCATTTAAGGAACAAGTAAAATTTTGCAATGTTTGAAAGAAAAGTTCGCCCAAAGTTCCTAGCCTCCAAAAGACAGGCTTCACAGAATCCAAGTGTGTTCCATGCCTTCACGTTTTACCTGTTTCTTTAACTTAGAGAGATCTACCACACACTCTTCATGGGTTTAGATGATGGTAGCATGAATATGGGAAGACCAGCTGTTGCACACTACAGTAACATGAAAAACGATACCAGCTTACAAAGCGCGAAAGAGCTGAGAACAGCTATGTTGGATAGGGAGACCTGGAAGAGGCGTGCTCTTGCTCGGCCATGTAGTAGTAGTAGTAGCATTCATTGTTCTTTGAAGGGATCAACCTTTATTGTCCTCGTCTCAGCAGGCCCCATTTTGAGGGAGAACAGTTGTCAACCGCATACCCGAACTAACCTGGGCGAGCTAAGTTTTCACACTTTTGTTTACAACACGTGACAAACCGCTTAAATCAGAAACAAAACGTTCCCTCGGCTAGACGGGTGAACAGCCTAGCCGCATCACCCTCCTATCGGGGTCAACTTTTTCAGGAGAAGAAGGAGAAGGAGGAGGAGGAGCATAATTGCGTTATGACTCATAACGCATGCGTGATGTCAAGTCACAGGCGAGTTAACGCTTATTCCTTAGGACACCATGAAGCAAGCATTGAATACTTTGTTTTAACTCGACCAATCGACAAGCAAGACCTTCACTAACCTTGAAATACCAAGAAAACCTGTCCAACGGGTTAAACCACTTAAAATAGCACAAGGCTATATCTTAATGAGATTCCTCCGCATTCTATTCACGTATATAATTTACAGGGACAATTTTATCAATACTTTTAATGGCAACTTACTTCTTTCCTGATTTTCTTGATAACTGTTGCAAGAGTATCTTTGCCAGAGTACTGGCTTTTGTTAACATCTAAGAAGGCATCCATTATTCCTATGATGTCCTTTACCAGAGATACTGCATCGGTGCATAAACTCGAACCTAAAAAAAAACACAGAAGAATTTTGATATCTGAGAGAAAAAGATGTTCATTCAGAGTGACACAGGCAGCTTGGAAGAAAAAATCCGAGTTCTCCCAGCAGGGGTCGAACCTACGACCTACCACTGAGCTACAGGAGGCTTGTGGGTGCTAAGGCCACTAAACTAGGTTTAGTGTTTTTTATCGAATGATCCCAATCATAAAAAATAGCCGTGTAACCGGTTTCAGTTTCCCCCACCTCAAGGGAACTAGTGGAAGACGGTAAGAAAAGGCCGTGCTGTCAAAATAGGCACATGACTTGGCTGAGAAAATGTGCGCAACTTTTTTTGTAAGTGAAATGAACGTAACAATCCTTTCATTTCTGCACAAGAAAGAACATGAATTCGCTTTTCCTCTATGATTTTGCCTCCTTGGAACAACATATGCCAAATCCTGGATCGTGATTAGAATCCTGAATCTTGCTACCCTTTTCGTCTAAATTCCTGAATACTGGCTGCAAAATAAGGCCAATTCTGGATGCTGAAAAACCTCTTAAAAACCCTATAAGAAGCTGTCTGACAAACTAACTAGCAATATGACTGATTACATTCTGGATAACTAACTTACACCCACCTTTTTGCTTCTTTCCCTCTTTATACATACAGAGAGCGATCTCAAAATTTTTGTCAATACCATGTACATCTGGCACCTTTTTAATCCATCTGAAAGAATATGGCATGTAATACCAATTTGATTTCTTAAACTTACAACAATACATATATTTCATGTATGGGAAATCAAGACTTAAAAAACCATGAAGGAAGGTTGAGGGAAAGTTAGGTTACCCCACACCAATCCCTTGACATCAGTGACCATTTAAATCTTATTGTTTTAGGGGAGTGTTTTATAAGGCATCCAAATCATCCAGAAAAATGTTACATGTACATGTAGAAGTTTGGCGATTCTTCAGATTTTCCAAAAAATATTAATAACCTTAGAATTCTTCAGATTTTCAAAAAAATATTAATAACCTTAGATTAAACTGTCAAATATCTCTTTACAAACTCTCGACAAACTTGAGCAGAAACGCTTGCTACGCAGGCTAGTAACATGGCCTTGAAACAACAACATGTGACAGATGCTGAGACAGTAATGTGCAAAGATTGTGAAAAACTGGTGCAAAAACTGCATGCATACCTGGTAGAGGGTAATGCAATGGAGAGAAACAACAAAAAAGATGGGTTGCCTGTTCGAGGCATTTAGTAGAACGGAGGAGAAAATTCATGAAGAAGAAAATTGAGGGGTTAACTCGCTCCCTGTAATCTGACCGCCATGCTCTACTACAGGTGTATCTGAACACCAGGAACAGACTAAACGATGGGTTGAAACTGCAACGGCAATAACCCTTTAAGTCCCAATAGTGGCCAACATTAATTTTTTCCTAACAATATCCATACATCGTCAAGAGATTAGGTTATGAGAATTAATAAAATGATCACCAAAGAGAAAATGCTTTGATCTTTTATCAAATTCTCTCAACTCATTCTTTAAGGAAACATATAGAGATCAGTTTGGAGAATTTGTATGTAGATATTGGGACTTAAAGGGATAAAGACAAAATAACACTGGTAAATACCGACAGAGACAAAGCCTACTCCTCAATACATGAACTGGCAGGTTTTCAAAATAGGGATCAGGGACATAAATGTACATACTCCCTCCTCCCCCACCACCACAACCCTAAAGGACCACATTCTTAGTCACTTTTGCCTGTTTTAGGTGGGCACTTCATACCAGTCTCAGGCAGTGTCCTTCACTGAAAGCCGAGTCTCATTTTTTGTTTCAGATGAAACAGTGTTTGCCATGTTTAACACATTAAGTGTCACCCCGTGTAAGGGAATCCAATTTCCAGAATCCTGGCAATTTTTGCCTGTGGAATCTGGAATCGTTGGCTAAAGAATCCAAAATCCCACTAACGATAGGAATCCAGAATCCAGAATCCACAGCATGGAATCCAAGACTATCTTAGATTCTCTTACATGTGGCGAGAAATGTGATGAATAAACAGACCTTCTGTAGACTTCAAGGGGAATGCAGCTACTTCCAAGAGGTTTTATGAGATTTTCTAACACAAAACTAAGCATTGAATGGGTCGTCTTGTCAGCTAGATTGGGTGAGAGCACTAAAGACACGCATGCCCAGTTCAGGTTCTGCAAAGGGCAAAAAAATTTACTATGTGAGTAAAAAATTAATAAAAATAAATTAATTCTGTTAAATTAACCTGACTTCAGCTGTTGCTGAAGTTTACTAGCCTAGAGCAATAAATGCACGTCTATAGTTTTCCTTGGACATTATTTTACTTTATCGTACTCATGTCGCTTGCCTATTGGACAACTTGTTATAGACCATTGCATGGTTTTATTCATTTTTTGATTACATAACACACATTTTTCTATGGTCTTAACTCCCTTTCCTACATGTGGAATGCACTGCCTGACTTTTTTTGAACCAGTTTTTTTGCAGACTTTAAGACTAAAATACAGGACATTACCTTTATGTCGATTCTTTTGCTTGTATATACTTATACTTAAAATATTGTAAATAAGTTTTTTCTTTTATGTGTTTGTTTCTAATATTATTTTATTATTATTCATAATGTATTTCATGAATTTTTATGTGTGTCAGCTCGAAGAACTAGAGAGCTAGTCTTAAATTCAAGTGAAAATAAAGTTTATGTTGTTGTATGGTAGCAGTAAGTGAATATCCATCAACACTGCTGAAAACGGCTTTCAAATAAGGTAACTTACCAAGTTTAAGGGTGATATGTCCAAAGAAAGTGAAGACATTACTCCACAGAGGTGCAAATTTTTCAGAGCTGATGTTTCTATGGTGGGCGGCACGAATTTGCCCCCTACCATACAAGCATCTTTAAAGTTCCGCGTCTTTGCAGAGTTATATCTTCACTGGTTATCAACAAATCGCTTTCACACTTGGCAATTTTACTGATTTTTAAGTGTTCTTTCCAGTGATGTTGACAAATTTTCACTAGCTGAAACTAGTCAAAAGACGAAAAGAAATCATGAAAGGGTCTAGTAAAACATGCTAGCCTGTACATGCTCACCTTTCTCTTAAAGGTTTGCAATACACTTTGTGTTAAGTTGGCTTGATAATGTATGTTGGTCATACCAGAAATTGAGGCAGCAAGGGCAGCAAATAAGTCCACAACAAACACCTGCAAATTCAACAGAAACAACAACAACTCAAATTATAGAACACACCTGAATTCATTAGGCAATCAATGAAGAGTTGTCATCAGATTACAATAAGCAATATGACTATTATATACTTTGCTTGAGCCCCAGCTCGGACAACATGGTTTCTCCCTAACATTGCGGGTTCTTAATTCTCTGGTAGTGGTAAACTCCTGTGCCCGAGCAGAGTGTGTATGTATACATGGTCAAGGTCATGCCAGCTGTGATCTATTAAGATCTTGCAGACCTGTACATCTCAGTTAAGATGATCATGTCATTAGGTGTTGACATCAAGACACTGACATGTCCCCTCATCCTTCCTTATATAGAAAGGAGGTAAAAATAAAAAAACTAGGAAAAATCTAACCCCACCCCACCCCACCCCAATGGTGTGACTCATCGTCCAAGGCCAAGGGGACCAAAAAGGTTCCACTGTAATTGAGGACTCACTGTAGCAGTCACCTTACCAAGAACTTGCAAGTCTAGTAGAATGCACATACCTTAAATGGCCCTTTAAAGGGTGGTTTGATTTCAAGTGGGTCAAGAAGACTGCCCTTTGCTTTGCTGACAATTTGTTCTGCTTCTTTAACAAATTTCTATTAAAAGAAGTTGCAAAAAAATTACACCATTACAATCAAAGTAATATTACAAATTTATTCATAATACGTGTGCAACTACATGTTACAGAATTGAGCCCAGGATACAATATTGCCTGGTATAAGGGCAGCAGCTGGTTACAAGTTACTGACTGCATATCTTGATTAAAAATTATTTTCATAAGACTTTAATCCAGGCGCTACATAGACACTCTCTTAACCTGAACAACTGGCTCCTATATCAAAAGCTGGACTGCATGATCAATACCCTTTTGTTTACACCATTAAAAATCAATGAAAAGTTTATGTTCATACACGTATGACTCAAAATAATGGAGTCACACAAGTCTATTGACTTCTTGATAACTTAAATGAAACCTGGTTTAGACGAGTAACTTTTTATGAGCCAAACCTAATTCAAATTAAGGCCGACCCAAAATATTCAGAAAGACTGAATTAATTCCAGCCGAACTAAATCCAAACAGAGAAAAATGCTCAATTTGGTCAAACTTCTGGCAAATTCATTGAAATATTAATACATCAGGTTTGGTGTCTGAATCAAAGCCATTACAAAATTGCTCCAATGACGAAATTCCCGGCTGGGCTAGGTGGAAGGAATGGCCAAGCTGCTTCAAATCAAAAAAGGCAGTCCTAGTTGATTCAGACCTCGACCTTTTCGGGTACTTATAATAATCTAATGTATTAAGTTTCTGTTCATCAGAAGTTCAGCATCTAAACCAGGTAAGTTCCTTTTGCTACCTAAGCACAAACCTGTCTCACATCCTTGGAAAGGTTATTAGACAACGAAGACTCGCAAAGTGAGTTTATAGACCACTCCATAGCTGTTTCACCACGGAGAGCAGGGTTCACTTGAGCACCAGTAAGTAACAGCACTAGCACTCTTCTAAGCTTCTCCTCAGAGATAACTTGTGGTGAAGGAAGCTTTTCTGGCTCAGCAGAATTGGCATCATTGATCATAGCAATGATGATTTCTTTCATGGTTAAGAATGACATACTCCTAAGAGCAATCTGTGTATTATTTACACTGCCTATACTAGCTGGAAAACAAAACATTAACAAGAGTGTGTCAAAAAATCGCTGCCCCATATTTTAGCCTGGCGCAGAAAGAAAGCAATTCCGATTGGATTTTAGTAAAATCAAACTAGGGGTATATTATCAATGCTGCATTCTGATTGGTTGAGCTACTACTAGGCTATATGTTATAGCCCACTAGTCAACCACTAGTCGCGAAAAGCGCCGGCTTTGAAAACCAAAACAATGGCAGCTGAATTGCTACACTGTGAGCAGAGGCTACATTTTCGCGGTATGAGATGGCGTGCGAAAGAAAATCTGAACAGAAATCTGGACAAATAAATTAAAACATTGCGTTTTTACCTGTTCTTCACTGGTTTAGAGCACTGTGTGAGTCTTGCGTCAACGAATGAACGCTGACCATTATTGTGCCTTCATGCATCCCTTCCTGCAAATTCTCGCATGCGAACGCGGCTCAAGCGTAGCAACGGAAAAAGTTCATAACAATTTCAAAAATCCCTGTTTATGTATTTAGAAGAGCGTCGTCAATTTGAGAAAGCTCTGTATTTTAAAGCTGTTGGAATACCAAAACAAGCTTGCTACCGGTGCTTCTTACGGGACAGGGTAAAGATTGTTAATAATGGTAGTTTTTGTTTGCCGGGAAAAGAAAATGGATACTGCGGTGATTTTGTTGTGTCGCCTCTCAGTGCAAGGCTCAATGCTCTGTTTTAAGACACAGATGGGAACCGGAAAGTTCAAAAGAATCATCGATAAGTTTTCTTAAACAAAAGAAAACAAGCTTTTAGCTGAACAACGATTTGCTCTCAAGGACTTCAAACTGGTTGGTTAATATTCACTGTGGAACACTGTCTTGTCCTGTTCTCAAAAGACGCCAAAGCGGCAATGTTTTTAAAGATTTTCAGGTACAATTTGCAAATTAATGGTCAAGGAAAATTCCGATTGTAAATGGAAATTTAAGTGTTTATAGTTGTTTCATAGATGTTTTATATGATTTGAGACGGATTTTGGAGTTGACATTTAATGTCTTCGGCCACTCTTACTTGCGTGCAAGGATCCACGACCCTGTCAGTGTTACGCGAATTGCTTTTGAGGACAAAATTAAGGGTTTTCGGTTAAAATTTTTCGAAAAATAATTTCTCTGACTATTGTTTTGTCTATGTTCATTCATAACATTAGTTTAACCCGCAATCATGAGACTACAGCATTCAATTTATTTCATGCATCACTTCTGCCTAAGGTTGTCGGCGAATTTCATTTTTCACTTTGAGCAAAACTATGGTTTACTGGTAAAGCTTGTTATAAATTAAACGTAGGAAAATTTTCGAAAGCTTATTTGCACCTTCAGTTAACTGCTTAAATGGTCATGAAACTACCAGTTTTTGAAATGAAAACTTCCTAAAAACGCGCCGGTGGAATAGTCATTTATGGGTTAAACTAGCGCTCCATAAAACGTTTCAGATCATTTTTCCAGCTTTTTATATATAGCATCAATGCATCTGCAGCGATTTTTACAAAGGCGTTATATGGTTTAACTCTAGCCAAGAGATCATAATATGATCTCTTGCTCTAGCTTAAAAACTTCTTTAACATAAGTGTATTACCTATACCAATATTAAAGCCAGAAAAAAAAACTGCTGTTTTGAGTTTAATGCGCTCCCCTCAAATCAGACAGGACTTGCTACAGTTGGTAGCATAGTGCTTTCTCAAAAGACGATCCGAGGAAATTTTGCGGCTAAAATAATTAAAACCAGACGGGCAAAGCAGAAAAACAAAACAAAAGCTCGAGGAGAGTTGTTCGCAAGTAGTTTTCGCTATTTTGATTCCCATGAAACTCACACAGATTTGACGAACCAGTTGCTTGCGAATCATGTGACGAATTTTGCACATGCACAATAGAAAATTGAATGGTTGTCGGTAGAGGCTACTTTTCGCACGCCATCTCATACCACGAAAATGTAGCCTCTGCTCGCGGGGTACTGAATTGCGTTTTGCTAGCTTCAGTTGTTTTGTCTCGATATTTTTGACCAACTAGTTGGATTTTACTAAAACAATTATTTCTCTCGCCCTCATGGGCTCTGAGTCAATAGCCCATTCAGCCTTTGGCCTCAAGGAATAATTGTTAAATATATTCAACTTTAATGTTTAAGTCTCTATTCCTGCCTTACTTTCATTCTTTTTAACCCTTTTTATTCTTTTTTTTTTTACTAATACTGGTCCACAGGAGACCTTATATTCAAAATACTGCTTCTTGAAAGCAACCACTCGACACATGGTCTGATCTCTATCATCACTGTAAGTACTATACTACTAAGGGTCTACAAAGAACTATACGTGACAACGGGGAGCTTAACATCTACACGGAAGACCCCAAGTAGTTCATTCTAGTAAACAACCATGGATCAATTCAGGGTTCTGGGAAACTGCCCACCTACCCCTCTCCTAAGCTAACATTAACACCTACTTCCCACTTAGGGCAAAATGGTGGCTTAGGGGAGGGGTAGGAGGCCAGTTTGCCAGAAACCTACATTGATCCACAACCATCTCCTGTAAGCAACCACTGAATATTTTACCTTTAGAAGTGGTGTTCAAAACATCATTTGGTAGTATAGCTGAAGGTGGCATAGTGATTACATTCAAAGCTTGATCAATCTTTCCTGTCTTCACCAGAAACAGTATAAACTTATATCTGTAGTTGGAAATGTTTGCTAATTTTTGTCCATTTGCTGAGCTATAAATGGAGTTATAATACCCAAAGCTTGATCTGTTTTTCATTTTACAAGACATCATGTAGGACAAGGCATCTGAAAACCTGCAAATGAAATACATATTAACAGTTAACAAGCAACAGTCAGTAACAATGAGGTGGAATATAGATGAGAACAACTGTCCCTCACCGTGAGGAGCAAGGAGAGATGAGTGTATTCACAGGCTAGTAGGCAAAAGGAAAGGCACTCAATGACATACATTCAATAATTGTGTTTGATTGCCCCATGGCCACCTCCTTTGTCACATTGTTGGTCCAATGATGTTGAGAGTTGTTCCATGCATGTTGGCAGTGGTGTGCAGATGGATGCAACAACTCCCAACAAGTTTGGGACCTGCAGTGCATTGTGGAAAGAATACAACCCATAAGTCTCAGTAGCCATGCGTAATGAGCGTGCATGACCCCAACAATGTTGGAAGAGTTGTGGAAATGGATCTAACATTGTTGCGCTTCGCTTTGGTGATCATGGAACAAAAGAAATGTTGGGAGTCGTTGGCTGAAAAGTTTGACCAGTTGCAAACTTTGCGCAACAACATGCAACAAGGTGTGCAAACAGATGCAACATGTGATATCCAACAATGTTGGGAGTTAGTGGCCAACAATGTCGCAGGGCCTAACCCCTCTAAGCCCTGCCCTGATTTATAATACATTGAACAGACATGTCTTCTCACAGAGTTTCTGCATACTGTAAAACATCAAACATGGAAAAAATATTCACCACTTTAGAAACAGGAAGGGAACTGGAGCCAGAATGCGTATTGCAATATTTTTGGGATCGTTTCTGGGGACGTCAGGTCAGCGAGTCCAGTCAACTATTCACCATTTTTTCCCCGTGTCTAGCAACAGTCCCAGAAATGTTTGTGTTAATCGACTCAGTCCAATTTACCTTTTTTTGGTTTTTAAGTGGCAAAATTGGGACTGTGTGGTATTTTCCACTGTATGCATCACGAGTTTTGACGCCAATGGGTTAACTTTTCAAAAAAAATAAGTACGGGGCTACATGTACAATTATATTATGTATACTATGTTACATGTATGTACTTTGCAAAGGAGCTCCCTGGGTATCAAACTTGTCAAAGCTGCAGGAAACCTCTCAAACCTATTTTAGTTGTGTTTACAGCACTATAACTCTTCTAAACCCAGTTGTTCAAAAGGCAGATAATACTATCCACTGGATAAATCTCTTCCCAGTGGATAACACAATTGGTTTCCCTAATACAGGTACAAGTAGGTGTACTTATCCGCTAGATACTGATTTATCCAGTGAACGGTGCTATTCAACATTTTGAACAACCGGGGCCTGATGTGTACCTTTTCCTCTTTTCAAAGAATGCTATTCTAGCTTCAACGACTTCTTCATCTTCTGTGATGCACTCGTCTCCCAATTTACCAGATAAACATTTCACCATTGCCTCATCATTCCATTTCTTCATTTCAAGAATCCTAAAAGCAGACACAAAAATATCAAAGTATGTTAAAGCTGTAATATGTCCTTCTTCCAAATTAGATTGTACAGTCTTGATTTCAAGCAGTGGTCCCGATGGAGTCCTCTATGACTGGTGTAGTTATAATTAAATCCCGACCCTGCTCACCATAGAGCCTTCAGTATCTCAGTGGTTAGAGCATCCGAACTATAACTTGGAGGATCGTGAGTTCGATTCTCACCTGAAGCTCAGAATTTTTTCTGAACCTTCTGGTATCAGAATTCTCCTTCTTCTAAAATGTGTTATTTTATGGTCAGTAATGTTAAATTAGAGAACAAGGGTATCATTATAAAAAAACTAATTCATACTTTCTGTACAGTATATGGGTGTGTGCTGTACTTTAAGGTCATGATCTGACTTACACTTTCAAGCCTGTAGACTCAGGTGAACAAATTAGAGCCCCATCAATTGCAGTCTTTAACCGTTCCCTAACTTTGTCTTCCACATTCTTGGGTAGATCAGGATGCATCAAGACTTCAATCCATGCCTTTCGCACACTGCAATATCAAGTCATAAAGATCACAATATGTAAAAAGTTATTTGTGTTGCACTGTTTATCAAAACAAAAGAAATTTTGCATGTACATGTACAAGTGTGATAATTATGAAGAAGATTCAGCTGGTTAAAAAACAAACAAACAAAATAACAAAAATCAACAACAACAAATTTACATTAAATATTACACATGCATGTAAAATTAATTTTCTTTATTGTAATTTTTGATAAATTAGATTCACAGGTTACAAGTAACTCCTTTAGCACCTTACCTTCTAAGAACTGAAGAAATCTCCCCAGAAGGCCAGTAATTTCTACAGAGAAAGACCAGCAATTCACATCAACAAAAACTTTAATTCACTTAAAATAATTTTGTACTGTAATGAGAAGAATAATTTGTCGACCTCATTAGTTGGTGAAACCTTTCACTTTGTTGCTCAGGAATGCGGCATCCATCTTTTGCAGGCATTTTTTTTTCAGGAGTGTGAACGCTAAGTGTTTATGTTGCTGCTACTTATTGAGTTTTGTAACAGATGAGGAATGCTAAGTAGAGATGGTGATGAAAGGGCAGGCTGGTGGGGTGAAAGAACAAACTTGGGCAAAGGGGGAGACACACCCCAACTCCTCAAGGTTTTTTTCAAATTCAATATGGCAGTACAACATAATTGCTGTCATTTCAGCAAAATCTGTAAACCTGTACTTCTACCCAGGTAGTAGACTTTTCAGTGAAAGAAATAAAATACCTTTGAAGGTTTGCATACCTCTCATTATCAGCAGCTAACAGTAACACAGTCAGCGCATCAAGAACAACAGCTGCCTGGCCAGGCTGGTTACTCTTCAGAAAATCATTAGCTTTAGAGACTGTACTGGACACATTACTGCTAATACTGAAGTTCCACCTGCCACCAATTGAAACAAATCAATATCTAATTAACTTGCTGGTACTTAATTTTGCAGGTATTTCAATGATCTCGCAATTTTGGCAAGATAATATTTCACTGGGTTTTATTTTCACAATTTCATTAGGCAAATTAATATGAAAAAGGGCACTAAATTTTGCAATTCAAGGGTTCTCAACTTGATATAACATGTAGTTTTCAATCTTTTGAACTTTTTGAAATATCGAGATGAAATGAAACAAGCAAAACACATATTAATGTTTTTTCATGACAGAAAACACAGTCACTGAATGGAAAGTACCAGCAAGGCTGTACCAGGCTTTCAGCCGGACATTGAAAACTGGCCGTCCAGAATTCACGTTTTTCCGTAAACGTATGAGAGATTAGGTGAATTTTCCTTGTGTTTCTTCCAAAAATGGGCGTCCATAGGACGGCTGGACACCCTTCTGGCTAAAACCTTGGGCTGTACTCTAAGGAAAATTGAAGGGAGCCCATTGCTCTGAAACTGTAAAATCTAGGGTGCCCAGCATATAATTGGTATGAAAAATCTGACATTTTCTAGTTGCCTTAGGGCAAAAGTGAGGCGCCAGGGGCCACCAGGCTCTGCTAGAGCACAGCCCTGACCAATAAAGCCAGCTAATAACTTGTCAGTATTTGTCACCACATATACATGTATCATGTAAAGTGTACGTTGTAGTTATTACTTAAAGGGCACTTGGACAAAAGTGGCTTTTTTTTAGCATTTTTTTGTCTCATTGTTTAGTTGTACAATGAGACAATGATGTCACTTTTCTGTTACAATGTTCCAGTTTTAGCTATTTTGCACAAGTTGAACAGATGTACATGTATAATCATTACGAATAGGTCCAGCTTTATTTTCTAATGATAAATGGTGTCATGTTACCTCAACTCTCTATAAGCCGGACACCTCTAAGACAGACAGTCGGGGCTGTTCCCGAAGGTGTTTGTCTTAGAGAGACCTGACTGTTCTTTTTAGTTTAGTAGCAAGAGTGTGTACAACAACAGGACTTGAATGTTACCTGCCATAGCGACCAAATAATGGCCAATCGTCAAAAGCACACCTGCTCTCATGCTCATCATGACATGCCCAACAGCCTTCTCCCTCATATCTATCATAACTATCATCACTGTCATAGTGGCAGTCACAATCACATCGACTGAATGATGGCCTGGAGTTGAAGTTGTTTGATGAGTCATTTAGTTCACTCCTCAGTGTTTCTAAGAGACCTGTAACTTGTTCAGCTGAAAAATAGACATTAATTCAGGGTCTTCAATAAAGTTTATGTAGGTGGCAAAAGCAATGGAGTAGGTGGAGAAGCAAAAAACTTTCACCACAGGCGGGACTTGCGAGCACTGAAAGTGCAAGTTGCTAGGGGGGTCTGGGGGCATGCCCTTGGAAAAATTTTGAAATCTTTGAGTGCATCTTTGAGTGCATTTCCAGCATTCCGGAACAAAAATTCAAGTGTTTGAACATAACATAGACATAATTCTTTGCTTTTTGGGGGTACTTTCCAAAGAAAAGTAGGCGGTGAGTTCACATGAAATAGCCGGCGAATTTCACGGGCCGCAGGCTCTTATTGAGAACCCTGTTTATTACCTTAGGTTTTCCAGTATATGTACAAGAGTTCATATTCTTCTGAGCTTTACAAACTCTGTTACTTTCCATGATTTAGCAGTCACTTTGGAAAGTTTTCAAAACTATTCTGTTAGTGGGAATTCAATAAAAATTGGGAGCTGAAATTATGACACTTACACTGTATATGAACCAGAAGAATTTGCTTAAAGGTTAACATCTTACATCTTTGGAGATCAGTTTCTTTATTGTCTTGACATTTCAGTTTGATTAGGCAGCAAGGTTTAATATCAGGAGAATTCAAATGTTGGTCAATCAAAAGTTATTGTACCTGCTGCTTTTAATGATTCAGTTTGCTCATCAGCAGGCAAGCACTTCAATAGAGAGTCTTGAACAGCATTCTGTAAAGGAAATAATATTAATAACAGGGTTCTAAAAAAGGCTTGCCCAGAAGTCAGAAACAAGTAGATTTTCTTCCTGGACAATTACCATTTAAAGCTTACATGTACTGGCCCCATGGATTAGGGTTCAAAGTAGTCATCTTCTAACCAATTCATTACCTACAGCTGTAAGGTGAGAAGGAAGTGGCCCCTAGCAAGCTACCACGGTTAAATCAGCCCACCACTCTAAGTTTGAAAATGAGTCATACATAACAAAATACATGTATACATGGAAGAGGATTTGTTAGATAAATAATCGGCTGCTTTTCCCAAAAATTGAGCCATTTTAAACCATAATGATAGCCCTGGTTTTCCACATTAACAGTCATTTCAGTTTAAACTGAACATTACTGTACTTTAATTTATTAGCCTCTGCCAGATATAATGATAGAAAAATTAGACATGTACTCCCCTAAAATAAGCACTCCCTAAAACCAATGCTACCACCTTATAATGAATTATCAAAATAAAAATCCTTTTATTTGAAATCACTGGCACTTTACGGGGCACTTTTACACAAAGAAGTACCCAAACAAGTGAAATGCAACATTTAATCATAAGCATTAATACCATTTTTCTCTTGGCCATCTTTCGAAGTTTTTCCCAGAATAAATTCTTGGCATATCCATTGCAGTGGGGATTGGTTCCTGTCTTCCAAGTGTCACACTTTGAAAAAAAAAACAAAAACAAAAGTCATCCCTCAGTGTAACATATTTCAAGAAAATAAATATTACATGTACTGTGATGTTGGAACCCTTATTCACAGTATCAGAGGGGCATTAGATGCATCAGACAAATTCAAATCTTCAGCCATGTTAAAGGATAGTCTGTCTACATAACACCAAAATGACTTTAATTCCAGACTGCCTGTCGTTCCAGGGTGTACAGTGTAGTTCATCCTGCGTGAGAAAATCAGACCTTAGGCATTCTTGCTTGCATGGTTTCAAACAAGATCATGCACCACCTGCCACAGACTACACAATTTTCAGTTTACATGATATCACAGTGAAATTCCTAAAAAGAACAAGAATTTAATTTGGAATGAAAAATGGAATGAACTCATTCTCGAATGAGTTGTATGGGAACAAAAACTAATGTTGTTTCAGTATCATATAAACAAAAACAAAGAAATATGTGGAGATGAACTTGTTCCAGAATGAAAGTCATTCTGGTACCATGTGAATAGCCCTCACTAAACTTTGTAAATAACCAACTGTCAAGCCTCTTGCTATTTGGGAGTTTACATGTAAGCAAAAGAAAACATCACAAGAATTAACAAAAACAGATCACTGAAGGAAAATGCTTTGTTTACAAAAAACAAATTCTTTCTATTTATGCTTTTGGCACATGTATATGTATATACCATTCAAAAGTAAGCTGAAAGTCTGTTGCAAGTCTCAATTCTTGACACGATTCTTGATTTCGGCGTGAATCGGAAATTGAGAACTGACATCAAGTTATCAAGAATAAAGTCAAGGATCGAGTCTCGCCAGACAGAAAACAAAAGATTCACTCATGAATTGTTTTGTAATAATTTTACATTGACAGAACACAACACAGCATGGTTTATTCATGCGAGTGACCGTATGCTTCACTGTTTGCTGTATGTGAATATTCAGACTTTAGATTTAATTCTGTTATGCTCTTTAGGAATATATTATTTGTTGTTGGTTGTTTCAGGAGAGTGTCTGATAACTACATAAGTAGTTGGAAAAGCTACATGCACTTCTACTATAAAGCAGAGAATAGTATTAGTATGGCCAAGCAGCATCCATTTTAAAGGTCACTTTTCTATACATGCTTGCATGTGTATTTTAGGATTTTATACACAGACTCAAAGGTAGAACCACCTTTTAATAATAATAATAATAATAATATTTAATACTTATATTGCACTTTTTCTATAAAAATACTCAAAAGCGCATTACAATATTATTAATAACTAAATTAAAAACCAGTGAAATTACCCGGTAAAATTACAATAATAAATATAAATAAATAAATAAATAATCTAACTAAAGATCAGCACAAAAGATACTGTGTAGCATGAAAATTTTGCGGGTTCTAATTTTTGCGAATTTTGCCCATTGACCTCGATCCACAAAAATTAGTTCTCGCAGAAAAAAAAAACCGCAAAATAAAATGCCGCAAAAATTAACTCTCTTCAGTCAAATTAAAAACTCTGCTTTTAACTTTTGTTTTGTTTTGCTGTTGTTCAGTCCCTTTGTGCAGTAAGATTTTACAGTGATTACCCTATTATTCTCCATTAAATATGTAAGTAGAGTGAACTTTGACTCAACATACCATAAAATGAAAGTTGAAAATATCATATTAAGGTTTCTTCCACTTAAATATTCTGCTACTTGAACAGAGAATCGCAAAAATTAGTTCCCACAAGAAATTTCAGTCACCTTGAACCACAAAAATTTGTTCCCGCAAACCAAAAAATATCGCCAATCCGCAAAATTTTCATGCTACATGGTAGACTCAATTTCCACCACTTTCCCAGGTCTGGTCTTTGAGCTGCGGGCTCATTTTCCTGAACAATGGCTGGTAATTGTGCCTACAAACAATACCACAGGAAAGTACAGCTTAACATTATACAAGTATGTGTCCCTACCTCTCGCACAGGAGCATCACAAACATAACAATAGCACTGTTCACAGTACTTCTCATTACATGAAACCGTCGATGATGTTACGTTGCTCTGAACAAACTTGTGGATTGAACAGTTTTCTCTTGCATGTGGCAAATTTGTTGCTGGTCTAAAGTAGGTAATAGAAACATCTTTTTTCTCTACATTTTCAACAGTTTTCTCAGCTTTCTTGTCATCATCAAGCTTCCTTCTTTTCAAAGGAGAATAGTCCTCAGGAAGAATAAAAACAACATCATCATCACTGTTATCCCCAACACAGATCAGAGGGGAGCTTTTTTCAGAATCTTCAAGTTTGACATCCAAGGCAGAAGACTGTTCTTTGGTTAACTGTTCCTCAATTTCTCTAAATCTCTTTGTAAGTTCTTGCTGTTCCTTTTCACAAAATGCCAACTATATGAAAGAAAAAATTATTTAGAGTCAGATGCCAGCAGTTTTACCCTATAGTGAGTTTGCCCCTAGTAAGCTACATGTAATAAATTAACAAGACTTACCACAAGGATTTGACACACATACATGTATATACAGTTTATTTCTTGTATTTCATGTCCAATGCCACTGTAAATTTTCGTTACAAAACCAATATAAACAAATAATTTAATCATTAATGTACATTTGTGTCATTTTGGGCAAAAACATCGCAGGTTAAAACAAGTCCATTAATTGCATGCAATATCGGGGATTCGTATGCATGAAACAAGCATGTAATTCTGCAATGCCCATAGACTGGACTGTGTTAAACAGAGTCGGATGAAAATTTTAAGAAATTACCAGTACTTACCAGTTCAGTTAACTATTGCTGAAGTTTACAAACCAGAGCAGTCATGCGGGCCTACCAAACCCACTTTTCACTAACATTTACTTTATCTTCCTAGACATTGTTTGCTTATTAGAGAATTCCTAACTAAGGCGCCACTCACATTGTACAGCCATACTCCTGCTCAAGCACACTGTGCCAAAGTACAGTACTCACTGGACACTAATGTAAGCACACTCTTCTATAATCCATGCTTGAATTTGTGCATGGTGTCACTGCTAGACCTTTGTACTTGTGCACAAAAGTGGGCACCGGCTCCCTGTGTTCACACCGGTTTTTTGTTAGTTCTGGGGCAGTACACTGTTTTGTACTTGCCATTAAGCTCATGTTTCATTGAGTGAACACAACACCATTTTGTCCCACTGCTCAGGCACTGGTTCCCAGTGTGGGCAGCCCCTAAAACATGACAGCTCGCTCCACTACCCATCCACACACAGTTAATCAGACAGTACTTTGGGGACCCTGTATAACCCCCTACACTTTCTGCCTATGGACACCTTCACAAAACCCTGTTTTTTTTTTTTCGAATCTCATACAAACTCCGTATTTATACATTCTTGTAAGCGGCCATGCAGCTGCAGTTACAGATCCCATTTTCACGTCCTGAGGGTTTCCACTTACAAGAGCTTCCACTGTATTTGCAGGCAAAAAATATCAATTTCAGATGTGCAGAACAGACTTTACCACTTGGATAACAGAGACTCTATATACACACTGTTTACAAGTTAGGTACATACCCTCCTTTTTAGCTGGGCAGCTTTGTACACTATGTCATCACTACTTGGTGTTTCTGTACATGTGGTTATCTGTGGTGGCTGTGATTCTTTTCTCTTTCGTTTTCTGTTTAATATTGGTGATCCTGCTGAGCGCACCTAAAAGCAAAAGTACAAATAAATCAATCTTACTATTACACATCCAAAGCATGAGTAAATGCTGACAGCAAATTGGCGCACTGTTATGATTGAGTACCCAATAAAATGTTTTTGGTTTGTGGGTCAATAATTTTCGCCTTTTTCTGGCATAGTTTATCTCTTAAGCTGACTTTGCTCCACATTACACCGGAACATTACACATTAGATATATTTGTTGTACTTGGTCTAAAGCCGGATTCTTCAAAAAACTGCCAGCAAATTAATTTCCTTTTCCTTCTAGCCAGAAATTACATCTGGATTAGCAAAAGAAGGGAAACCTCGCCAAAGATAGCAGGCTTCCTGCAATACCTCAAATCATTCTACCACATAGAGACCACTGCAGGTCCCATTTTACCAAAAAAAGGGAAAATGTGAGCTCCTTATTTCAGTAAGCCTTTGATTTTGAATACATTTGTATATCTCGATCCTCTGCTCATTTTCTCCAGCATTAACCTGGTGTATCTTTTGCTTCACAATCGCTGCCTCTTTAAGACACTTAAGATATAAGTGCGTTTACCGTTTACTGCTTGTAAATAGTGCATTGTAGTGTGAGTACTGAGTAGGTAGTGTTGTAAGTACTGAGTATTGTAAGTCTTTACATTGTAAACAGAGTAAGTACCTTAGTCTATTGTATTCTACATAAGTAAGTAGTGTAAGTATCGTAGTGTTTGTAAGCATTTTTGATTGTTGATTGTTGATTGAATAAATGTTATTACAAATAAAAAAATAATAATAATAATAATAATAATAATAATTTTCACGCGGGGGCATCCACCAAGTTTCTTCTACAGTTAATAAAAGAAAGAAATTGATTGCTAGATATTTAAGAAAGTAGATCAAAAAAATTCATAAGTTGAACGACAATACAGGAGCGTTTCTACACCAAAATGCTCACGCAAATTAAGTGGTATGCCTTGCTGTTGTTTTCAGAAGGTGTCAAATGTCAAAAGTGCGCGCCATCGTGAAACAAACATGTGCAAGTTTTCCAGTCGCGCGCACTAATAAAATGAAAAGAATATCAACTTAATCTGTGGAAAATCCCTTCCGTGCTGCCATTAAGGATTTCTGGAAGCTTTAGGTCTGTTTTCTATCCAAAACTTAAACAGAAGCATGATAAGATGACTGCACCACGCTGAAGGTTCGGCATGGCCGACGATCTCGCACGTATCAATCTTTCTACCACTCTAAGAGACCTTCATAAAGGTTAAGACTAGATTTGAACTATACACACTTACATCTTTGGATAAGTGCTTCGATGACGCCGCAGCAAAGAAATATCTGCCATTATATTCAGACTAAAAATGATAGCTATTCCAGAATTAGTGCGCGCGCGAAGCAATAAATGCTGCAATCGATTCTTATCGCTTTGACTATAATAGTCAATTTTTCGAACACTGTAATCGTTAAATGTTAGTAAAATTAAATTGGGCAAAGAAATGGGATTTCGAGGTAAAGATAATTTAATCCGGCTGACATAGAAAGGTGTGTGTAAGTCAGCAGAGCACGTAAATCTTACCGTAACTTGGACGAGCTGGATTTCATCGTCGTCCATCTTGGATGTGCAAGATTGTTTTGTCATCATTTTTTAGGTTGTCATGTGACTTTTAACATTGGCGCCAGAATTTGCCAGCAATAGCTTCGTTCTGATTGGTAGTTTATAAACTCCTACCAAGGCCTTCACGGTTAAAAAAGAGAGATGGGACTGGACCTCGTGCACCATATTTTCCATATGCCATTATGTAGCAACGTAGCACGCGTTTCCAATCGTGTTATTTTTTTATTTATTTATTATAATTCAATGATAAATACTACAACTATGATAATGATAAATAAATAATAAAAAAGCCTTAAGAATAATTTGTAAAATACAGTATAAATACTGACATAATGAATATTTGAATAAAACTAAAATTATAATAATTTTTCTCACAGAAATTGTAATAGTATCGCAATAAAAATTGTAATAAACTTCTCACACACTAACAGCTAAAAATAAAATAGCGGAGCTGTCTATCCATCCTAGAAAATTTGGTAATCACGTGACCGTCCACCGACCGCCTTCTGCCCGCCCACCGTCCGTCCGCACCACAGGCATACCAATGTAAAATAACTCAATCAACAGGTATGGCAACCCAAATGCAACTCGAAGTTATTTCGGCGGGAAATATGAGAGGTAGTAAAAAAGGCAGTAAAAAAGTAAACAAGACGTACGATAATTTCCTCCATAAAACGTGTAACTACGAAATTTCTGGAAGTTTCACGTTGTAGTCGTGCAAAACAACGGCAAAGAAATGAACAAAAAAAGTGTGCTGCACGTGCAAAGTTGCTTTTTCGGTAATTAGATCTATTCCGTTGCCTTCGCCGCTTAGCATTACTCGATTGTATATTTTGTTTGAGCAAACTCTAAATATTACCGAGAGCTTCGCTTTTAGCCCTGGCTAAATCTATATATGTCAACACTGTATGCATGCCGAACGGACCTCAAGAGGCAAGGGAGCATAAGCTACGACGACGACGATCGGACGACGATGTCAACGAGAACTGAAAAAACTGAGCAATATAGGTTTAGATTAGCCTGTTCAAGGCTCCGAAATAGTCGGGTCCATTGAATTGAGAAAGCGCGAACACGAATGTAAGTATTGCGTGCCTTTTCCCCACTGCCTGAGAGCCTGGAACAGGCTAGGTTTAGGATTTGCAAAACAACAACTTTGCATGCACGTGCTTCACGCTTTCTTGTAAATATACATTTCTTCACCGTCACTGCGCGGCTGACGTGAAAATGCCTAATTTCATATTTTCAGTGTGGAGGGCGTGAACGCAACATACGACTTTTTCCTTTCCCTGAATTTCGAAACAGTCTTTTAGAGTGAACTTCAGCAAAAATTGCCAACATTTGACAAATTGAACGAGTTGGAATAACAGCGATAAAGTTTGAAGCAGTGGGACTTCTCTTTCTCAAGTGACCTTTTCGTACTGGGTCGCCGTTGTTGTTATTGAGAATCTGAGCTCGAACTCGCGCGGAAACGCTTGTTACGCAGGCTAATGCCAAACCGTCCCGACTTTATACCTAACTGGGTCGTTTTTTGCAGCAACCCGATCAACCACTCAACCTCCTAACTTGGTGGTGGGCGACTACGAAACACTTTGAGTTCACTGGTGCCTCGCTCAGAAAGGTGAGCATGTTTTTAATTTCCACTTTCATAATTAATTGTCTTGTTATATGGCCAATGTTCGAAGACTGTCTTTTAAGTAATAAGGTACAATTCTTACAGATTTTAGAGTATCTGTAAGCAGCTGGAAAGTTAAAGGGAAGTGATAATTATAGCTGCATGCATGCAACGGACCAGAGGAAAGACTCACAGGCAGCCCATGAAGTCTCAAAATGGGAGATCGTTGGAATTTGCATTTTATAACAGAATGTATGAAAATAAACAAAATATGATCTAAATTACACTTTTTTGAAAAAAAAAGAATCGCAATAACTTGAAATGACTCAACTTGTGTTTGTTGTGTTTAAATAACCGTCTGTGCTCTTCTAGAGCCATTTGGAAGCCATTAAACTCGATAAAACGGCTCCAGAGGCAAGGACAGTAAAAAACACAACACAAACACAAATTGAATAATTTTTATTGCGAAGTGTTTAAAAACATCTCGGTAAATTAGATCGTATTCGTATTATGCTCTAATAAAATTTAAATTCCAACGAACTCCCCTCATATAGAGTCTGAGCCGCCTGTGAAGTACTTCTCATCCTCGGTATAAGAACCTGTTAATTCAAACTCACCCGGTGACGTAAAACAAAGAAAACAAAGAAGTTAACACAATAGAACCTAGAAAACATTAAGCTGGAAAACAAAGAAAAAGTTCACAGGTTTTTATACCGAGGTAGACCCCGAAGTACTGAGGTAAGATGAAACTTGGTCTACAGTTTACCGTATTTATTCGAATAAGCGCCCAACCTCGAATTAGCGCCCACCTCGAATAAGCGCCCATCCTAAAGGCAGAGAAAGTTAATAAGCGCCCAGCCTCGAAGAAGCGCCCACCCCACCCCACCTCCTTCCCGATCCCACTCAAACTTAATAAAGCGCCCACCCCCACCCCACCCAAGAGAGTAAACTTCGATTGACCACTCCAGAAAATACCACTGACATTAGGGCCATAATACGGTTTGTTGGTCACTCCTAATAAATTTTGCATAAGCATTGTTTTCAGTTTCTCTAGCGATCTTGGGGCCATTTTAACTCCCAAGAGAAACTAAAGACAATGCTTATGCAAAATGTTGGAGTGACTAATTAAGAGTATTATGGTATGTTATGGTATTTTCTGAAGTGGTCAATTAAGAAATTTTTACCGACACGAATACGCGGCCTCGCCCCATGCCGTTTCGTCCACTTAGTAGATCCGATGGTACTCTGTTCTAGGGACCCGTTTCTCGCAAAAGTGACGGCATATCGAGGCGAGGTGACGCTGTTTTGTTGGCTTGGAACTTCGCTAATCTCGTTCACCGTAAGACAGCGTGACCTTCTCTTGATTTGACTGTTTGATTTTAGGGACCAAAAAGTTACCCGGACTTTTAAGAAACTGACGGCCCAGGCCTCTAGCAGAGAAACGGATACGAAAAACCGCGCGTCTCATTTTCTCTTAGCTTGTTTTTTGCGACATCCTCTACTATCTGAGAACCTTGTACGACTACTCCTATTGTTGCCCAGTTCAGCGTAACTGAAAGACCAACCTAGTTCCCAGGGTTCTCTCCTACTTCCCTTGGAACGAGGTTCCAGAAAGACGTATTTAAAAATTATAAGCGGTTTCTCAGTGGAGAGGGGTAAAAAATAACGCAGTGATTCCACTAAAGCCTGCGATCAATGTTTCTTATTCTGTAACTTAACTGAAAAAGGGCTGTTTGCGAAATAGCAAATCAAGATCACTTAGGCCTTCTAAACACATTCGTTAGCCTCATCTTTATTGCAACTAATGATGTTGACATCAAGTGTAACATAGACGGAGATGATTACATGTTATCTGTCATGACTATAAAATCAACGCAAGACAATGAAACCTAATCATTTATAACACTTTCCTTTCTCTAAAATCACCCTCTGTTTTCAGTTCCAAGATAGTGCAGGAAATATAATCAGGAGCTCACTCAACCAATACCTTTACTCGCACTTGAGTTTACAGTAATTTTAAATGCTGCTACTAATTTCTCAAAACATCTATTTATTTTTACGAAATACGAAATCTATAAAATTATTTGCTATGATTGACTTGCTTACAGGCCGGAATCCTACGATCTCGACTCCCATTCCGGGTCACTCGCGACTCTATTTACAATTAAAAAATACCAATCGAAAACTTTTCTTAAACTTTTCTTAGGAATTTATTTCGAGTTTTATCACTAAACCGATTGCCTCAGTCCAATATCTCACCATCCAAACCTCCCCGGCAGACAAATAAGGTATAGATCGCTTTCAATTACATTATCACTAATGATGCAAATTTCTTGGAACAAAATCCCCATGGGATTATTCTGGTACACCAGTATGCCCGCCGTAGCGTTATTTTAAAAAGATCTATATTTGTTTTACAAAGTGAAATATTAATTTTCATGCATGGAAAACTCTTGGGATTGGAAGAGTCAGACACAAGGTCTCTTAACACTGAGAGGAACCGATAATAAAAGCCGCTATCTGGCCCCCTCTGATGTTTGAACCACGATATGGACTAGATGTTTTACTACGGGGAGTAGGGGTAAAGGTAATCGTTGCTTTAGAACACGTGACCATTTTTCTCCCGTCAGTGTTCACGTAAAAGAAAGCGTTTATTTGTTTAGCATCCATTTTAGACGATGCAGTGTATTTAACACCAGAACGAATATGCACCCCTTTGGGAAAAAGAACTTCAAAGGTCACGTCCTGGCGGTTGTCTAGGCCAATAAACGTACCATTTCTTTCTGCGATCAAGGAATCGTTGTTAGCGTACTGTAGACGAATGCTCACGTCTGTAGTAGGGTTGTAAGTCACAAATACACCCCTCATCCGGAAACCATGAAGTATAAAGTCTCCATCAGACTGGAAATCAAAAACATCGGTGTCCCTCCCGTTGGGTCCGTCATACCCCCATGAAAAAGCCGTGAACCCTCCCTTTGAACCACGCCAGCAGTTACACTTTTCTGCAAGAAAAAGAAGAACCAGAAAACAGTCTCATTATGGGGTAGCCTGCGTAGCAGGCGTCGAAAGGGGTAGGGGATAGGGAGGAAGGGAAAAAGAAGGGGGATTGGGGAGAAAGGGTAAGGCTCCTTCCCTTTTCCCCTCTTTCGCGCTTTTCTTCCTTCCCACTCCCCCTCCTCTTTTTGCGCCCTCCACGCAGGCTAATCATGAGGTTATCCACAGTATCTTTGCAATTGGCTTGGTCACAGGCCCGAGGGCTAGGGGAGCACTCCCTTCATTTGGCCAATACGAGTATGTACCGCTTGAACAAGCTACTAGGTGCATGTGGTTTTTCAGGGTCTTGGTTCTCATAAAGACGGTAAACGATTTTACTATAAAGTGTCTTGAACAGGGCGGTTTATTTTTGGATGAGCGGTCTACATTTGTGATATCCAAAAGTGCTAAACCCTATAATGTTAGTTTAAAAAAATTACTTGATTCTTTCGATCTGCAAAATGAAACGAATCAGGGTTGAAAAATAGGGTCGCTTGACTAAAAAACAATTATATAGCGAAATAAACATTACCCAAACTTCCCTTGTGTGCTCCCCTGGGGTCACAGGATCAGGCTAAATTCCTCTAGCATTTTACTTGAGGCAGCCTCCTGTTATTTACTTCTAATCCTATTATGTTTTATTATTTTGAATTCTTTGTTTTCAAACAATTCGGTGGTGTAGCTATAAACTACTTCAGGGGAAAGTTGAGCCGGTAAATTTCTAGAGGAAAAAAAAAAGAAACAAAACAAAACAGAGCTTCAGGAGTGACTGGGAACGAGAGCAGTAAAATCTGCAAAACTATACGATATACAAACCTGCTGGAAGCTGAGGTCGCTGCACATCAACTTTTATCCGGGCTTTCGTTGCTCCGAATGAGTTCGCTGCAGCACATTCGTACAATCCACCGTCTGTAGTGACATTCAGGTCGCTAATGATAAGTGTACCTTCTTTTACTTTAGTCTTTCCAACTGGTAACGTCTTTCCTACTCTTGACCAACTTATCCTGGGACGTGGGACACCTTCAACCTCACAGGGTATCCGGAGAGTATCGCGTTCCAGGGCTGTGGCATCCGATGGAGGCTTTTTAAGGAAGACCGGACGCCCTAGATACGGGAGATATGAACACGTCATAAGTTGGTTTTGAAGTAAGTCTCAGTTCATGATCAGCTGTTTAGAAATCTTTGAAACTTACCATCTAGTAACAATGGCCGCACCGATTTTGTAGTATAGACTCGATTACCAGCCGCTGCTCGGGACATAAACCAGTGCCACTCCACCCTCTCCCCACCCTCCCAAAAAAAGACTCCTCTCTGGGAGGATCAAGATCGGACCCGAGAGAGCGACGAGAATCGAGCCTATGGTTTTGAGGTGTTGGAATGACTCAGTAATATCCCTGTCATAACCAGGGACTGGACACTCGTAGGTCTCGGAAAACACCACGCCCGGAAATCTGTTTTAATCTACTGTTGCACGTTAACATTCAAGAAAGGAGTTTTCATAGTTTTGAGAGTAATGTACTAAAACTATAAGTGAAAAATGGAATGGTCTGTTAGCTTGGACGGGCTTCGGCTACTGTTCTTAAGTAGATCATTTTAAACTGGTTTTGATTTTAAAATTTGCTTTCGAGATCGAAATTTAGTGAAAATTTGGAGAAGCTGGTCCTTGGTACTAGTACCAAAGCCTCCACTGTTTCAACATAATAAGCTTTTAATTAAATACAAAAAAGAGCTGTGATACGTAACTCTTTCTGCGACGTGAAGGTTGAAAGGGGTTGTATCACGGTTGACTGGTTCGTTTTGTTAAAAATGTCACTTTGGTGCCCTTTTTCTTTATGAAACTTGAGAAATGTTTTTGTGAATAGCCAGGAGCCCATTAGCCTGTTCCAGGCTCCGAGATAGTCGGGTCCGCTGAATTCAGAAAGCGCAAACACAAAAATAAAACGGGAGGAAACTGGGGAGATCGGGGGGGGGGGCGGGGGGGGGGGGGGGCGGGGGGGGGCTTTTTTTTTTCTTTTTCCCGCCCCGCCAACTTTTCGCGTACCTTTTTCTTTCGCGTCCTCCCCACCATCTGAGAGCCTGGAACAGGCTAGGAGCCCATCACCATGGGCTCCTGGAATAGCAAATTTACAGCTTCGTCAAAGAATATGTCAAGCCAACAGAAAAAAAAAAAAAAAACGACTCGGGAACAGAGCTCACTTTTAGGAATTTACGACCATAATACTCATACCTTGAACAGTAAGGATGCCACTAGATTCAGGCCTTCCAAAAACATCTTTGCCAACACAGGTGTACTGTCCAGCATCGTTGTAGTTTAACCGCTTTATGATCAGAATGCCATTGTCACTGATCGAATATTTTTCTCCTGAGGTAAGATTTTTGCCATTGAATTTCCATTGTGTTCCAGAGGTATGCTCTCCATCAATCGTGCAGTAAAATGTCCCACTTGTTTCCATATTTGCTGTCTGTTTTGAAGGCGAAACTACCACATGCTTGCATTTTTGTCACTTGTTGCTTTTCCGGGACGTCCGGGTGCCCCCCGGGGTCCTGAAGGGCCCATCGGTCCGGGTGGTCCCGAAAGGCCAATCGATCCATCTTGTCCTGGAGGGCCCATCGGTCCGGGTGATCCCACTGGGCCAATCGGTCCTTCTGGTCCTAGAGGTCCCATTGGTCCGGGTGATCCCTCTAGGCCAGGTAGTCCTTCCAGTCCTGGAAGTCCCATCGGTCCGGTCATTCCTGATGCTCCGTCAGAGCCATCAAATCCACGAGGTCCCCGGTCACCCGGCTTTCCCTTTTTTCCCCTTTTACCACGGGGGCCTACCGGGCCGGGAGGTCCAGGAGGACCTGCAGGGCAGCTTGTTGCATTTGAGTTGCAGTACTGAAGAGTCATGATCTGCAGTTTTTCAAAGTACTTGTTCATTTCTTCCAATATGCTATCCATGCTAAAGTTGAAATCTGGGTTTGGGATTTCTAGAGGATTAGTTGCATTTTGCATTTTGGTAAAGTTGAAATCTGGAATGTCCGGGAAGAGGGCGGGTGTTTCTGGAATTTCGTCCGGGTCCGGGACCTCCCTGCGATATCTTGTCCTGTCAGTTGCCGGCATCGCTGTAGAAACATTCCTGACTAAAAGAAAAATGCATGTGAGTCCGTAGGTAGAGATTTATTTTCCTTTTTTCGAGAGGGTATGGTATTCGTAGATACGTTTTGCGCCGCCACATAATTCGCTAGACGAAGAACGTCTACTCATGAGGACTACCGCCATCCTCCATCCTTGAGCGTGCAGCTATCCTAGACAGCAAAGCTTAAAACCTTTCTGCATGACAAGCGTTGAAACTTGTAAAAAAGGTTATTAGAAAACACTAGAAACGACCGCAAAGCAGAGAGGAAATGGTTTTCAGGGTCTTGAGTCTTAAACTTAATCCGATTGCTATAGTAACTATTTTAAAAGCGTTTTGAACAGGTTGTCTTTTTGGATTGGGAACCTTCAAAAGAGTGCGAAAGTTGGTGATGAGCGGTCTACATTAATATTTTGTTGTAGCAAAGTTTCTTTTGTTGTCTTTTGTAGTTTCTTTTTCTTTCTTTCCCACTTTTTTTTTCACCAAAAAATTTTATTCTATGATAAATTATTTAGTTTGAAGAATTACTCGATTCTGTGTGCAAAACGAAACGAATCAAAGTCATAAATAATTTTCTCGTCTTAAACACGGTAGCGAAAGGAAAATCTTTTTCAGGGTTTGAAGGACTTGGCGGCAAACCTCTACCCGCCCGTACTTCCTTTTAATGCACCCCCCGGATTTCCCCCGATCATCGCAATCCCTAATGCAAATTGTCCCTTATTCTCAAAGTGAACTTCCTTGTAGATGTGTGTTGCTGGTTTGACACAGGCACACATCTGACTTCTCAATTATTTTTTATACATCAAACTACCTCAGACTATTTTTAATTTCTCTTTCAATTATGTCTTAAAAGAAGTCGATATTAATTTTCCGTTTCCGGTCATCGCCGTCTCAATCGATTCCTGAGGACAGGCGAGAAACTTCTCGTCTCCCATTGTTAACCTTTGACGTCAAGGATATAAGGGGCGGGGGATTTCAGAAAAAAAAAATCCTGCAGACAAAGCTGAAACGAAAAAATTGTACAGCAGTTGAACTTGACGCCGCTGCCGCATTATTTAGTAAGTACTTTCAACAACTTAAAACAGGTCTCTTTCTTTTTCTAATTTCCTGTTCACAGACCTTCTGTTTTCTCTCCAGAGAACGTCGAGGGCACGCAGGTAGCGCACGTAAGAAAATTAAAAAACCGCGGGGGTGATATTGACCACAAGAAGAAGAAAAACGTCATGATTTCGACCTATTCGGCGCAAATAATAAGCAACGTTCATGTCTGAATTTCAGCGCGGTCCAAAAGGAGAATGAACGCGCTCCATAGTCCTCCTCCTGCCCTCCCAACCCTCAAAAGCGTGCTTAGGCGGGCTTTGGTGTATTTCTGTTCATTTTGAATAGCGTCCAGTGCGGATTCTTTTAAGATTCTTTGCTTTAAAGATTGCCCATTGCAGAGATTTCCGCTTCCCCCGTTTTAATGATTCCAGCTTTATCAAAATTCCACAACAGAGTTTCCATTGCGCTGCTCTCCGTTTCTTGCCAGCATGAAACTGAACTATGTACAAAACGCTTATAGTCACCACATAAGCACAACAAAACAGTGAAGACGATTCTTACCTGTTTTATACTCGGGCAGTTTGGTGGCAGTTGGCTTTGACGGTGAACTTCCTACGATCTCTTGTGGCGGGTCATCAGTCACAACGCGATCCTCTCTGAGGAACTTGTTCAAGCGATTTTCCAGCGCTATCATGCGATCATTCAAAGTTTCATTTCTCAGCCAGAGATAGCCACAGGCACAAAACAGGATCAAAGAAAGAAACGAAGGCCTGAATGAGGGAAGAAAATCGCGAAGGCGACATGATTTAGAGGAGCGTGGTTTTTCACTAGCAGCTAAATACAGGAATTGCACCGACCTGTGATTGGAAGATAAAAATAGTATTTCAGTGACGATGACGTGACAATTCGTTACGTTAGCCGTTTCAAGAGTAATGGTTTTTACACGAAAAAGACAGTCCACAGGAAAATACAATATAATATTAAATATTTCTCAAAGACAAACAGTGCAGTATTCTTTTGAAGTCGGCTGACTCGCTAAGAGTGTCTTATCGAAGTTGAAGTTCAACTGTCGCAAATCGGATAACTTCACTGAGTGATTCTGAGATGAAACCTTTTGTCTGCATCCACATTGATCTTAGATTTTACCACTTACATATTGAAGAAAAGCCATAAACAGAGCTTCAATGTCCACGTACACCCGACTGAACCTCGGTGCGATTCCTGCAGATACCGCTGTTCAAACTAAATGCAGGAATTGCACCGGACGCGTTCTCGTCCCCAGAGTTTTTTTTTTTGAAACCGCGACAAGACATCGATCCCTTTTCAATATAGTCTTGCGACAAAGGTCTGTATTAAAAAAATTAATACTGTTGTTGGAGGGCATGCAATGAATCATGCTAAAGTTTCTATTGGGAACACAAAATAGAGGTACCAGGGAATCACAGGGAACAACTGTGTAAGTGACATAACTTTTTATTTAACTTTGTAGCTAGTGTGCCGGTGGGGGGGGGGGGGATTCCTATACAATAGGCACAGGGCGGCTCATTAGAAAATTTAGTGTACCAAAGACTTTCTTTGACCCCTCGAGGAGTCCACTTCAACACTGTTAGCAGTAAAGTATGTGCAGGGCTTTTGTAAATGGATATTTCTATATTTACTGACTTTCCACCCCCAATATAAACATACCAATTAAGTGAGATCAAATTCTGTGTATTTCTATGCCTTTACTGAGATGAGACAACTTGATAAGTTAGAAGACAAGCAATCCCTGTAACTTTTATACAGGAGTTTCTCCCTCAAAAAGGCTAGTGTAATTTATTTGGATTGTGTGGTTCCAGAAAATAAACATACCCACCAACCCCAAGGAAAATTCTGAAGGGGAGGGGGGTTTGAAAGGCCAAGATTTTTAAAGAAAAGTATGAAATTAACCTGGAATTTCCCGAATGGTGGGGGCATCCCAAGGAAAATACCATCCTTGGAGGGAGTATGGATATTTCCTGGAACAACGCATTTATTGTTTGTTATTAATAATTTAAAGGAAAAATAACACAGTTTGTTTATATAAGTGTATATGTTGTGGTTCAATTTGATCCTTGGTTTAAATTTTAGTTTCCTTTATTGTAAACTCATTATCACAGATTACCATACACAAAAACAAAGGAAAATATAAACCAAGGACAAAATTGAACCACAACATACATATATTAAGCTTATGTATAAACTAGCCAACGTATATATCTGTTACCTAGATAACATTTCGGCAATGATTTATATAATGCTAAGAAAGCCAGACATTCATGCTCACAGCTTGGGGCTATATTTCACAGCCGGCAAAAAGTTGATTATCCCTGGTAGTAGTTTTGCAAAACAAAAAGCAAATTTAAAACAAACAGAAGATTTCAAATGCACAGAAACCAAATTAAACAGTTTTTGAGTGCATGAAACAGTACATATGTGTGTAAATACTGTCAAGAAGGTCACTTAAAACCCATCGTGTGACACAGAGAGAAGCCACTTCATTTGGTGTCATGTCATAGTTTGGAATAATATAATCAAAAGGATTCAAGTATAGAATTTCCTGAAATTTCTTTATGGAACTTTCTGGAGGATACATTTGGACAGTCAGTGGTTTAATGTATGGTTCTGAAAACCAGTTTAATTCTGCTTGGACGGCCCTTTGTAGATCCCTTGCATAATGTACTTTTAACATATCTTTAACATCAGATATGCCAAAACATTGGGAGCCATGCTGCAGATAATAGTAACCCTTCTCTTCTTTCTGCCAGAAGCTTAGCTGCTTATCCCATGTTGTTAACAGACTAAACGGTGGTATTGTTTTCAATGAAAAGGGGTTTGTTGTAATTCTTGGAGAATCTGACACAACAACATCACCATCAGCATTTCGAGGGGATTTTGTGGGGGTAAATTGAATTCAAAGGCCTCTCTCCTGGTATGGCTGGTAAGGGCAGAAGAGGTTACTTGCTTACTGCACTTTTGCCAGTCACCAGCCTGCATGGAATAGAGTTCAGATTCATTCAGATGAGTGTTTAGTCATTGACTGCCCTCAACTCCCCCTCCACCCCCCAAAAAAAATGAATGAAAAAAATATAAATCAATGTAGAAATGTTATCCACAGGTACACAAAGTGTAAATACAAGAGCTAATTTCAGCAAACTCTTACAGGTGGACCGCCTTTTTCCCTAAATTTTGCGAGTGAACATGACATGTAACTCTATTAGCTTAAAACAAGCATTGACTCGTCTTTAGTTTCTCCACAGACTTTTTTCTGCGAAAACTCAACCCCACCCACCCACCCCTGTGGCAGGTCAAATGGTCCTCGCAGCTACGTGCTGAAACGCAATGATTATTCGGTTTGCTGAAAAGGGGATTTTTGTTTCTTCCAAAGGACATGATGGGATTTAACCAGGCTGTTTAGGTGACCATTATTTTTACATTGCTGAGGTATTTCAGATTCGATATACTCACCAAGGAGAGCATGTTACACTTGTAAAGTCAAGCAGTAAAAGAAAAAAAGGCAAAGAACAATCAGCCCGAGGTTTAGATGACCTTTAGTCAGGATCCTATAACCCCTGCTTCAGTATAATTTAACTTCGAATACAAGTGATGTGTTATTTCCAGTGGCCTAAGTCTTGTCCTATCAAGCGAAAATCAAAACGCGAGAAAATCAATTAAAGTTTCCCGCGGCTATTTAATTTATGCCAAGTTGCGCATTCGACCAATGAGCGTCCGGTGTATTCTCGTTCCCAGAGCCCGTCTTTCTTGGTCACGTGCTCTTTTGTTACAACTTAGAGTGACTCTGGGGACGAGAACGCGTCCGGTGCAATTCCTGCATTTAGTATGAACAGCGGTATCTGCAGGAATCGCACCGAGGTTCAGTTGGGTGTACGTGGACATTGAAGCTCTGTTTATGGCTTTTCTTCAATATGTAAGTGGTAAAATCTAAGATCAATGTGGATGCAGACAAAAGGTTTCATCTCAGAATCACTCAGTGAAGTTATCCGATTTGCGACAGTTGAACTTCAACTTCGATAGGACATTGACTCTTAGCGAGCTAGTCAGCCGACTTCAAAAGAATACTGCACCGTTTGTCTTTGAGAAATATTTAATATTTTATTGTATTTTCCTGTGGACTGTCTTTTTCGTGTAAAAACCATTACTCTTGAAACGGCTAACGTAACGAATTGTCACGTCATCGCCACTGACATACTATTTTTATCTTCCAATCACAGGTCGGTGCAATTCCTGTATTTAGCTGCTAGTGGTTTTTCCATGACATCCATTTTTAAAATACACTCGATTACAGCGCCGTGCTGACCCTATGCTAGAAGAAAACATATGCAATGCACTGATTAGAAAGCGGTCATTTTATATCCTCGAAAGGGCCCACAGAGCTCAAATAACATATATGGGTCAGTCAATGACGCATTTATTTTTCTAGATGTCTGTTTTTACGCTGTTGAGAGCAGAAAGTGTCAAATTTATTTTTATATCCACGTAAGGGAATGCCGTGTATGTTACCGGTATCACTGTACCAAACAAATCCGGTGTCACCTGACCAGGCTACAATCAATTGCAAGAAAGGACACCCAGCTTGGTACCTACCATCTCCCTTCCAATCTTATAAAGTAATCGTTTGTTCGATAGAGTTGTCCAATTTTGAGGCCAACATTAAAAGGAAGAGGGAAAAGGACATCGGGCAAAGCCTGTCAACGTCAGTAATTCAGCTGACCCTAGACTGTTCCAGGCTCTCAGATAGTGGTGAAGATGCCAAAGAAAAAGGCACGCACGAAAAGTTGGCGGGGCGGGAGAAAGGAAAAAGGTTATGAGTTATGGATTCCTGTTGGCGTGTATTTGTCCTCCTAACGAAATTATTGTAACAAAGGTCCAGACCGGATAGCAAACAAGCTCTGAGCGCCTCAAAACACCACTCACAACATATATAGCACAGAAAGGTTCAAGTTACCATAAACCCTCTACACATTAAGCCCCCCCCCCTCAAGGAAAAAAAGTTGATAAGCTCCCCCTCTCTTTTAAGCCCCCTCCCCTCTCCCTTATTATTCTTTGCTGACAAATAATAGACTGTATTAATCAATAATTATTATGACTGTAAAACTTTATTTGGACTGATCCGGGATGGCTTATTTACTTTCTCTTTCCTTTCTCATCTGAATCCTATAAGTATTATAGGTTTCAATGGAACCGGTTTGTTCTCTCTATGATGGAGAACAAACCGGTTTCAATAAAATACATAAAATGGCCATAAATCAGCTTGGGCATCACACAGGAAAGAAGAGGCACGCAACTTAGGTGAGGTTAAACGTGCCTTTCTCATATTCGTAGGTTACAGAAACAATCGTTTCTTCACCATACAAATCCTTATATTTTGAAGGTTATGGAACAATACCGATGGTCATACAGTATTTCGAGCTTGCACCTGTGACTGGACAAATAAGGGCAAAACGAATGCGCGTGCGATGTGCGAGAAAAGAAAAATCCGACGAGAAAATTGGTGCTTCAGGCCTTCTGGATAGCGCAGCAGATGTACTGTTCACAGACTCCTATTCATCCATAATGGCGCTTGCTATGACGAAAGCCTCAGGAGGTGACTCTAGGAACCTAAGAGATCTTGTTGTCTCCCATGTGAAGGGAACCATCTTGATCTTGATTTCAGCTTACCGAGGGGGTGGGTGTCTGGGTAAAAAGAGTCATTTTGAAACTTGACTATGACATGACTACAAAACAGCTATTTCACAGGCAACCCAGCATCATAGTGTGAGTTGCCCTGTAATGGCTAGGGATAAGGCAAGGTAGACCCCCGTTCAAGTTTCACTTCTCCGTTTACAACAAGCAACCCAAACAACCATTATAACACCTCGTTCAAGATCTGCCTTATTTTCTTGTCACACAGCACAATAAATTTAGGTTTGAAAAAAAAAAAAAGAACAGTTTTTGGTACCACACATGTAGACCACCTGGAGCCAACTCAACACCCCGAAAACAATTCCATTATACGAAATGGCCATAGAGCACTCGGGAAGTAGGGAGAAACACTCTACTACGTACGTCTCGCACTTTCCCCTACACTTCTTTCGGGCTCGCCAAAATACAAAAAAAAAAAACTTCTTTCGCGCCCTAGCCGCTTTCTGCGTGCTTTACAACAGAACAGAGCACTTTCAAGCTTCTTTATTTGTTAAATATAGCTGACTGGAATAACCAATATTTATCTAAGATGGTACGCATTTGGCAGCGCTTTTTTTGCATATTAACTATTTTACAAAAAATAACAAAGCTAAATAGATTTATAGTGAATCTACACAATGAATACTCCGTCCTGATTGTTCCTTAAAAAGATTGTATTTTTCTGTCAGTTATCATCTATTCAACGTTAACATACATCAAATTTTGATATATCACATATAAGTGAAACTGCATAGCTACAGTAAGAAAGACCAATGTTCAGCTAGCGCAAGAAAGAACAGGGCGCGCGAAGGAGACACGCGAAGGGAGAGGGAGGTGTCTCTCTCTCTCGCGCGCGCCTCGTTCATTCCTGCACCCATTTCTTCCATGCGCCTGCTACGTAGGCTAGAAATTCGGTGGGTTTGCGCTGTTGTTCAAGTCTACCAATAGCATAGCTCCAGTTCAATTTTAGTTCCTGTTCTCTGCTAACTCTCCTTGTATTTTGGTTTGCCTCAAGGGCAGAGCGTTTGCATTGCGCAATATTACAACGCATAACTGGTGACGAGGAGGTATTCAATGGATAAAGAAAACTTGTTCCGCCACAGACTTTTCCAGACTTGTCCATAGTGTTTCAGGACCCCAACCCTGCCCCAACCTCATTTTCACCAGTCTCTTTTTCGATGAGGTTTCTTTTTTGATTTCAGGATTGGTCTTCCCGTCTTTTACTCTTCTTTTCGTCTCTTGTCACGCAAAATTTTTCTCAGACAATACTAATTATGAAACGTTCTGAATTGAAGCGTGGTATTTTAAACGGAGCGTGCAGCGAAGATTGTTTCGTTATACACTTCATGACAAAGCAACTCTTTACTATCATGAGCCATATAGCTGCATGTTGCGCCATACAAAGAACCTTGCCCGTCGCAAACCTTATTAAACAAAGATCCCTTCTTTTTCATACTTAAAAACAACGTCCGCCTCTTTGTATTCGTCAGCAAAGGCAAAGTCCTCGGAAAATAGATTCTCCTCAGATGCGCTATATAGAGAAGTCGGCCTTTCTTTCTCCCTGTAACGTAAAATAAACAGTATATAATGATTAGCGGTGAATTATGTTTACAAAGAAAACACCTCAAAATAATTATTGGTTAACGCGTTGCAGCCATTCCCTTGATATTAATGGTTTCCACAACAACAATTCTTTTCTCCTCAGCGCTCACTTTTGTAAACCATTCGTAAAAACGCGGGACGAAGAGGCTGCGGAGAGGGAAAAGAATACATGCAAAGAACGATGATGGGACGAAGAAAAACTTTCTCGTTTACTGCCGACAGGAACCACAGCAGAGGAGGAAGGACTAAACAATGGAAACTAAACCGATTCAGCTTGAATAGTATTCCGACCTAGTTCCAAAGAAGCGCCAATTGAATTATGGATATATGGAACGTGCGTCCAAACGGGGGCGTCATTTGCAGAGAAAGAATGAAGATGAATCAAACTGATACTCTAAGAAGGTATTTCATTATTTGTGGGACCGGTTGTTATTCGTTGCGGCTCCTGGTATGCCTGTGCAACAAGTGCTTCGTTAGAATACGTACCGTGGACTACTGTTTTTGATGAAAGGTATGTTTCCTTCTTCATCCTCTTCATTTTGTTGGTCATTCTCTGAATCTGTTTTCACTTTTCTTTCCCGATTTTGGTATTTCACAGAACCATATTTGTTTTCGCGTAGTTCAACTGCCGGAAAAATCGGAGTCAAGTCATTAAAATCACTCAGATAAATAGCCTGCGTAGCTGGCGGATTAGCGGGCTAATTACGCTGTTGCTTTTCGGTGTCGGAGCCGCGTGAGGATTAGAAGCAAGTCAACTCGCAGCTTCGCCGCTCCCGGAAATCCCCCGTGGTGGCTCTCCCGAGCGCAACAATCCCGACAGCTACGTAGGCTATCAGATAACGAACATGCCTGTCTATTAAACCCTTTCATTCTCAAGGACGACTAAAAGCAATAAAAGCTCTTCAAACGAAATTGTACCATGAAAAAGATGTGATAATCATCATGACTCGAGGGCAAGAAAAAAAGAAAACTCTACTTGCGTTTCGACAGGATTTGAGCCAACAACATCCCTGACACATACAGGTGTAGCAGACGCTCCATCCACAGAGCAAAAGAGAATCCGAAGTATTTTCTTGCTCTTCATGAACTTCTTCTTATCTCAGTGGAGAAAGGGCCCGTTTGCTGTCTGGGAGGTCATAGCTACAATCATAGTTAAAAATCTTGGGGCACTTTTCATTTCTGGGGCGTTTTCCAATTCACACAAGCCCAACCCCTCCCCCCACCCCACAAACAACGTTGGACTCCTGTATCCAGAATTTTTTTCATGAGTTTCAACTTTGTATAGGGTGGGGGAGGGAAAACTGCGAGAAATTTCGAAAACGATGCACTGTTTCATGAGGGAACCCAGAAATTGCAGAAAATTATGAATACTTTGGTACAGTCCCAAGGAATTTGTCCATGATTGTAGCTTTGTTTCCTATCGGGCACTCAAGACCTTGACCGGCAAAGCCTTGAAATGATGCTAATCACATCTTTATGGCATGCACTACCGAACATGAAATTGCCATCTTGCTTTAATAGGTATTTATCATAAAGTAGTATCACATCATAGGACTAGAGAACAAGTTTTTCCTACAAAAAAGTAAGAACCGCCTTATATAGAACACTTAATTAACCCAAGGGAAGCATTGCTTAGTAGCTTTCATTTGAATGGTCACACCATTTTAGGATTTCAACCACAAACGCGAAAGTTAAAATCACCTTGTACAATGAACATAGTAAACAGAACCACAAGAGATTACTGCCGTCAGTAGATAACATTGGAATGGTCAAATCGTAGTTTTCATCTACCCACTTAAAAAACATAAGCTTAAGTTTTCCACCCCGATGCCCTCTCCACGTCTTTTCTAGTGTTGTGAAGAAGCCCAACAGATTGGCCCATTCTGACAGCATTATCCAAATCCTGCCACCTAAGTGGTTTGAAACTCAAACTGTATCAAGCCCTTATACTAATAGAAAGGTGAGGCAAGATGCTGCATGACCAACGGCCTTTTTTCTTACGTTACATATAGTACATACCATTATATTTGTGCCCTCTTCCAAAACGATACTTTCTGATGAGAATAAGAACAACCACGAAAAGGAAAAAATACCCAGCAAGTGCAAGCACTATAACAAACCAGGTCTTGGAGTAGACTGGGGATTCTTCTTCTTGCTTTAGCCCAACCAGATCTAATCAATAAAACAGTAATATGTAAAGCTATGTTAGACTACGAGTAGTCCCCCATTTTTCCTCAGGGATAGTAGAGCGAGCGAAACGCGAGCGCGCGTGAATATCATCCCACCGCGTCTCGCCTTTCTCCGTGGGGTGATGATTTTCACGCGCACTCGCATTAATTTGCTCGCTCTACTATCACTGAGGACAAATGAGGGACTACTCGTAGTCTAGGCAATGTTCGCACTATAACGAACAGCGTTTCGTGTCTATCCGGAATAGTATGAACGGTAAAGGCATAGCTCTAAGAGTAGCCTGCTAGCCTGCTAGCTCTCCGTTTATGGGCAAAACGAGCGCGTCTCCTCTTGCGTGCTGCTCTCGCGTGACTTCTCGCGACTCCCCCAAATGGAGAGCTTGCTCGCAGGCTAAACTCAGAGCAAGTCGTTCACTCGTCAAACATCGTGCCAGAGTGGTTGGCCGAGAGGGTATGGATCTCTACATCCCAGTCCTAAGTACTAAATATTTATACTTCCGCCTCAGTGAATTCCAGTCCTCTTTCCTTCTTATTCACTTCCACTACGGCCCGAAAACGATGTTCACACTTCACCAAAGTGTAGCACAGGACCTTTCCGATATGTGACGCTCCACTTTCGAGATCGGCCCGGCACAGCCTCGCACGGTCACCGTTCTTGTGTGAACAGAAGCCCTTGGTATGAACATAGCCCAAGTGACCGTTAAGTAGCACAAGCGCACCCATAACATGAGTAGATCTTCTTTCCCGCTGCATTTGCACGTATTCCACGTAAACCCGTACTTGGTGAAAGTTAAAACGCAAGAATGCCTTCCTTCCTTGCGCACGGCACGAGCAGGTACCTTCTACGATTTTTCTTTGTTTGTGTTGTTTTGTTCTTTATTTATTTATTTATTCCGGCATTCTTGCTTGGAACATCTATAAGCCGTTAGAACGCAGCACCGAATCTCCAACACGTTTAACAAAAAGAAGAATTCTGTTCTGTGAATAGAGCCTAACTCGTTTCAGCAGTTTATTGTAGTTAATGTACCTGTTGAGGTCTTAGCGGCCTTGGTCCCACAAATTCCCTCAGCTGTTGGTGCACTTGGGCGGCTAGAGCCAAATTTGTTGAAAGCCATCATTCGGAATCGAGGCACAGACCTCTTAGTTAGATTCAAGACAATTTCTGTGACTTCATGGTCCGTGACGTTATGTATGAAGAGAAAGACCACAGGAATACCAGAGGACTCCTTCTCAATCAGGTAGTAGTCAATAGGGGCGCCGTTCGAGGCTCCAGGGATCCAGGAGAGCTTCAGGGTCAATTCGTTGCAGTCCAGATCACTTACCTGGAGATTACTTGGAGGGGAAGGAGATCCTGAAAGTAAATAAACATGACGTATAAATTTATTGTTACTTTATGGAGGTGGTGATCCAGTCGTAGCGGCATTTTGAGTCCACTTCGTTCCCAGGACTCTCTCCTAAACCCTGGGAACGAGGCTGATTTTGAGGTTGCACTTGGGAGGGCTGGGTCGGTGTCGTGTTGAATTGCACTATGGGACTGTTTGGGGAATGAATTTCGACCTTGCTTTCTGTGCAACTTAGAAATAGCCAATAAAAGAAGCGATAGTGTCCCCAAACATTCCCATGGTGCAATTCGACAAAACACACCACCTCAAACCGGCCAAGTCGCCACTTTAGAAACGAGAAGGAAACTGGGTTGAGTTAAGTTTCGCAAAGACTTTTGGGATTGCTACGGGGAACAGGGAAAAAAATTCGGCACGTCCAAAGTAACGATTCCAGAAGTCTTTCCGCGAGCTAACTCGGCCCAAGGGCCTGTTTCTCTAATGTCCCGGTAACGTTTCTTGCCCGGAAAGCTGCTTCTATGTTTTCCACGTTTGCATTCACGATCAAAATTTCAATAATTTTGAAAATGATACAACAAAACTACCAGTTAACAAAGCAAAATTGACTGGTTTGTGGGCTATTCAACAGGTTTTGATTTTAAAATTTGACTTTGGGCCCGAAAAATTTCCGGGTCTTTCGAGAAACGGGCACCAGATTCGAGGCGAATACAACTCCTGCTTTAAAATAAACCAAATCACGGAAAAAGAATTAAGCACACGGCACCTACCGTCTACCCCTATGGAAATTGCAGCTTCCTCTCCCTTTCCTACACTGTTAACAGGAGCACAGGAGTATGAACCGGGCTCTTTAATGACGAAACGAAAAACACCAGTTTCGCTAGAGCCAAGTGTTTTGTTCGCTTTTTCTCTGTAAAACCAGTACTCTTGAACATCAGGACGAGCGTGGCTGGTACAATTGAAGGTTATCTCAGTACCAAACGGAACGGCACTGATGTTTGGACCGCTGAACGACAACTGTGTGTCCTCAGGCTTATCTGAAATTTAAAACCAGTCATTTCAGTTTTAAAAACTCACACCTCAGTGTTCTAACTCTTTTTTTTTTCTTCAGGATCCTAAACAAAGAATGTACGTTTTTGCCCCGTTTCTGCCAGGATCCAAAGCAAGGTAGTCTGGTCGGGTATGTATCAATATTGCTTTCGATTTCTATACGAAAATTAGTTGGTCGTAATCACATATTACTTGTACCGCTTTTAAAAGAAGCGACGATATTCAGTGAGAGGATGTCCTTACTTTAACCGCGGCAGGATTAGGTCAGTCGGTAGAGCGCTTGACTGCAGAGCGGGAGGTTATGGGTTTGTTTTTCGGGGCCGGACCAATACTTAGGGTCTTAAAATAACTGAGAAATGAAGGTACTTCCTTTGCCCCGCAAGCGTTTAGACCTTCACGTGGCTCGGACGACAACGTAAAATGGCGGTCCCGTCTCCAGTAGGAGACGTAAAAAATAGTGTCCCCAATTAGTTTTCATGCTAAATACATTGGCACTCAAATAAAGTGCATTTTTTCTTTTCAATCAGTAGATCTCAAATTGACGTTCGCTAAAGTAACGTCATCACTTGACGTCAAAACTCGAGTTACCCATGTGACCCCCCCAAAAAAAAAAAAAACCTCACCGCTATTAAGGGAACCTTAGGCTTACATAAAACTTTAACAAAAATTGTTTCACCACTTAACCCCCTCAAATTCTCGGGCTCTGCTACCGCAGTTATCTTTGAGGGATCATGTTCATCCTTCGACGAACTGAAAAAAGACGGTGTAGTAATTCAACACATTGAATTCTAAAACATTCATCCGGACGACCACTTACAGTGCACTTCAAGAAAGGCATTGTCCTCAATAGCAGCAGCGAGCTCGTTCTTCGCCAAACACCAGTATTTTCCAGAATTATTCCTGAAGGCCGTGAATGTTAGGTTGCTAGTATTTCCGATCGTTTCGCCATCTTTGATCCATGTTATTTGAGGGGCGGGGTTTCCAATGGCATCGCAATTGAATGACACAGTCCCTTGCTCTTCTACTATCTGGTCCTTTGGTTTTACAGTGAAACTTGGTTCATCTGCGAACAAGGAAATTTGCAGACATTTCTTTTGTAAATTTAAGAGCAAGCCATAGAAAATAATTACGTAGACTAGTAAAAGCCTCTTCTACAGCAAGAGCGGGGGTGAGGGGCGGGGGGATACGCATACACCCCTATAATGTCCTATACAAGGAGGCTGGTACAAGAAAGGATTTCACTCTTTGAAGTATATGAGAGGTTTGGGAAATCTGACACTGCGGTCTGTGAAAGGACCTAAAAGGACTAACTGGCGCATTTTACGGCTGTTTCTAGTGGTTTATTCATATTTAAAAGACGGTGCACTTACAAAAGTTAAAAGAGATACAGCATTCTAAACTAACATGTGAAGGGGATACCATTTTTCAATAAAAGGTATACCAAAGGGGCACCTTTCCTTTCTAAAAGAATCTATAAAAAGGTAAGGAGTAGGACCTCGGGATGGAGCCCCCCTGCATAACCTTTTGTTGAGTACTTCCCCTGGTGCTCTTCATTGTTAAGCGAACAAGATTGGGCGAAACAGACAGAGAGGGGAAACTAAAAAAGCTTGTCGCTCTACTTTCCTCCTCTCCTAAAGTCTCCTTCTCGCCTGATCATTGATCCTTCCTTAAGAACGCATTATTGCTCACCCAAACGAGCAGTTCTAGTTTTCACTACTGTCTACTTGAAGGCCAAATTGTGGGTTTGGATCATTCACCTTGAGCTTTTCCTTAGAATTTGATTCTGACTGAACCAAAGATTGTTACGTTTTCTTTGAACTGAAAGCGATATGGTGAGTTTTACATTTCTCAGCTCCTTGGTTCAACACCTGTACGACCTAAGATGCCGACCCTAAGGGAGTGGCCCGCCTCCCCGGCAACCTGAGCGTCCACCTTGAATTTAGGTGAAACCGAAGCACATAGGTCCAAAAAATATTTTTGAGGTCAGGCACCCTCTTATCTAAGGGTCTGGTCTGGATAAATCACTCCCCTCTGCCCCCACCCCCCTCTTGCTAACAATAGGGAGATTAAGCAACGAAGACTGCGACGGCAACCGGAACTGCAAAAAAGCAGTAGGTTTAGATTGGCAAAACAACAACGCTGTGCGCGATCACGCTTTTTGCAGTTGTTGCACGAGTACGGCGTGAAACTACCTAATTTCCCGTTTTATGGAGGACGGGAACACATAACAACGATTTTCTTTTTTCGTTTTGTGAACTTTTTAAGTGACGTTTTCGCTGCCGTTACCGTTCCTTAAGCTCCCTATTACTGCTAATTACGGCCGTGCATATTCTAGGATATATTCATGATAGATTAACACGGTCATGAACATAAGTTACACGCTCTGTTTTCTTACATTGGACGTTAAGATAAGCGCCAGCCCTAATAGTGAATCCCAGGCCATTGTCCGCCTCGCACCAGTATTTTCCAGAGTCAGCCCTGTCCACTCTAAAGCTCAGTGTTTCTCCAATACTCTTCTCACTCTTGCCTTTAAACCATGTTATTTTTGGAATTGGTTTCCCTGTGGCTGTACATTGAAACATCGCATTTTCTTTTTCTTTGACGGTTTGATTAGTTGGCACTCTGGCAAAGCTTGGTCGAACTAGGAACAAAAAGACACTGCTTAGAAACTTCTATAGTTCTTGATGATAATGGTGATGGTGGTGGCGGTGGTGTTGTGTTAATAACAATGATGATAATGATAATGATGTCGATATGGTAATGATGTTGGTAAAGGTTATGGCAATGATGGTGACGACGAACATGACGATGATGACGGTAATGATGATGACGATGATGACGGTGATTTTGATGATGACAATTATGACGATAAGATGACGATGATGATGATGTTGATAACAATGATGATAATGATCATGATGATGACGTTGTTGATGACGATGATGACGATAATAGGGACCTTACGAAACTGCGACGGCGACGGCAAGGAGAACGTCAACAAAGCAATAGGTTTAATGAGCAAAACAACAACTCAGCACGTGCATCACCCTTTTTTGTAATTTCTCTGCTGTCCCTGCTAAACTATGACGTGAGATGACCAAATTTTAAGTTTATTTGAACGGGAACGGCCAGGGAACGGGAACGGCCAGGCGATAAATTCTACCATCTCTGTCTGAACTCAAGCGAGGGCCCTGCTCTTCATCTCCAACGAAAATTCCCTTCTTTTAAGTAACAAGGCGAATTGGGATAATCGTGAAAAAGTTTAAAAGGATGCGAAGTCTATTTTTCTGCAACGTTTTCATGGACGTCGCCGTTGTCAGATCGTAAGGTCCCTAATGATCACGACGGCGACGAAAGATGGTGATGACGACTGGTAGATAGTGAAGATGGTGGTAATGCTATTATCAAGAATGATGATGATGTAAAGGTAGTAATGAAAGCAAAATAACATACAAAAATTCTTACCAAGAACAATAGTAACTGCCGTTGCAGAATCTGAGCCCAAGAAATTCTTAGCACTGCACGTGTAGTTCACAGCATCCATATCTTTATCGACTTTCTTGATTATCAGTGTGCCATCCTGTTCTAACTCGTACCTGCTGCTATCTCCGTACGAGATGAGTACATCACTTCTAAACCATTGAAATGTCGGTCGAGGCGCGGCACTCGGATTGCAAGGTAGTCTTCCTTTGCTCTCGTGAAGCAGTTGAAAAGGACCAAACTGCACGTCGCTGAACGATGGCTTCCAAGCTACAAAGAATAGAATTTTATTCAAACTCCTTTAACCTTGAGTGCCTTAAAACAATTTTTACCAAAGTACTCCTGAAGCCGGATTCATAAAAGTGGTCACACAATCGGATTTTGTCTCTTCCGTCTAAAAATAGTTATAGTTACAGAACATACATTCCACATAATTGACCTCTAAAATTAACAAGGGTTTAGATGAATTCACTTGAGTTTGTTTAGTACGGGAGTTACCCAGAATTCTAGCGCGTGTATTTCAGGGGTGATTACACCTGAGGGCCACAAAATCCTTACACATGGGCAACAGAGGGACCTGAAATGCAAGGGTGGCGCAGAGGTGAGAGCACCCGCTTCCCACCAACGTGGCCAGGGTTCAAATCCCGGCGTCGATGCCATATGTGGGTTGAGTTTGTTGTTGGTTGTCTCCTTTGCCCCGAGAGGTTGTTCTTTGTGTACTCAGGATTTCCCCGCTTCTCAAAAACCATCATTTCCAAATTCCAGTTCGACCAGGAATGGTAGAAGAAGAACCACTTTGTGGACGAACTTCCTCTAAATCATTAATTAATTAATTAATTATCCTTTACTTCCTATGACACGTCCCTAGCAACGGAGAGCGATGAGAGGCGGACCAGTTGCTCGTGCAAATCGACCCTAAGAGAATGTACAGAAACTTACCCAGCACACGAACCCAAGTGGCAGAAGCTATCATTCCATATTTATTTTCCGCAGCGCACTGGTAAACGCCTTCGCTATCCAAAGAGACTCCTCTAAACTCCAGTCTATCTTTATGAATTATTAAGCTGTGGCTGTAGAAATAGAAGGGATGAAAGTATTTGTTAGAAATATATGTTTTTTTTGAATTGTTTTCCCACAAGAGGTGTTTTTTTTTAAATCTTGTTTATTTTGTCCGTCTTAAACTTACTTGGAAGAAATCAGCTGCCGTCCATCTTTGTACCACGTGATAGACGCATCAGGAACTGCTGTCACGTGACACGCCAGGCTTCCATTTCTTTCAATGACGATGTCTAATTCCTTTGGTGGTGGTTCAATAGTCCACCTTGGTGCAACTAAGAAAGTAATAAGCACACGATGGAACTTGTATATTAATCTCTACCACCGTGAATTAAGGAATGGCTCCTCTCTGATATCTGGCTTGTTTTTCTCGTTTTGTCTCGCACTTCCTTTAACCTTGATTATAACCGTGCCCAGATGAAAGAAACTATTTTACTATAGGTTCTTACAATGCCATTTTTTAAGTCATATGACCAGCTACGTCCATTATTGTGCAAAATTTTATATTTTAGAATTACAACACTTAAACATCCTTTAAGTTCTCAATTCCTTGTAATAATTTAATGTTTTCTTATCGCCTCAATCTCTCTCTAAAATGAAACCGTTACAGTTTACAGTAAACTTTTAATTTCCGAAACCTCCCATTAGTTCCATAAACGTTGTACTTATAGTCATAAAAACCAAACAAATTAGACTGAAATAAGCCTTTGCAAAGAGTACTAAAAAGGAAATTGCAATAAATGGTTATGGTAACTCACCTGACTAAGAAAGTCCACCATTCAAAATAAAACTAATATTTGTTTATGAAAAAGGTCACGTCTACAAAGTTTTAAATGAAAAAGTATAATGCTGCCATCACCACCACACTACAAAATTCTCGAGACTTACTGAGACCCACCTGGACCCACCCGAGATAGCCAACGTGTAGCCGCACCCTTCCCCTGACAAGACAGAGGAGAACGTTTTTCCTTTTTCTAAGGGAAGAGAGGGGAGGGGAGGGTGCGGCTGCAGAGTAGAGGAAGCAAGGCTTTTACATACCTTCTACCACCAGATTTACGGTGTAAATTAAAGGCTGACCACCGCTCATGGAATTTTCAGCTTCACAAGTATATTGGCCTTCATGCTCAGTCTTGTTTACTCCGTCAATTTGCAAACTTCTGCCAAAGAAGGAAGCAGGAATCTCAAAAGAATTCTGTCCATCGATAATTTGCTGCCCATTTTTCTTCCAAGTAATGCTTGGTTCAGGCCTGCAATATTTAAAGAAGATCTTCGGTCACTATACCATCATCATCATCATCATCATCATCATCATCATCATCATCATTTATTTGCCTTGTTTAGGTACGTAGTGCTGGTCTACCTACATTTGTGTTGGCGAAGAGCCGTCAAGAAACCCCACTTACTACCAAATGCCTAGCACTCAGAACAACTACAAAGAATTGACAATTATAATGCATCTTTGTGTCTTTCAGATCAGTCTGGTTATTAATCATCAAACTCTTTAGCTATTTTTAATCACACTTTATTAGACCGAGTTTTGACAGTTTTGTGCAAGCTCAGAAATCGAATTGGTATAATGTGAAGTTACAAAACGGCCCAATACCCAAGTAGTACAAAGTACTCCACTTTCCGAATGGAGCGCCCTCACAAAATCGTATCTCTGAAACAAAGACCATCAGGTACCATACAAGCCATCTGGTAAAATATGAACCTAGCTTTTAGAAAATACATTTATTTTCTTTTTGCAAGGCGTGTTCGGAACAACAAACCTTCCTGTGGCCAGACAATACAAAGTTTTGCCTCTTCCCTCAATAGCAATTTCTTGACTTTGAGGGATAACTAGCCAAGAGGGTGCAGTTAGAATCCCGGGATCTAAAAAATACAAAAACAAAACGTTGTGAGGAAAAGTAATCGTGATTGCTTTGCTATGAAAACAAAGAAAAGATACTAAGAAGTGGTTAATCTTTTCTTGGAATGGGCCATGATTCTAGTATTCCTGGTAACTTGCAGTTGAGGCTTGGCCCTCATGAGCCTCAACTTTATTTTGTTTTCCTTTTCATTTCTGAGAATAATGAAATGGTTGATCAGTCTGTCAGCGCCACTATTCATGAGTTAGACTTGATAATCAGTGAACCAGCAATGGATGGTTAAGGGCCCATGTTTTTAAACATTTACCAACATTTATATTATTCCGTTTCTCTTTTTCAATTCATTCATTCATTCATTCATTCATTCATTCATTCATTCATTCATTCATTCATTCATTCATTCATTCATTCATTCATTCGTTCGTTCGTTCGTTCGTTCGTTCGTTCGTTCATTCATTCATTCATTGTATTTTTTCATGCATTCATTCATTCATTCATTCATTGTATTTATTCATGCATTCATTCATTCATTCATTCATTCATTCATTGTATTTATTCATGCATTATTATTCCCTTTCTCTTTTTCATTCATTCATTCCTTCATTCATTCATTCCTTCCTTCCTTCCTTCCTTCCTTCCTTCCTTCATTCATTCATTCATTCATTCTATGCACTTCATTCATGCGTTCATTCATTCACCCATCCGTCCATCCATCCGTCCGTCCGTCCGTCTTTCCGTCTGTCTGTTCATCCGTCTATCCATCCATTCATTCATTCCTTCCCTCCTTCCTTCCTTTGTTCGATCGTTTGTTCGTTCATTCACTTACTCAGCTTTTTCGTTACCTGTTTGTTGCGTATTACTCTTCTCAAGTTTCAAACTTCCAGAACGATAGTAAGTTCCTGCTCCACTGATCTTGCACTTAATGCCATTATTCTCCTCGATCTCATCGATGTCTTCCTGTGTCACGTACATGATATACAGACCACCAACCAGAGATATAGCACGGCGTTTGTTCCTTGAAAATTGGATTTTTTGACTCCCTCCTTCCCAAGTAAAGGTAACTCCGAAGCTTGCTTCGTGCTGCGGACATCGAAAGCTGAACGATTGTCCAAGATTGACCCTTTCTACTTTATCTCTTGTGTTTATAAAATCGCCAACAACTAGGACAAAGCAAGTCTTCATTCAGTAGCCTCCTACGCAGACGTTTCTTAGGGGTTGGTCACGCACACGTTTGCGTGACAAGCCAAAAGAACGTTTGGGGTTCGTTCTAAGAAATGCGTTAATGGAAATGAATTTCCGGAGGATTGCGTGACGAAATGAAAAGAACGTCTGCGAAGTGGAGGGTAGAATGGGCTATAAAAGGGCGTGGGAAAGCATTTAGCTCACGTTATTTATTTTATTTGTTTATCTATTTAAGTAAATTTCTAGTAACAGGAAATTAGCTTGGTTTCCTTAAATTGAGATGTTAACTTGGTAAATAAGGGCAAAGACCTTCCAACCGTGTAGCCTTCGAAGGATGGGCTTTTCAGAGCACACTGGGTTTTTTTCGGGCGTTACACTGGAAAGTTTTTACCATGTTTGGAATAGAAATGTGGAATTTTGAAAAGCCAAAATAAGTAATGGTTTTTCCATGTTGTTTTCCCGTTGAAAGTGGAATTTTGAAAAGGTTCCTGTTTTCTATGATGAAAAAACATGTTCCATTTACAAGTTTTCACAAGGAATCACCATATATAGCTATGCCACCATCTTGAGTTTTGGTGACGGGAGCATAAACGAATGGAACTTGTGTCAAATGGAACACGTTCTTCACTTGATGGACCTTTCCATGGAATCGAAATTTCCGGAAGTGTTTGGTAAATGGCCGGAAAACGCCCTTATCATTACAGTCGCACTACTAAGACTGTAGTGTCAGAGCTGCGCTGGCAAACGGACGAGTTTCTATCTCTCCATCCACTTGCTTTTCCCTATTTAAAGCTATAACGACTTGGGAGATAAAATCTTGAAGAACAAAAACAAAACCTGTGAAATGGAAACTAAATCCCTCGTGACCGAGCTTGAGTATTTTAGAATTCTCCTTTTCTTTTGTTCTCTTCATAAAATTATTATTGCACCTAGGTTTTCTTATTTTTCTTTCTTGTCCACTTCACTGTCCGCCTCGATTAGCTTAAGCTAATTACGGGTTGCGTGAAATATTTCCTTTTTCCTTTCACTCTACTTTCATTTCATTCTCTGCTTTCACACATTCACAGCAGTCGATTTTCACTGTCACGCCATCAAAAATAAAATTAAAAGAAAATGCAAACTATCTCTCAATACAGAAAGTCCAGAATCTGAAAATTTAACAAGATAAATATACAAAAAGCCTCGCCAGGAATTCTGTCCGTGCAATATTTCATATGCGAGATATTTGGAAAAAAGTTTTACCCAAATTTATAAAGGTTTGTATGGTGACGCCATGTTGGTGTCCCTTTGAGGGGCACAAACATGGCCACCGGAAACCAACAGAAACATCTGTTTTGAGTTTTCCTACAAATGCGTATCGCTCGAGGAACTCTTAAAGACTAAAGTAATATTTTATTCTGAGACAAGGAAAGTTTAAAAATGGTAACGTTTTCAGCCTATATAAGCCGGCTTCCCAGGCCGCCAGCTAAATGCCGCGTAACGCAAACTGAGCTAATTGGGAATTCAAGCGTCCTCCATCGCAAAACGAAGAACCCTTTCGAACCGAGCACTTGCATAAATAAAGGTGTTAAGCTGTAGTAATACCTCATGAAAGTAGGAACTCAGAAGAATTGATAATTCCTTAGTTTAAATTTTGGTGACGTCATATGCAAACCGCGAATTCCTTGACAGTTTTAAAAAGCTGATAAGAATCATCCTCCACCTTGTACAGTTACACTTTAGGATCTCATGTATTCACAGACTCAGAGAGGTTAGAACCTCGCACATTATAATAATAAACACAGTGAAAGTAATGATCAGTAGCTTTTTGTCAATGTTAGTGGTGCCAGCGAATAGGTAAAAGCAGGGCGGAAAAAGTCGAAAGTACGTCGCCGTGCCTTGTGAGTACCTCGACCCTGAGGCTCTCCCCAGCCCCACACGGCCAATCCATTTTGGTAATCAGTAACCGAGACGGAAGTCCGTAAAACTTTATTCACATCACGTGACCCATCCGAAGCGTATTGACCGTGAACGGAAATTTTGAGGCTTAGCTAGTGACTAGTTAAATAGGTACCTACCGGTAACTGCAACTTGTAGCTTTCTGCTAAATACTTCAACGCCAGTTTCTTCATCCTTCACAAAGCACTGGTATGTTCCACTATGGTCTGCATTCAAATAACTTCCGGTCAGCGTTCCATCCTCACTGAGTTTATAGCGGAAGTTATTTGGTATTTTTGTCCCGTTGTGTTTCCAAGTCCAGGTTAGATTCAGTCCTGTAGCTTGGCATGGCAGAGAGAAGGCTTTTGGTTTGTTGAACTTCACCTCATCTGGGTTGATCAGATCCTTCGCCGAAAACTTTGTTATTATTGGTGGCGGTCTTACAGCTGAAAACAGAAATTGCTCCACCTTAAATCAAAAGAGAATGAGATCATTCTCCATAACACTTGAGTGTCAACAGTTAACAGTTGGGAAACTTGTTATCTTGCTATCTAAGAAAGCCCTCTCTAACATCCCTCAGTAACAGACCCAGTTTTTGCTATGTCTTCACATAGTTCTCGGAGAAAACGTCACTGGGTTGCCTTTCCACTTCTTCGATCCAACGTTGGAACTATTAATAGGCGTATTAATCATTGATTAGCTGAATATCACTGCATATTACGAGGGCAAACAATCTAAATCAAACGTAAAATCTCTCCACGGTGTTTGACTCTTTTTTCCAATTAGTTTTGTTGATCATTATAGAGTGAGCTTCCAGTGAGAACACAACATCGACGACTTCCCGTGTAGCCTGCGGACACACACGTATTTCCGGTCGTCGCTTCTCTCCACACGAAAATAATGTGTCCGCTGGCTACTTCCCGTGGTGCTGACAACTAAACGTGGTGTACATGTTAGAACGATTGCAGTTCAAATGATCGTGAAACAGTCCAAGTGTTTTGATACTGTTCCTTATAAGACGAGAGCATATGGTTTGTGAGTAACCAATTAATGGTCAGTGAGCAAAGTTGACAAAAAACCTGAAGTGGACAATCCAATCGTCGATACTGAAAACCGACTGACTGTATATCTACTTAGTTGGTAATTAACATATTTACGTGAAAAACCTTTGCAAAATTACTCTTAGAGATGTATATTTTCAACTTACCCGTACTTTTACACACGAAACAGAGAATCCAGGCCAATATAAAAAATCTTTGAGATGCTTTCATCTTAACCAT